ATAAATTGAGCTCTGGAAGTTAAGGAGCACATACACTGCTAGGATGTTTTAAATAAGGCAGGGGTTGAGGAGGTTTGAAATAAGGCAAGTGCTTGGGGAATGTTTAAGTTATTATAAGTGGTGGAAACAGTGATGAATGCATGTATATAGCTTGGACTTGGTTGAAGATGTGAATAATGTTGAAACACACAACTCTTGGAACCAAAGTATAGCTTGGTTTAGCATGAGAAACTTTGAAGTGCCTATGCTTGACTCTTTTTTTATTATAGATTTGCTCGGCACGAAGCCCCCAAGTATTTTTGGAGTTTACATGTGTAGTTTGCTCAATGGCATGAATGATGGATTTGTCTAAGCCCTTGGCTCTCGTACAAGATTTGGTTTTTCTTGAGAATGGAGATCTAAGACACAAGCAAAGGGCGCATGTCAGTAACCCTTCTTATTCTTGTTCTGCAACAGCAAATAAAGAGGAAATGTTCCTATCTTTTTATTTTCTCTAGTTTATTGATTCTGGTATTCCTTTTTCTGAGGCATTGGTGAAGGTAGTGGCCTAATCCCCAGTAGAGTTGCCAATTTATGTGGTGACTTTTTTGTTCCAGCAGCTACTGATTGGTCTAGGCTGCTGTAAAGAGTCAAATGTGTGAAATTGCCCTTGAGTCTAGGTTCAAGAATCAGACCCCAAGAGTGCTTTGAAAGGGTAGCTGAGCCTTAGGAAACACCTTGGTCTTCTTCACTAATGAAACCAACAGTTGCTTACAGATAAATTCTTAGCTTGACTTGAGAAGTTTGTGGCATGGAAGCTAAGCATTCATGAGTTTAGCATGAGAGAGAGAAAGACCATATTTTCTAAAAGAAACAGAGGTTTAAAGCAAATGATTTCCTGAGAATTTGTTCAGTAAAGAGAGAGAGAGACAAAGAGAGACATAGACAGAGACAAAGATTAGGGTGGAAGAACGATGGGTGGTTTGGAATAGCTTGCCAGAAGGGAAAATAGGAGGAGATAAAGTAATAGGGCTCGAAATTGCAAGGTTTCAGGGTTGAGAGGTAATGCTTGCTCTCTGGATGTGGGTTGTTTTTTATGCGTAGGAGATGCCCCTTTTATAGCTGCTAGAAGCTCCTCCTTCCCAAGGAACCCTAATGGGTTCTCTCTAATTTTGCCAAGTTTCCCCTTTCATTTCTCTTCTCTCCTTTTGATTCATCCCTTTTTGTGAAATATTCCACGGTCCAAACACACAAAGACAAGATTTTTGGGAGCTTTAAGGCCTTCCCGAAGCTGCTTCAGTGTTAAACTCCTATTTTTGGCTACCACCTCACCTTATTTCCTCCCTTCTTCCATGGAAAGAGCTGGTGGGAGAAAGAATATGGGCGTTGGTTTGAAGGGTGCCTATTCTCTTAGCAACCTGCGCACGCTAATATCCTCTGGTTTTTTTAATGTTCTACCTTGAGATTTGATTTGCCCACTTGCTGGAGTCTCCTAGCAGCTTACATACATGGGCATCTTTGGCTTAAATCATGGTCCTTGTCTCCAGCTAAGTGTTGGAGACCGCAAATATTTTCCTTGGTTTCTTGGGCCTTCCTAAGGTGATGGGTTAGCCCATTAAGGGAATAGGATAATTTCCTAAAGTGATGGGCTAATTTTTTAGGGTAATGGGCTACCATTTTCTCTCTTTCATGCTTACCCACAAAATGGGCCTCGTGAATGCTGGTAACCATCCATACCATAACCCGCTCAAGAAAGTCTCAGGCATTTGCGTGGCTTGGGCCCACTTAAGCTTGTAGCATGGCGTGTTGCTCATTTGCTTGGCGTAGCATGTGTGCAAGTGCATATGATGAACTCTTGCATCCCCAAGCTGGGGTTCTTCCAAAGTAACCATTACATGTACCTTCCCTTGGGTACTACATTAGGATACAAATGTTACCCACACGTGCGATGTGTTGTCTGTGTGTGGGAGAATATCGGGCACCCTTGGCAAGGTGTGCCATAAGCCCTTGGAGGGGCAGTCTGCGCACGTAAGACTTGTTGACTTGTTTTAGCCACACGTGCGTTGTGTTGTCGGCGTGTGCTGCAGAGCAATAATGCCCTGGTTGGATTGCTCAACCCTAGTCATGGGCTAATGTGATGTTATCCCATGGTTTAGTTAAACAATCTCCCAGTTGAATTGATTCCCCGGTACTTAATGATGGTATGGTGAATATGTGTGCAAGTGTATATGTATATCTATATATGTATACGGGTATAAGTGTGGATTTATTTCCAAGTTGAGGTTTCATGAGTATGTGCATTGAGAGTACTCTGCACAAGTATGAACATTTGAAATGAAGTCCGGAATTGAGATTGGATATTTAAAAATTATTTGGCACATTGTGTTTTTGCAAGGGTATGGTTGCAGGAAAAAAGATTTTGGGTTTTGATGATTATATTTTGTATTAACGGGATATTTTTGGTGCGGGTATGAATATATGGTTTTACAGTAAGGATTAAAAGAACAAGTTACAACGTTTTCCAAGAATTTGAGAAGTATCAATTATATAGTTTTCCTTATCGTATGTTATGACATGAACTTACTGAATTAAATTATTTTCAAGTATCTGATGGTTATTTATGTTGAATGTAAATTATATTTAAAGCTTTGTTTTCATCCACTCACATTTTTTATTTTGCACCCCCAAATTCTAGATATCCGAGGTTGAGACCACCACGTCGAGGATCACCGTTGTCTGCATCGTAAGAATTCCTCCTTTCTCTTTCTCTACTTAATCTTAATCTTTAGTTGCTCTGCTTACTCATTTTGAATTTGGGTAGAAGGCGTGAATCCCATTTAAATAGTCTTAACTATTATGGACCTTATGCATGCTGGAAGTTGGGTTTATTCTAGCGCTTGTTTGCAAGTACTATAAATTGGGAAATATGTTCCAGTTACCAAGGAGACTATGCCGAAATTTTAGCGGCAGTTGAAGTCTTTATCAATTTAAATTAGGGCTAAAGAACCTTTTAGAAAAGTGGGTTCGACATTAGTTAGATGTTGGACAGGAAGCAGGATCTGTGATGAATTCCGAGAAGGGAGTTCGGGGAAAGACATCTTAGACAAAGTCCAAAAAGCTTCCAAATCACATCAAAAGAAGGAGACCAAATGACATGTAAGAGTAGGATCCCCTTTATAAGAAAAATCATAACAAATGCATAGCTCAATAAACAAGTACCAAAACACATAATGTATCAAATAGAAAACAATCCAAGGCACATTAATCAGATAACCAAAAGCATTGATTTGGTCCAAAATATGACAAAAGTAAACATGTCAAGTCAAAATGAAATAGGTCAAAACAAATAACCTACAACCTGAGCAACAAAAAACCCCAATGACAACTAACTAGTAGATATGACTAGTCATAATCATACCAAACAAGGGTTCAAAGCTCCAAAATATTATAAAGCACAAATAATAGTGGCAGGGGATAAAAGGATAGCATGATTACGAGCCAACATTCACAAAGAGCTTATCATGTGAAACTCAAGGCTTGGTAATAAAAACTTGAGTTAGAAAAAACTAGCTTATGCAAAAGCAATGTAAATGCTGCAACATGTTATCAACTCCATTAAGCTAGGATCATATTCATGATCAAAGGACTACGTCTACATCGATCATGATCAAGTTCCTCAGCTTTTGGGCGTGTGAAGGTTGGGCAGCTGTGTTCATGATCAAAGTTTTGTGTCTACATTGATCTGGGAATAATAAAACAACATGATATCAGATACAAACCATAAATTGAAGCATACACCAAAATAACACTTTGGGATAAACATCTTCGTAGGTATTTTACATCCTATAAAAAACATAAAATATTATGTATATGAGTTTTATAATACATTGATTTTTTATCTTTTCAACACAAATCTTTTCATCGCATCGACATCATCACTAGTAGTGGACCTAATTTCATATTTGAGTTGCAATCTTTCTTAGAAGCTCTACAACCAAAGCCAAAACAATACAATTTCGTATGCATATTACATAGGACCTTGGTGCAATTCTTGAATTTTGATCGGAGCTTGCAATTTGTGAATCGATTGCGACTGAGATTTCTATTGCGATTTCCAGAATCCAGATAGTATTTTATGAGGTACAATTTGCGGATCGAGATGTACAATTTTTGATTTCCGATTCATAATGGAGTAGGAGCTTGGTCTAAATCCCAATTAGAGTCTAAGCAATATGATCTGCGAGAATTTGGATGAAAATTTTACTAATCAACTTGGTTGAGAGAGCTTCAGAGAAATGCAAAGTTGACGTCTCAAAGTGACACGAAGACCACGCTTCAGAGAAATCACACTTACCAAAAATGGGCTTAAGAAAAATGTGCTTGTTCACGCTAAAACTAAACAGATAATGATATGGCTAACTTACAGATGTTGTGGATAGTTGCGAACCGGACGGGCCTTCGGACCCTGGCGTCCTTCCTTGGATGCTGAAGCTGGGATCAGGCTGGAGAGGTAGAAAAGGCTGGTAAGGTCTCAAGTATCAGTGTGGTGTCGGCCGAATACCCTCCGATGCCAAAGTTAGTGATTAAGAGCTAAATATGGAATGTGGAAGCATAGTTCAGGTAGAAAGTCTTACCTCGTGGCTGAGTTCAAGGACCTTATTTATTCATGGTGTTGGGTGGTTACTTAGCACTTAGTTTCGATGTGGGACTCATGGAAGTGTCTTCATTGATTGCCACGTGCCCCGACATGCTTTAGCTGGGGCTCTGAGGTTGTCTCGTACAATCGTCTGGGTGTGCTGAGCGTGTGCTTGAGGTGATTCGGCATCTGGTACCGAATGTCAGTACAAGGCAGGGTTCAGGAGCGCTTGCTGATTGGAGAAGGAGTGTGGATCAATGGTATGCGCCGATTCACATCGGATTGGCCTATTCGGTGTGGCTGACAAGGTTGGTCTTAACTTCATTCATTTTATGATGTGAGTGGAGGGTCAGATATGGTACATAGGAGTCCCCCAAGTTTTCGATTAAGAAGGGACTTCTTGGTTAGGAACTTGCTTATCTTTGATCTTCGACATTCTGACCCGGATACGAGCATCATCCCTTGTCTTGCCGATGGTATTCATGTAGTCCCCCAAGTCCTCAAGCAAGGGAGAGCTTGGCAGATTGGAAAGAAACGGTAGAAGGGGCCAAAGACAAGTAGGGTGAGTGAAAACTCGACCGATGTACGATTGCCGTTCGGCACGAGTGGTGAGTGAAAACTCAATCAATGTGTACCTGCCGTTTGGCACAAGAGGGAGTGAGAACTCAACTAATGTGCGCATGCCGTTTGGCATGAGAGGGAGTGAGAACTCAACCAATGTGCGCATGCCGTTCGGCAAATGAGGGAGTGAGAACTCAACCAATGTGCGCCTGTCGTTCGGCACGAGAGGGAGTGATAACTCAACCAATGTGCGCCTGCTATTCGGCGCGAGAGGGAGTGATAACTCAACCAATGTGTGCCTACTATTCGGCACGAGAGGGAGTGAGAACTCAACCAATGTGCACCTGCCGTTCAGCACGAAAGGTGAGTGAGGACTCAACCTTTGTGCGCCTACCGTTCGTTGGTGGACTTTCCTCTAGAGAAAAATGGGAATTGAAGCATCTAGAATGTGAAACGTTCAAGTGGGATGCGATAATGCTTGACCTCCCCTGTGTATGTGTGACATGTGTCGAGAGGGTTGCGAAGGGTCGTGTAGTTTTGTATCCCGATGCTAGGTTCGTGCTATAAATATAAGGGAAGGACGATAGGAAGAGTGCTTGAAGTTTTTCAGAGCAATAAGAGCTTATGAGGGCAATTTCCGGCGAGCTTGTTGCGGCGATTGAAGCGATTTCCAGCGGTAATCAACCATCGTGTGAACAAGGTATGTTGCCATTTTTTTGTTGAAACTAAATCAAATTCTTCAAGTTTTACATGAACACGTATGAATGTAGATAAACATAGGTGAACATGAGCTTTTAGGCATTAGGATAGCCGTTTGAATCTGGCATGGCATTTAGTTTCCTTTTGTTTGTGTTTATAGATGTCAGATGCCGAATGAGGCTATAGTTCTAGTCTGAGAGCTTTTAAGGGAGAATCGGCTTTGGCGAGCTCGACTGCAGAGCTTTAGAGTGCTGATTTCGAGAGTGCCGATTCTAGGAGCACTTCAAGTGTTGTGGTTGACATAGGTAGTGGTCAACCATTGACTTCGGGGCGCCAAATGAAGGCGACCTAGGCTGATGCCTTAGTGGCCACTCCTGGGGAGGGGGTGCTGTGAGTCATGACTGGTCGGCAACAGGTGTCGATAGCGAAGCCAACTGGTCTGGTGTTTGGTGTAGATTTCCTGGAGCTGAACATACTGACTCAGGCTGAGTTGGCTAAGATTCGGGCTATGTACAACATACCGAACTCTGTTGTGATACGAATTCCAAGGCCATTGGAGTCACTAAGAAGTCCGGAGTGTGAAGTGGTCTTCTTTATCAATGTCTTCAAGCTCGGGCTTCGGCTGCCGTTGAGACATTCGGTGCAAAAGATCCTTGCACAAATTGGCTATGCCCCTGGGTACTTTAATCCAAACTTTTGGATTACATTGCTGGGGACGATTACGGCCTTCGGCTGATCAGTTCATAATTGTATATCATTTTGTACCATTCTAGCTTATGATTTGGTTATGTTATTGAGTGAAACTTGTGCTTTTAATCCCTTTTCTGTTTATCATTCAATTCATTAGGCCTTAGGTAGCAATGATGGCTTTCGATAGGGAAAGATGCAAAATTGTGTAAAAACGAGCAGACTGAGTTAGCAAGTTGTTTTGGCCTTAGCTTCTTCCTCCCAACTTGGATTGGAAAGATGAAAGTTTGAACTTCAAGATGGACTACTCAAATGCATCAATTGATTAAGCCAAGCCCAATCTGTGAGCCCATAAAAATGCACCATGCTTTGGATTTCAGCTACCAGCTGTTGACCCTTGGATCCTCTTTTGAGCCATGTGCCTCACCACAGCTGTCCATGACTTTAGACCAAACATGTTGAGCAATTTAGGGAGGTGTTTCAGCTACTAAAGTGTAAAAGAGCAAAACAACGCATGCTTAATTATGGAAAACATGTTGGCATAAATCAAGGAGCAATTTCCAGGATTTCTGATGGGTTGTCTACACCAGCTAAGGGGAGGAAAAATTGGCAACCTATAAATAGAGTTGCAGCTCATTCACAAACACATTCATTCACTCCATTCAGCCTAAATTCACTCCATTCAGCCTCAATTCACTCCATCCATCCTCAAACACTCCCATCATTCCCCAAACACTCTAAATAGCCCTAAATCACCAAAAGTTCCAGAAAGCCAACCTTTCATTTCCCTACGAATTTCTTCTTTCTTTCCATCACAACTCACCCAAACTCATCCCAAATCACCTCTTTAGATGTCATACATCCTTCTAGACTTGAGGAAGCTCTTGGAGATGCATTAGAAGTGGAGAAGCCCTTGGAGAAGCATTGGATCTTTAGAAATTGGTTTTTCTACTCTTATTGCATTTAATATGTTTTCTCATTTCTGTTTAAGTTTCATTCCCATTATGAGCAGCTAAATTCATAACTAGGGCTTCGATGTAACCTAACATGAATATTCTGGGTTTATAAATTTCAAGTTTCAATTTTGATTCATGATTCATGTTCTTATTCATTATGCTTATAAGTTAATATGGTTGTTTGAATGATTGATCACCATTGAAACTTGTATGTTAGCTATCTTGGTTTGAATTAAGAATAGACATCATGCTTTAATTCGAATTGAACTATGAATAAGAAGAGTATGTATGGACATTGGACAACAGGGATTAGATACATGCTTGGTTGTTTAAAATGTTATTCTATGCTTAATGGATTCCTAATGCTTAATTTTAGGTTAGACAACAGATGATCACATTAGGGAATTAGGAATACAAGGTTATGACCAGACACCATGACTTAATCATACTTTAGCTAGAATCAATCTTTGAATCTGAATTAGACTTGTCACTTGAATCCTTATAACCCAGAATTGAATTGTTATGGTGAATCGAATGCCCTAGTCTCCAAATCAGTTTTCCAGCCCCCAAAAACACTCTACTATATTTGCTCACTTTGCTTTTGTTTGCAATTTCATTTTGCTTCATTTGTTCTACAATCACAATCACTCTTGCTTTAAATTCTGTTTTAGACTTTATCTCCTACTTTCTTGAATTCGGTAATCTAAGTACATAACTAAGTTTAACTTCTCAGTCTTCGTGGGTACGACCTTGTACTTGTCTTGCTATACTACTAATTGGCCCGTACAATTGCAAGTTAACATAATATTAACAACAAATTTTGGCGCGTTGCTGGGGACTGAACGAAAGTTCTTCCCTAGTTGTGTGCCCAAGGTTACCCTATTCTTTTAGTACTACTAATTAACTCAAGTTATTTTCTATTTCAAGTAGTTTATGTCTACAAATCCCTTCCTTGAACAAGTGAGGTCTTCATTCCAACATTGAAGATCATTGAACAAAGGACCATCGTTGCAACCCAACTGAGTGATCTCTAAAGTTCAGAGTCGTCTAGAAAGAGAGCTGTCAACTGCAAAGGAGCACCTCTTGCCACATCTACAGGTCTTGCTCTCCACACTGACCTCCCTGGTTCTTCACCTTCAAATTCGGAAGCAAGTTCATAACAAGAAGAAGAAGAAGAGATGGCTGTCAATGAGTTCATGGGAGACCTTGATATCCCAACAATTCCAGCATCCCCTTCAAGCATCTTGCTGCCCACCGCAGCTCGAAACTATGAGCTTAAATCTTCTCATCTTAATATGTTGCCTTCCATTTATGGTTTACCTAATGAAGATCCATTAACTCATATAAAGATATTTTTAATGTTGTGAGTTCTTTTCCCTTGACAGGTGTGACGGAAGATCAACTTCAAATGAGAGTGTTTCCTTACACTTTGAAAGATAAGGTGAAGTATTGGTTGAATTCTTTGAAGCCCGGTTCACTCACAACTTAGGGAGCCATTCAGAAGAAGTTCTTGGAGAAATACTTCTCCACACAAAAAACCGACATGTTTAAGGACAAGATCTTGTTATTTGCACAGCAAGATGATGAGTCATTTTGTGAAGCATGGGAAAGATTCAATGGGCTGCTCAATCAATGTCCTCATCATGGGATTCCATTGAAACTTCAAATGCGTATGTTTTATAAAGGACTAACCCCCTCTAGCCGCAATATTGTCACTAATTTTGCAGAAGGTTCTTATAAGACCAAGACTCCAGAAGAAATGTATGAACTCTTTGAGGAGATAGCAATGGAGACCCAACACACCGATACAAGAGGTAAGCGTGTTGTTAGTGGGTCTAATGATGCTTCTAGTGTGCAGATTTCGAAATTGTAACAAAAGCTAGATGCTTTTCTTGCATTGAACTCAAGAAACTCTTCGAAAGAAGTGTGTAGCATATGTGAAACTCATGATCATCCTACAACGGCTTGTCCACTTGGGGTTGCATATCCAGAATTTGTGCAAGAGCCAGCTAAGTTGGTAAATTCCTACAACCGAGGTCCAATAAATGATCCATATTCTCAAAGTTATAATCCAAGTTGGAGGAATCATCCAAACTTTTCATGGAGGAATACACAGAATCAAGCGAATCCCCCTTCACTCTAAAGGCCACAACAATCATCATCATTGGAGGATATAGTGAAGCAAAATGGCAATCAACCAATCCAATTTCCAGCAAACTACACAAGCTGCCATCTCCAAGTTGGAAGTCCAATTAGGCCAGATAGCTGCTGAAATAGCTCAAAGAGAGCCTGGGAAATGGCTAAGCCAAAGTGTGATCAATCCAAAAAATCAAGAAGCCAAGGCCGTTCATGTGCTCATATCAGGTAAGATTGTTGATAACAAATTTGGTTCTAATCTATCAAATGATGCTATGGTTGTAGAGGATGAAGATGAAAAGGAGACTATAGCTACGAAAGGAGAACAACCCAAAACTTCTCAGTCCGCTCCTAAGGCCAAATCAGATTCCCAGGAACCAAATCCATTCCAACTGCATAAAGGGGAGACAAATTCGTGCCACCACTTCTTCAAGGAGATAGATACGTGCCACCCGCTCCATATGTTCCATCGATTCCATTTCCTGGCCGTCCTAAGGAAACAAAGCAAGATAATGCTTTTAAAGAAATTTATGATATTTTGAGTAAAGTTAATATCAATTTGCCTTTGCTTGATGTTATCGAACAGATTCCTGCATATGGAAAATTCATCAAGAACTTGAAAACTCACAAGCTCAATTTTGCTCCAAATGAGGAAACAAAGCTCAACAACAATGTAAGTGTTGTGTTGCAAAGAAAGCTTCCACCAAAACTAGAAGATCCTGGCAGCTTTGACATTCCCATTAACATTGGAGATAAGAAGGTTGCAAGAGCCATGCTGGACTTGGGAGCAAGCATCAATGTAATGCCATATCCAAAAGGTATTGTAGAAGATATTTTAGTTCAAGTTAATACACTCATTCTTTCAGTTGATTTCGTAGTGATGGACATGGAGGATAACCCATATGGAGATCGTGTTGATCCCATTCTCCTCGGCCGACCATTCATGGCCACTATAGACACAATTATCAAAGTGAGAGATGGCACCTTATCCTTGACTGTTTTGGGTGAAACTGTCAGTGAGTGCGGAAGCCCAGTCCTTCACTTATTAGCAAATCGATTCAGAGGTTGCACCCTCAATACGCACAAGAATTGTGTTTTAGGGTGAATCACCTGTTGCTTACTTCCCTCTGTAGCCAAGACTTTTCTTACCTTTTCCACTCGGGTAGCTTACTCTATAAAGTGTTTGATGCGCTCTCTCAACCTTCTATCACTCTTGATACTCGTTTCTCAATTGATGTTGTGGATCATGAGGTTTCTTCTAAAATTTTGCAGAAAAAAATCTAATGATGCTCTAGAAGCTATCCTAACACAAGAAGAGGAAGATCTCTATGGACCAGAGTTCCAAGAAGTGGTGGTGGCCTTAGCAGTGTTTCAACCATACCCACCGTCCTTTAGGCCACCACTCGAGCCTCTTGGACCATCCTCCACAAAATTGGAGTCATCCATTATCACCCCGCCAAAGCTAGAACCTAAACCTCTACCTAATCATCTTAAATATACTTATTTGGGTGCTAATGAAACTCTCCCTGTTATAATTGCTATAGGTCTCACCTCATATGAAGAAGACAGCTCAATTGAAGTTCTAAAAGAGCACAAAACAGGCCTTGGATGGACCATAGCAGACATCAAAAGAATTAGTCCAAGCATGTGCATGCACCGAATTTTAATGGAAGAAGACAGCAAACCATCCCGTGATGCACAAAGAAGGCTAAATCCTAACATGAAATAGGTGGTTAGAGCTGAAGTTTTAAAGCTACTTGATGTAGGAATCATCTACCCAATTTTAGATTCTAAGTGGGTGAGTCCTGTGCAAGTTGTTCCAAAGAAGTCCAGAATCACCGTTGTAAAGAATGAAAAGAATGAGCTAGTTCCTATACGAACTATCATTGGTTGGAGAGTTGGCATTGATTATAGGAAGTTGAACACATCCACGAGAAAAGATCATTTCCCCTTGCCTTTTATTGATCAAATGCTTGACCGTTTATCTGGCCATGCTTACTACTGTTTTCTTGACGGATTTTCAGGTTATAATCAAATTCCCATTGCTCCAGAAGACTAGGAGGAAACCACGTTCACAGGCCCATTTGGTACGTTTTCTTATAGAAGGATGCCATTTGGTTTGTGTAATGCTCCAGCAACTTTTCAAAGATACATGATGGCAATCTTTTCTGATATGGTGGAATGATTCATGGAGGTATTTATGGATGATTTTTAAGTTTTTGGTTTCTCTTTTGATGATTGTCTTCACCACTTGTCTCTAGTGCTTAAAAGATGTTAGGAAACAAATTTGATTTTGAATTGGGAGAAGTGTCACTTCATGGTAAGACAAGGCATCGTGCTAGGTCATGTTGTTTCAAGAAAAGGAATTGAAGTGGACAAAGCCAAGATCAATATCATCTCGACTCTACCACCCCTCTCGTCTGTTAAAGGAGTCTGGGCCATGCCGGATTCTATAGAAGGTTCATCAAAAAATTTCAAGCATTACAAGACCATTGTGTAATCTCCTTGCTAAGATGTTGTTTTTGAGTTTGATGAAGCTTGCATGGAAGCTTTTACTACTTTGAAGAAGGACCTAACTTCAGCCCCTATTATCATAGCTCCAAATTGGTATTTACCATTTAAAATAATGTGTGATGCCTCTGACTTTGCTATTGGTGCAGTTTTAGGTCAAAAGAAGAACAAGCTTCCCCATGTGATTTATTATGCGAGTCGGGCCTTGAATGATGCTCAAATCAATTATTCCACAACAAAGAAGGAGTTGCTTGTTGTGGTTTTTTCTTTAGAAAAAATTCGTTCTTACCTTGTTGGTTCTAAAGTAATTGTTTATTCTGACCATGCAACTCTTAGATACTTGCTCACTAAAAAGGAAGCCAAATCATGCTTGATCAGATGGATTCTCTTGCTGCAATAGTTCGATTTGGAGATTCGAGACAAGAAGGGATATGAAAATGTGGTGGCTGACCATTTGAGCAGAATTGTGATTGAAGAACAAGGAGAAGCTGTACTACCCTTGAATGAGACTTTCTCGGATGAACAACTACATGTTGCCCAAGTCAAAGAGCCATGGTATGTTGATTTTGTTAGTTATCTTGCTTGTGGTGTTTGTAGAAATGATCTAACTTATCAGGACAAAAAGAAGTTCTTTTCCATGGTGAAACATTATGTCTGGGATGAACCTTTCTTATTCAAACATTGCCCAGATCAACTCATTAGAAGATGTGTTCCAGAAGAAGAACAAGAACGCATCCTTAGGAATAGTCACGAATTGGCTTGTGGAGGCCACTTTGGAGCTAAGAAAACTGCACTTAAAATTTTGCAATCAGGTTTCTTTTGGCCCACTCTATTCAAAGATGCACTTAATTTTTGTGTTAAGTGTGATAGGTGTCAAAGGATGGGAAACATAAGCCACAGGAACAAAATGCCATTGAAGAACATACTCTTTGTGGAACTCTTCGATGTGTGGGGTATTAATTTCATGGGACCATTCCCATCTTCCTTTGGTTATACCTACATACTTGTTGCTATTGATTATGTGTCTAAATGGGTGGAAGCCATAGCCACCAAAACCAATGATCATAAGGTGGTGCTGAAGTTCTTGAGGGACAATATTTTCACAAGGTTTGGTACTTCAAGGGCTATCATTAGTGATGGAGGCAACCATTTATGCAACAAGCCATTCAAAGCACTCATGAAGAAGTACAACATCACCCATCGAGTCTCTACACCATATCATCCTCAAACTTCTGGTCAAGTAGAAATAAGCAACAGAGAAATTAAACACATCCAAGAGAATGTGGTGAACAATACAAGGAAATATTGGGCTGCCAAGCTTAATGATGCATTATGGGCCTATAGGACTGCATATAAGACTCCCATCGGAATGAGCCCTTATTGTCTTGTCACCTGCCAATGGAACTTGAACACAACACTTTTTGGGCCATCAAGAAGTTGAATTTTGATAAGGACAAGGCCGGTCATGTCAGAAAGTTTCAACTCAATGAATTGGAAGAAATTAGACACGAGTCCTATGAGAATGCAAAGCTTTACAAAAAACGAACCAAGAGTTACGATGACAGGAACATTCAACGGAAAGAGTTCACCAAAGGTATGTTAGTTCTTTTGTTTAACTCACGTTGCATCTCTTTCTAAGAAAATTGAAGTCTAGGTGCTAGGCCCATTCACCGTGGTCAATGTTTCTCCCTATGGAGTTGTGGAGATTCAAAACCCTAAAGATGCTATGAAGTTGCAGCCATACCATTCTAAATCAATGATACCTTGCAGATCAATGAAGAATGCAACTTGGTATGTTCTTAAGTTACTTGTTTTTCCTTCCAATTCCTCCATTTCCCCAAACCTTATCCTATCATTACAACCTTGTGAAAGACCTAGTTGATCTTTGAGGATGTACTCATGGGTGTTCGTATGTATGTGTGTATCTCTATTCTTAGTATTTGATTCCCTTCATGAGATCTAACCAAGTACTGTGCTTTATTTCATATACTCACTCATGCTTGTTTTAGAGAATAAAACCGTAGGTTCTAAGTGATCGAGTGCTATATGTGAGAATTAGAGTTGAGGCATGTTTTTTCTTCAAGACTTGAGTGTGTGCCTTTGAGCTATTGCTTCCACTTTACACACTGATTGATCACCTATCTTGGCAACTCTATGGTGTTGGAGGTATGACTAAAGTTTTCTTTCATTTTCATTAGTTGATTTCAAAAAAATTTTTGCCTCACCACTTCGTTTTGTAGAGTTGGTAAAGCCTTTGTGGGTTAAACCCTCAAGAGACACAACTCCTCCTACCAGGGATGCCTAGAGGTTTAAAGGCTTGTTGCATACGCTCAATTCAATCGAGTTACCTGCGGAAGTGGTTTAGTTAGCTTCTTGTTTTATTTTTAACTTGGTTTTGTTTTGTTTTGCTCGAGGATTAGCAAAATCTAGGTCTAGGGGTATTTGCTTGAAGACAAAGTCTCCTCATAAGGCCGAAGAAGCTTCGGTTGATGAGGTGCCTATGGTTGATTGCCGCAGGGAAAAAGGGCGGCCGAGGCAGAGGCCGTTCAGGAAGCCTATCTTCAGGTAACCGGGAAGAGGCAGATCGACGAGGCCCTCATGTGATGCCGATGCCGAAGTGGCTGAGGGGGCCAAACAGAGGCGTGCCCACTTAAGGTCGTGCCGTTTGTCAATAGCATGGTTGACGGGGCACAGATCTAGTTGACATAAGGTCTTGTATTTATGTACTCCTCCTTCAAGTGTCTATGCGTTTGGCATCTACTAACTTTGTGTTATGTTGCAGGCTGACATAGAGATGTGGCTCTGTCTGAAGAGGGCCATTGGTGCTGCCGAACGAAACCAACAAAAGTACGAGAATACTCGAGCCAGAATCGCCAAGGCTGGCAAGGTTATCCGAGAAGTAGATCAGCACGCCGAGGAGAATACTGCCAAGATAACGGACCTTTCATCCAAGCTGGCCGAAGCTGAGAAGGCGCTAATGGAGGCTCAGGAGGTGAAGGCGGCAGCAAAGGTGGCAAGGGAAGCTGCCAGTCGGTCTCGTGCGATGAAGGAGGAGGAGGCGAAGAAGATGGCTGTGATAGACTGCCAATCCTTGGAGGAGTTCACGGTCCTGCTAGAGAAAGAAGTCATGGAGCTGTGCGAGGACCTTACGTATCGTTTCAAGCGGTACAACGCTGACAAGAAGCTCAACATGAACTTCCTTCGGAATCTGCCGCAGTTGCCCGAGGGTGTCACTAAGGAGATGGTAGAGGCGTAAAAAAGGGTGGATGTCGATGCTGATTCTTCGGACAACACTGATTCGGGCAATGAGGAAGAAGAGTTTGTTCCCGCCCCTGCTGCAGTTAAGCCTTCGGCCACTGTTGATGAGACCCTTATTTCTAATCCTCTTTCATCTTGAATTATTTTGAATGTAGTAATTACCCGTTTCGGAACAATTAGGTTGTTCTGGGGTCTGGCTTTTTATCAAGTTACTCTTGAATCAGCCTTGTTATTTTCATGTATTTTTATATTGTAGTACATGTATGCATGTCGTAGGTAGTGTACGTTTGATAATTCGGCGCAGTAAAGGCATAGCCGAATGTAAAACGGTACGGCGCCGTAAAGGCGTAGCCGAATGCATAGAAAACGATGGCGTCGTAAAGGCGTAGCCGAATGTTTAGGATAGGAAAACAAGCAATGATGCCGAACGAACTATCAACTATTGAACTGGCCAAAGGTTCGATCAGTTGTAATAATATTTTAAATGATCAACATTCCGAGGGTTTGTCCACCGGGACCACGCAATCGATAAGTTCCAGGTCAGCAGATGCTAACAACTTCGTAGGGGCCTTCTCATGACGGGCCGAGGGTGCCTTCGGTAGGGTTTCTAGTTGTGAGAGAGACTTTACGTAGAACCCAGTCCCCCACTTTGAACTATCAGTGTTTGACGTGCGAGTCGTAATACCGAGCTGTTCCGAAGCTGTGCTTGCGATCAGTGTTCATCGATGAGGTCCAAATTCAAAGCGAGTTTAGCCTTATTTTGATCGAGACCATAGGATGCCGTTCAGCATGTAGGTCCGTGGAGTTCTATCGGTACGACAGCTTCGGTGCCGAAGGCAAGGGAAAACGGTGTCTCGCTTGTTGACCTTCGGTAAGAGGTGTTATTTGCCCATAGAGCTTCAGGCAGTATCTCTGGCCAATCACCTTTGGCTGCTCCGAGCTTCTTCTTCAGGGTCTTCTTGATGATCTTGTTAATGGCTTCTACTTGGCCGTTGGATTGTGGATGCGCCGGAGATGCAAAGAAGATATTGATGTTGAATTGGGAACATAGATGCTGAAAGCAAGAGCAGTCGAATTGTTTATCGTTGTCGGTGACGATTGAATCGGCATATGATGTTTTTCCATTCAAAATGCTCAATCTTAGTGGCAGTGATTATGGCCAGGGCTTCGGCTATGACCACAAACTTGAGTTGTCCCTTGCCTTGTGGCATCGGATCGATGAGGTCAAGGCCCTATTGCGCGAATAGCCAAGGACTGATCATTGGAGTAAGTGGTTCAGCAGGTAGCTTTGGGATTGAGCCAAAGCGTTGGCATTGGTCACATTTTTGTACAAGTTTGACAGCGTTAGAGTGGAGAGTCAACCAATAGTAACCTTGCCGAACAGCTTTGAAGGCCAAGGATCGGGCTCCCGAACCGCAACCTCCTTCATGAACTTCTCGCAGAACGTAGTCCCCCTGTTATGAAGTAACACATCTTAGTAATGGTAGGGAGTGACTGCGTCGATAGAGAACTTTTTGTAGGATGAGGTACCTTGCCGAATGGCATCGGATAGCCTTGGATTCGGCTTCGTCAACTGAGAATGTGCCATATGTTAGGTAGGCGTTGATTACATCTATCCAACTGGGGATCTACCGAACTGCATGTACCTAAGACTCGGTAGTGCTTTGCGGAGCAAGGACTTCCACTGGTACATGGCGTCCGACTCGATCGTTGATCGTAGAGGCAAGCCGTGAGAGAGCATCAGCATGACTATTCTCGGACCTGGGGATCTGCCGAATTTGGTATGCACAGAACTGGCTGAGCAGTCGGCAGGCCTGCGCTAAATAGGCAGCGTATGCTAGTTTCTCAAGTTGGGGATACCGTTGCTCAGCGTCCTGTATGGAGTGGCTTGTGTAGAAGATTGGAAGCTCGACGCCATTTGGCTTTCTAATCAGTACAGAGCTTAGTGCCGATGCCAAAATAGAGAGGTAGATGATGAGGTTTTATCTTAGAAGAGGTAGTAAAAGGGCTTTACTCATGTAGGCTTTGAGATCTTCAAAGGCTCGGTCGCATTCAGTAGTCTAGAGGATCTGCCGTTTGTTTCCTTTGAGAGCTTTGAAGAAAGGGGCACATCGATCGGTAGCCTAGGGTATGAATCGAGCCAGGGTTGCAACTCGTCTGGTGAGGCTCTGAATGTCCTTCTTCGTCTTCGCACCTGCACATCAAGTAATGCCTTCTTCGTCTTTGCACCTGACTGTTCATGAAGCCCAGGAATTTTCCAGAAGAAACGCCGAAGACAAATTTGTTCGGATTGAGGGGCATGTTGTACCTCTTTAGGATGCCGAACATGAGGGAGAGATGGTCATCGGCGGTCTTGCTTTTGACGATCTTGCTTTTGACGAGCATGTCCTCTACATAGACCTCCATCGAAGTACTGATGAGTTCAGTGAATATTTTGTTGACCAACTTTGATACGTTGCCCCTGCATTCTTCAGACCAAACAGCATGACATTATAGCAGTAGAGGCCGCGGTCGGTGATGAATGCCGTATGCTCGCGATCGACAGGGTGCATGAAGATCTGGTTATAGCTTAAATAGGCGTCCATGAAGCTAAGGAGCTCGTGGTCAGCCTTGGCGTCCACCAGTTGGTCAATTCCTGGTATCGGGAAGCTATCATTCAGACATGCCTTGTTTAGATTCGTATAATCCTGGCACATTCGCCAGGCTCCACTAACTTTCTTATCAAGGACCGAATTGGCGAGCCAGATAGGGTAGGTCACCTCTCGGATGAAGCCGATTGCCTGAAGCTTGTCTACCTTAAGCTTATGTCGGATCGGCTTGAAAGAGGGGTTGATGCTGAGCTTTTGGCTGATGACGTCCGAGTAGATGCTTGGCATATCGTCATAGGACCAGGCGAACACTTCCGAATTGGATCTTAGGAAAGTGATGAATTCGACACGTAACAGTGGATTGAGAGAGGTGCCGATCCTCACCTGCCGGTCAGTCTATATGTCGGAGATGGATACCGTTTCTAGCTCTTCGACAGGTTGAGCTTATGGTGTCATGCTTTCATCCCAAGGATCATCCGGATGTTCGGACCTACCCTTGCCATTCGGCAGTGTCAAGGTTGAGACTGAAAAGGACTCGCGTGTTGCCCTTGCCGATTCCTTGGTTACCGATATGTAACACGTCCGTACGCTCAATTGGTCCCCTCACACTTGGCCGATTCCAGAAAGCGTTGGGAATTTGAGGAGGAGCATGTGTGGAGACAATAGAGCCTTCATTCCGGTTAGCGCTAGCCTACCGATGATGGCATTGTAAGCTGTCGGACAATCGACCACCAAGAAGTGATTATAGATAAGAGTCCTTCTAGGGGCGATGTCGATGGCGAGGGGGAGTTGGATGCTTCCGATTGGCTCAACAAATCTCCCGATAATCTTAAAAGATGGGTGATGTCCTTACTGGGGCTTTGGTATTTGATTTCGAGGCCTTTGAAGGCATCGACAAAGAGCACATGGACCAAACTTTTGGTGTCGATTAGGATTTGGCCTAGGTTGAAGTCGGCGTGTCTACTCGGATGATCATAGGATCGGAGTGGGGGAAGATGATGCCCTTTTCTTCTTCTACAGAAAAGGTGATGGGCTCTCATCTGATTCTTTGAATTTTATTGTGACGTCCTTCAGAGATGCTAAGGATCTGGGGGTGCCGAACGGCACGCATGTAGTTCTTGATGGACCGATTGCTGGTATCGGCAATTGGTGTGCCACCGCTAATCATGTTGATCTGCCGATTGTTTGGCTGCTCTAAGGCCGATTGTGTGCTAGATACTAATCAGGCGCTCGATGATCCGGCGAAGGGCGAGGCATGATTTCGTGTCGTGGCCGTTGTATTGGTGGTATCGGCAAAATACACTAGTGTCTTTGTCGTTTCACTGAGGAAGTTTCCTACCATTCGGCTTTGGTATCATCTGATTCTCATTTACCTAAACGCATTCATACGTGGTGTTGAGTAAGGTGAATACCTCAGCCTGCCGATCCTTCGGATCTCTAAAGTTGACTCGGCCCTCAGGGTCTTTGCCACCCTTGTTCCCATTCTGCCGATTCTGAAATTCATCCTTCCTCTTGCCTTCCGTGAAAGGGGTTGACACCGGGGGTGCCGTTCGAAAGGGGAGGGGTTGGTTAGTTGGAGCAGATGGGAAGCGATGGTGGGCTTGTTCCTTGGGCCGATCAGATGGTGCCGATGGGCGACTTGGAGCCGAAGGCTCCCCTTTGGAATTGAAGTGTTCGGTTTTGGCATGAATAGAAGCCAATTTCGTGAGTTCGTTGTATGTCATCCAGTTGTTACTGTGGACCATGTAGCGGAACTGCGATGAATGAATGCCACTCTTGAAGAAGCTGAATGCCATTTAGTCGTCCATTTCGGGACACCGTGAGTACTCGTTATTGAATCGAGCTCATCGTCTCTTTGTCGAACAGTGTATAGGTCATCGGCAGAGTACAGCCGATCGGTCTGTATCATGAAATGATTGAGAAAATTTTGCTTTAATTGATCGAAATAATCAACCATACCTGGCTCCAGGCGATAAAACCAGTTCAGGGCAGCTCCAGTCAAAGTGGAGGGGAACAGCAGACATTGACCTTCATCGGTAAGTCCTTTGCACCCCAATGCCGATTGGAAGGTGTGTATGTGAGTAAAGGATCCTCCACTCAAGTGTAAAACGATATTCCGAGTTGTTGGACATCCTTCTTGTGTCTGCAATTCAGAATTCGATCGGTGTATGGTCCTGGCTAGATCTTGCCCCAAGTCGGGTTCAAGACCGATTGGATAGTAGGATCCGTATGGGGTAGATCACTGCAGAAGGCGTCCACAGTCTGGCGATGTGGTGGCTAATGGCCTGCCATTTGGCCAGATGTGCGACCCATGTTGGTTCGACGATCATCTTCGGTTGTTGTCAAGTTGTTCCGATGGCGAGATTGTCTTGGTTCAGTTGAGCGGTAAGAAGCTATGGTTCCAGGAGACGTAGGGACGTAGTCCGATTCGTCTGTCTCCTCCAAGCCGATTGTACCGTACCTCCGCCGAAGAGAAGATTTCGGTCCGAAACATCCAAACACCAATTGTCGTGCCTAGTCTGAACATGGATGTATGACGGTTAGAGCTCCTTGTGCCGATCGTTGAGCCGATAACGACAGTCAGAGTAGACCTTGTACTCTTGATGCTGATCTTTTGGGGAGGGCACGAACAACCGTCAAGAAGCGGAAGGTCTGGCTGTTGCTTGCTCCTTCTCCCTGCTGCTGAGCTTCAACACACTCCGGAATTGCACTGAGTGTGATTGCTGATCATAGAGCTACCTTCGCGTATTGTCGAGTTTGGAAAATAGGATGTTGTTGTGCTCATGCATCTTCGCCACTTCCTGTTGGAGGGCTTCCATTCGAGCCTCCAGTGTGTTCTATCGAACAAATGTGTCCATTCATGGTGTGCTTGGTGGGGGAGCGGGGCTCTCACCGCATGCTAGACTGACGATGGCAAAACCATCGGCAGCTATGGATGAAGGTGGTTTGATCTTTGCTCAAGAGATATATGGGCCAATCGTTGATCAAAGATTCCCATAGACGGCCCCAATCTGTTCGCGCTAAAACTAAATAGATAATGATAGGGCTAACTTACAGGTGTTGTGGATGGTTGCGGACTGGAGGGGCCTTCAGACTGTGGCATCCTTCCTCATATGCTGAAGCTGGGATTAGGTTGGAGAGAGAGAAACGGCTAGTAAGGTCTCAAGCACAGTTGTGGTGTCGGCCGAAGACCCTCCGATGCCAAAGTTAGCGATTAAGAGCTAAATACTGAATGTGGAAGCACAGTTCAAGTAGAAAGTCTTACCTCGTGGCTGAGGTCAGGGACCTTATTTATTCATGGTGTTGGGTGGTTACTTAGCACTTAGTTCCGATGTGGGACTCGTGGGAGTGTCTTCACTAATTGCCACATGCCCCGACATGCTTTAGAGGGGGCTCCGAGGTTGTCTCATACAATCGGTCGGGCGTGCTGAACGCATGCTTGAGGTCATTCGGCCTCTAGTACCGAATGTCTGTACAAGGCGGGGTTCAGAAGCGCTTGCCGATTGGAGAAGGAAAGGATCGGTGGTATGAGCCGATTCACATTGGATTGGCCTGCTCGACGTGGCTGACAGGGTTGGTCTTAACCTCGTTCACTTTCCACGTGTCATGATGTGAGTGGAGGGTCAGATATGGTACAAATAGTGCTTATTTATTTGTTTCATTTAAAAACATGCTATGATTATAGTTCCCTAGCCCCTTGGCACACACGCATAGAGATACGAAGGCGACGCTTCTTAGAGATCACACTTACAAGAAATGGGCTTTATTTCATTTAAAAAATCAAACTATAAATTAATAGTTCACTAGCCCTACGCCTGTACCAATTGGATTTTTTTTACTCGGTTTACGCCTGTGCCCCTTAACTTTCATAATACTCTTTTTTTTCCTTTTATATTTTATTTAATTAAATTTAAACATTTTGTATGTATACTAATTTAGACTTATTTAATAGCATCTTTTCTATTATGCGGACGTTTATATATTATTATCATGCGGACGCCATGTATTTTCTACTACCCCTCCTTACTTTCCTCTTTGTCTACAATGGCATCTGCAAGATAATAACGTGGAGACATCCGAATGATAGTTTTTGCCTTTATATTTGTTGGTAATTTTTAACAACAATATTTAAACCTTGCAAGTGCACAAATCAAATGATAGTATAGTAAGCAAGCAAGGGTCATTCCCACAGAGATTGTAATCTAGAGAGATGTTTATCAATGTCACGCAACAAAAACACAAGGACTTCCACACACACGCCAACACCAAGGGGGGTTTTGATTTGATTTTGTGAATAAAACAAAATAAGGAAAACAAAACAAAACATAATTTAAATTAGAGTTTAAGAGAAATTGGTTTATAATCAATCAAGAACAATATCTAGGACTCACTATCCACCTCTAACCAATCAATCAATCCATAAACAACAATAGATAATCAATTTCTAGCAAGCATATGATGACGACACTCACAACAAGATCATGGCATTTGACTCGAGTTGTATGATTCTCTCTTAAGTGCATGTAAAGTGTATGGCATTTACATCAATACGTGTATTCTTAATTGAAATCTAGTATGGCATTTACTCAAATTAACAATCAAGAATCCATTAAGATCAAAGAGAATATGAGTGTCACAAAAACCCTAAAACATGGCATTTGTTATTAGGAATTCAAGAATCGATTTCTCATAACTAGTTCTTAACCAATTATTCGTTGCAAACAAGAACACATTCAATATGGCAATTGACCTATGTTCTACAACAATTTAATTCCAATACATGCTTCAAAGTTAGCTACTCAAAGAAACAAAATATCAGAATTCACATAACATAGAGAAACCGAAATCATCACTTGTAGAAACTGAAAATCCATTCAAACTTGTTTATAGAATTGAAATCATGTTTAGGGCTTCAAGATTAAGCCCTAACTAACAAGAAATTAGTTACTCATGCTCTTGGATGAACTCAAAAATAAATACATAAGAACTGAAACTTAAAAGAAGAAAGGAAAAGAAAGAACTCGTTGGCAGCTTTCTCCTCTTACGCGGTTGATCCCCTTTGGACGTGAATCCTCTGTATCGGGGCCTTGGCTGGCCTTTTATATCACTTATATCAAATTTATAAACCCTAAAATTGACTGAGAGTCGTCCAAGAAGTCTTGTAGAAAAATCATTAAAAATATATTTTAGAAAGATAAATGTCTTATCTTTCCAACCATATATAGCACGTAACTTGGAAAATTCGGGAAGGCTTCCGTTCTTCACATTCACGTAACATGTACGAAACTGTATTGTCTGCACGTGGGCTAACTTTACTTGTAATACTGTACCAATTGGCTTAGTAGAAAATTCTAGAAAAATCACAGATTGAACTTCAAGATGTTAGCATTCATCTCCAATTGGCCTTGCGCTAAAATTCTTCCAAAAAGTTGATTTTTCCTTAAAAACCTTCTAAGAGCGCAGAAAAGCTGAAAAGAAGAAAAGTAAAGTAATAAGCCCTTTTTAAATCTAATTCTCCTACAAAACCTAAGTAAAAAGAGTACATAAATGAGTATATTTATGGACTTATCAATATTCACTTCTAAGAGTTTTTAGATATTCCCTCAAAGATTATCTATGCAAAAGAATCGCTTGAATCCCAAATAGTTTGACCAATCAATTAGATGGTTGTTATTATAGTCTTTTATTGAAGCACTGTATTTGTCTATTTTGTTGGTCCCACTTAGATGCCTTAATGATTTTCAATCTGTATGAGGATGGTCTATGAATAAAGATGTGAATTGATTTGGATTATTGAAAAAAAAAAAAAAAAAAAAAAAAAAAAAAAAAAAGTAGGGACCCTAAAGGGTATCTCTCAAATAAAATTATTTAAGAGATCCCTCAATAGAGGGGAATATGCATATATGTTCTACTACAGCAATTTTACTAAAATTGTTGTAAAGCTCCTTTTAATGCATTTAAGAAAATAAAATTCTATTAATTAATGCTATAGAAAGTACTTTGTGTAGTAGTGTACCATTGTAGCCCTAAGGAGTCCATGTTAATGCCCATGTAATACAATAACTCATATAAATCTAGGCTTTTTATCACAAAACATCTCTAACGTTTGCGAAACTATCAGACTGCATCTTTAAAGTTTTTTTTTATCACTCATGGTCCCTAACGTTAATATGGGTGCTATTAAATAGTCCCTCTATCAAAAAAACTGTTATATCCCTGCGTCTAGACCTTTCGGTAATCTTCGCTCTATTTTTTGCGAGCTTTCCTCTCCATGCCTTTTTATATCCATAATTTTCTGGCCAACCAAACAATCAGTTGCTAAATCTCTCTTCCGATCAAACGCTTTCCAGCGCAAATCTAAGATCTCTTTCATGTAAGAATCTTTGCCGTCTCATTCCTGGAGGATTCTCATTCTTAGCTTTCATTTTCTTTTACCGGAATGAATTACACGCATTTTCCTTCCCTTTCTCAACTAGTTTCCCGAGAAACAAACAGCTCAAAATGTCCTTAAATGCTTATAAACTCAAGTGTTCAAGCTTTGATCTTTAATGGGTCAGCGCAAGTTTCAAACTTAACCCATTTTTAATTGCTTAGTTGATAATGGGTTGCTCTTGTGGTTTACAGAGTGTGTCTTGTGGTTTTTGGGTCTTTGGAAAAATGAGCAGAGTAGCCGATTCGAGTACCTTCAATGGGGATTTTGCAACAGCAGTGAACCACTTGCTCAAATGTCCCCGAAACCATCGACAAGTTCATGTTACCTTCTTGGGCTCAAGAAACTGACAACGAGAACAAGGAGCTGCTAGCATTCCAGTGGACATTTTAGACTCTCGAAAGGAGTATATATTTTTCTTGGACTTGCCTGGCTTGTCCAAATATGATATTCAGGTAATTTCCCACTTTCCCACTAGTCCAAATCTGACCTATTTCCTACTTCCACCCCTGAAATTCTCAGTCTTTCGGAGAACGAATTGTGTGAGTGGTTGGTTTTTTATTTTTATGTATAAATTTTTTATGGTTTATGTTGATGAATTATCTGAGTGGTAACAAATTTGTGGTTGCAATGCAGGTAACAGTTGAAGAGGAAAACACTCTGGTGATCCGAAGAAATGGGAAGAGGAAACGTGAAGATGGGGAGGAGGAAGGCTGTAAGTATTTGAGGCTTGAGAGGAGAGCACCCCAGAATCTGTTGGGGAAGTTTAGGTTGCCCCAAAATGCGAATGGAGGAGCCATATCTGCCAAGGGCGAAAATGGGGTTCTCACTGTGGTGGTTGGGAAGCTTCCTCCACCTCCCAAGCCCAAAACAGTTGAAGTTTCTATCTCTTGGAGCAGACTTACATTGGCCTATTTAAGACCCTGATTGATTTGACGATTATACCCCTCGATTTAACAATTTTTTTGACTGAGATACTATTTAAGAGCACCCATATTAACGTTAGGGACCATGAGTAATACAAAAAAACTTTAAGGATGCAATATGATAGTTTCACAAACGTCAAGGACGTTTTGTGATAAAAAGCCTATAAATCTATTAGCCGTGTGGGGAACAACGAAGTAAGCTCTTATTCCACTTCATGCTTTGTCTGCAAAAATTTGATATCAAATTATTAAACATTCTTTTATATATAAATATATATAAATTTACAAAGTAATTTAAGGTGATAAGCATACTGAAATTCTTTCATTGTCCCTGAAATTCACATTCACGTAACATGTACGAAACTGTCTTGTCTGCACGTGGGCTAACTTTACTTGTAATACTGTACCAATTGGCTTGGTAGAAAATTCTAGAAAAATCACAAATTGAACTTCAAGCTGTTAGCTTTCATCTCCAATTGGCCTTGTGCTAAAATTCCTCCAAAAAGTTGATTTTTCCTTAAAAACCTTCTAAGAGCGCAGAAAAGCTGAAAATCAGAAAAGTAAAGTAGTAAGCCCTTTTTAAATCTAATTCTCCTACAAAACCTAAGTAAAAAGAGTACATAAATGAGTATATTTATGGACTTATCAAAATACCCACAACTTAGATTTTGCTAGTCCTCGAGCAAAAGAAAACGGAAAATAAAAACAAAAAAACAACGACTCAAAACAAACAAACAACTAAATTCCCAATATTGATCTCAGAGATAATCATCAACGGTTAACTCACTTCCAAGAAATAAGCAACATTAACTCAGGACATTATCAAAGGGTTAACCAAACTTTAATTGAACAACTTGGAGTGTCATGTGTGAAATAGCCAACATTAATATAACCATGACTTAAGCTTCACAAGAGTTAAGTAACCAAATAAGAACAAGCTTTAACTTCAATTCTCACCAAGGATGTTTACTCCAATGAAAACACTCGAAATTTGACTAGGTAATGTCACTCATGTATGTGAGAAGAATCAAAGCAATAGGATGTACTCACATAATTGAAATAAAAGCACAAGAAGATCTCATGGGAAGATATCGCATACTTGAAAATATTTAAACCATCCGACTATAGTCCTTCCACACCTATTCTCCACATGAGGAACCACACTTCTCCTTGGATCAAGTAGGACTTTCACTAAGGTTGAAATAGGGCTTAAGGTGATGGGTGAAACAAGAAAAAGATATGGATGAACAAACGAAGTCTAAGGGCTAAGTAAAGCTTTCCATGAAATTATAATATCTTGCACTTTAGCACACAATTTTATCTTGATACTGTCTTAAATATATTTTTTTTTTTCTAACTCCATTAGCTTTCTAATCAACCCATGTAACAAGTGTTAGGCCAATAACTCCCAAGCTAGATAGCTTTAGGGTATTAAGTGTAAAACACTCCTCGGGCTTAAAAACTCGAGTTGAAAGGCTTCGGAATTTTGTAATAGTATCATATACACATGATTGAACATTTGTGCAATTCTCCCTTAACCATGAAAGTGCTCTACAAAGCTCCTTAAAAGGGTGTAGGATAAATATACAAAAGGTTAAGGTGAGGAGAATTGGGTAAAGAATGATAAAGGCTTACATAGAAGGCACAAGGGGTTGACTAGGGATAAAATTGATATGGGTTGGTTGGAAAGGCTCAAACGAATGAAACAAGGGCCTATATCACTTCCTAGGATCCATGTGGTTCATGAAATATGCCTCAAATAGATAACGAAAGTAGTTCTAGCAAACAATTTAAACATCCTCAAGTATTTGACCAAAACAAAGAATAATGAGATCACAACGACTTGTAGACGAGAAAATTATAGAATTATAACACTCAAGAAAGAAAGGGATAGGCTCAAAAACTCACATAATAAGGGTTGTATAAGTCTACACTAGCCTTATTTGGGAATTTAAATCATGTGAACTCCAATCGAAAATCATATTAATATGGCTATGTGCAAAAAGATTTACCAAGTCTAATCACAAGAATAAGGCTAACACAAAGATAATGTAAAGAATTATTGTCATGCTCATAACTTCTTGAAAGTAACTTGTAAATAAAATTCAATCTCATCATAGAATTGGGAAGTGACTACTACAAACAAATAAAAACAAGACTCAAAGTAAAAGAAAATATTTTTTTGATTTTATGACATTTTTCTGATTTTTTTTTATTTTTTATTTTTTATATTTTAAGGAGAGACAAAATTAGAAACAAGACAATACTCAATCACCCACAACTTAAAATAAACATTGTCCTCAATGTGTAAAATAAAGAAATAAATTAATGGATAATCAATTAAAGAGAGAGAGGGTTTGAGGACTTCCCGGGTTTTCTAGGTGTGCGGAGGGGCAAGAATTTGTTGAAGTGAGAGGAGATAAACAAGGCAACGAACTCAAACACCCACAACTTGTGTCTTTGAATGCCAACGGACTAGTAATAGCTCCTAAAAGTCTCGGAATGTGATGAAATTGGAACGAAATTGAGCTGGATATGTAATCATAAAAATCTGGAAATCTGACATTTAGCAACGAAAAATATGATGAACACCGCGGCAAAAAAACTCTTTAGTGACGAAAAATCTGATGAACACCGTCGCTAAAACCTCTTTGGTGACGAAAAATCTTCAAATTCTGGGCAGAACAGCAGCTGCTGTTTTTAGTGTTTTAGGACCTTTTTTTGAGCTTCAAATCATCCTAAAACATAATGTAGGCCACTGGAGGCCCCCAAACCTGGTCCAAATCGTCAGAATAACCATTCTAAACATGTTGGTGGCATCGGATTGACCTGAAAAACAGCAAAAAATAAATTATGCAGAAATTCTAGTTTTGACCAAAATAAGAACATAAAAGCTATTTTTCTGTTTTCTGGTATCTAAACTCAGCCAATGACCAAAAAAACTTCTGGAACACATTTGGAACATGCTGCAAACACCCTAGGGCTATAAAAATGTGAAAATTTTTCTTTGGAACACAAAATCCATTGTTTGATGACGCAAAACATAACAAAAACAAAAATTTGAAAATTTACGAGAAATCACACATAAACTAAAACAAAAGTTAAGAATGGTTGGGTTGCCTCCCAAGAAGCGCTAAGTTTAAAGTCTTCAGCCAGACGCGGTTCTTTAGATGATTAAACAATAGATGGGGGTGGTGCATCCACAAGCATGCTCTCTTTTCCAAGCTCAAAAGATTCATAGTATGGCTTCAAGCGATGTCCGTTCACTTTGAATATGTTTCCCATCTTGTCATTTTGAATCTCAACTGCACCATGAGGGAAAACATTAGTAACAACAAAAGGACCATACCATCTAGAACGTAACTTACCTGGGAATAGCCGAAGGCGTGAATTGAAGAGCAAGACTTTCTGCCCTATTTCAAAGGTCTTCCTTTGAATGGCTTTGTCATGAAATGCCTTCGTCTTTTCCTTGTAAATCCGTGCACTCTCATAAGCATCATTCCTCATCTCATCCAATTCATTCAATTGGAGTCGCCTTGCATCTCCAGCCTCTTTCATATCGAAATTGAATTTCTTGATTGCCCAAAATGCTCTATGTTCAAGCTCAACCGGAAGGTGACATGCTTTACCATAAACCAAACGAAAAGGAGACATACCAATGGGGGTTTTGTAAGCTGTCCTATATGCCCATAATGCTTCATTAAGTCTCAAACTCCAATCCTTTCTCGTAGGGCTCACGGTTTTCTCCAAGATTTGCTTGATTTCTCGGTTACTAATCTCTACTTGTCCACTTGTTTGGGGATGATAAGGTGTCGAGACCCTATGTGTAATTCCATACCGCTTTAAAAGTGCCTCAAATGACCTATTGCAAAAGTGAGTGCCTCCATCACTAATAATGGCTCTTGGTGTTCCAAACCTAGAAAAGATGTTTTCCTTCACAAAGCTCAAAACAACTTTTGAATCATTAGTCCGGGTAGGAATTGCTTCCACCCATTTAGAGACATAGTCAACAGCAAGGAGAATGTAAATAAAGCCATAAGAGGAAGGGAATGGTCCCATAAAATCAATACCCCACACATCAAATATTTCAACAATAAGGATAGGCGTTAAAGGCATTTGATTCCTAGAGCTGATGTTACCGGTTCTTTGACATCTATCACATGTGGAACAATAAGTATATGCATCTTTGAACAAGCTCGGCCAATAAAAACCACATTGCAATACTTTAAGGGCTGTTTTCTTAGGACCAAAATGTCCACCACATGCAGATGAATGACAAAAGGTAAGTATAGAATTAAATTCATATTCGGACACGCACCTTCTAACAATCTGATCTGGACAATATTTCCATAAGTATGGATCATCCCAAACATAATACTTACTCGTTTTGACAAGCTTATCCTTTTGAGCTCGAGTGAGATCCTCCGGAATCAGTTTTGAAGCCTTGTAATTGATAATGTCAGCGTACCAAGGGTCCTTGGCTTCGAGGGTGAAGAGTTGCTCATCGGGGAAACTTTCACGTAGAGGAAGCATGTCCTCTTCTTCATTGGATCCTTGCACCAGCCTACTCAAATGGTCAGCCACCACGTTTTCACTCCCTTTCTTGTCTCTAATCACCAAATCGAATTCTTGAAGCAAGAGAGTCCACCTAATCAGTCTTGGCTTGGCGTCCTTCTTTTGGAAGAGGTACCTAAGCGCTGCATGATCAGAGAATACAATTACTTTAGTGCCAATAAGATATGATCTAAATTTCTCTAAAGCAAAAATAACAGCAAGCAACTCCTTTTCCGTAGTTGAGTAATTCAACTGAGCATCATTCAAAGTCCGGGAGGCATAATAGATGGCATGTGGTACGTTGTGCACTTTTTGTCCAAGTACAGCCCCCACTGCATAATCCGAGGCGTCACACATCAACTCGAAGGGAAAATTCCAATCTGGAGGTTGTATAATAGGGGCAGACGTTAAAAGCTCCTTAAGCTTGTTAAATGCAGCCAAGCACTCTTCATTAAACTCGAATTCCACATCTTTGCCAAGCAATCGACATAGGGGCCTTGATATTTTTGAAAAGTCCTTGATGAAACGCCTATAGAACCCTGCATGTCCTAGGAATGACCTAATCTCCTTCACGGTTGTGGGGGCTGCAAGTTTCTCACAACATCGATTTTTGCCTTGTCCACTTCAATTCCCCTACAAGAGATAATGTGACCTAATACAATACCTTGCTGTACCATGAAGTGACACTTCTCCCAATTGAGCACTAAATTGCATTCCTGACACCTTTTCAACACTAGAGAGAGGTTGTGAAGACAAATATCAAAAGAATCACCAAAAACTGAAAAATCATCCATAAATACCTCTATTATCTCCTCCACCATATCAGAAAAAATTGACATCATGCAACGTTGAAAAGTGGCAGGTGCGTTACATAAACCAAAAGGCATACGCCTATAAGCAAACGTACCAAATGGACAAGTGAAGGTGGTCTTTTCTTGATCTTCCGGAGCTATGGCAATTTGATTGTATCCGGAGTATCCATCCAAGAAGCAATAATGACTATGACCTGCAAGACGCTCAAGCATTTGATCAATAAATGGTAACGGAAAGTGATCCTTACGTGTCGTGGTATTGAGCTTTCTATAATCTATGCATACTCTCCAACCCGTTTGAATTCTTTGAGGCACCAACTCATTGTCTTCATTCTTCACAACAGTAATTCCGGATTTCTTGGGAACAACTTGGACGGGACTCACCCACTTGCTATCCGAAATGGGGTGTATAATTCCCACGTCCAAAAGCTTCAAAACTTCCTTCTTAACGACTTCTTTCATCACCAGATTCAGCCTCCTTTGGGCTTCCCTTGTAGGTTTCGATTCTCCTTCCAAAAGGATCCTATGCATGCACTTTGTAGGGCTTATTCCTTTGATGTCTGCAATGGTCCAACCTAGGGCAGTCTTGTGCTCCCTTAGAACTCGAATTAGTTTGTCTTCTTCGGATGCACTCAAATTAGAAGCAATGATCACAGGCAGCGTCTTTTTGTCACCTAAATATGCATATTTCAAGTTCTCCGGAAGGGGTTTTAGCTCAACTTGTGGTGCCTTCACAATAGAGGGAACAAGCTTATTAGTAGATAATGGAATAGGCTCAAAAATAGAGTTAAACTTACCTCTTTGGGGAGGCAAGGCCTCAAGTATATTCACAGCTTCAAGTACAGCTATGTTCCCTTCTTTATTCACTGTTTCGGGGCTTTGGATGAGTGCCCTCTCCAATGGCGTCTCTCCTTGTGATGCACTAAATGTTTCTTGTACCATTTGTTCAAGTACATCTATGGAAAAACAAGCATGATCATCGTTAGGATATTTTAAAGCATCAAATACCTTAAACTCCACGGTTTCCTCATCGAATGCCATTGTGAGAGTGCCTTCATACACATCAATTTTTGTCCTTGCTGTTCTCATGAATGGACGTCCTAGAATCAATGGAAGGTCTTTTCCAGGAATAGGAACTTCCTCCATCTCGAGCACTAGAAAGTCAGCTGGAAAAATTAGCTCATTCACCTTGACCAAAACGTCTTCCAACACTCCCTTAGGATACTTGATTGATCGATCAGCCAATTGTATGCTCACGGAAGTCTTCTTAAGCTCACCTAAATTTAAAGATTCAAAAACAGAAAAAGGCATCAAATTAATTGAAGCACCTAAGTCTAATAAAGCATGTTCAAACCTTTGATTTCCAATGAGACAAGGTATAGTAAAACTCCCTGGATCCTTTAGTTTAGGAGGCAATTTACGCAATAGCACAGCTGAGACTTCTTCACTCAAGGCCACGGTTTCATGCTCCTTGAACTTTCTCTTATTTGTACAAAGGTCTTTGAGGAATTTTGCATAGCTTGGAATTTGTTGGATCGCATCAAGCAAGGGAATGTTCACTTGCACTTTTCGGAAAGTCTCTAGGATATCCTTTGAAACTTGCTCCTTCTTTGAATTCAAAAACCTACGAGGAAAAGGAACTTTTGGAGTAATCGAATGATTCACAGGAGAACTTACCTTAGAGTTGTCACTTGGAACCGTAAGCTTGGAAAAGGGGGCAGCCACTGTTTTGGTTGAATTTCTCTCCTCCTTGTCAACATTTGCCACCTCTTTTCCACTTCGAAGAGTAATCGCCTTTGCTGTTTCATGGCCTCCATTAGGATTTGGAATGACTTGGCTTGGAAACTTTCCTGGCTCTCTTTGACTCAAGGAGGTTGCAATTTGTCCAACTTGGTTTTCAAGGCTCTTGATTGCTGTAGACATTTGTGCCTGTGTTTGCCTTGTTTCCTGCATAAAACCTTGAGTGCTTAATGCCAAAGAATTAATTAACTCTTCTAAAGACTTACCTTGCCCATGAGGTGGTGGTGCATTTTGTTGAGGAACAAACTGATTTTGTTGAACTGGGGCTGTTTGCACATTTTGGTTGTTCTTCCATCCAAAGTTAGGGTGTTGCCGCCATCCCGGATTATAGGTGTTAGAAAAAGGATCGTTTCTTGGCTTTTGTTGCTGCATATAGTGTGCTTGAGCCATCTCTTCTCCGTCACCATACAAACTTGGACAAGACTCCGTAGGATGTCCGGGATTAGCACACACGGCACACACTTGTGCTTGAGGGATTAATTGCTTAACAAGGTTAGTCAAATTAGCTATTTGAGGACCAATATCACTAGCACTTACCTCATAAACACCTGCTTTCTTTGGGGGAGCTCTCCGGTAATTAAATTGTTGAGAGTTTGCTGCAATGTTCTCAAACATCTCCTTAGCTTGAGTAGCACTCTTGTTCATCAAGCCTCCTCCACTAGTAGCATCAACCATCATCCTCTCCGAATCAAGTAATCCCTCATAAAAGTATTGCATAAGTAGCCAATCTTCAATTTGGTGATGAGGGCACGAAGCTAGGAGTCTTTGAAACCGATCCCAATACTCATGAAATGATTCTCCATCTAGTTGCTGCACTCCCATGATCTCCTTCCTAATATGGTTTGTCTTTTGAGCTGGAAAGAACTTTGCAAGGAACTTGGAAGCCAATGCTGTCCATGTGGTGATAGATGCACTAGGTAAAGAATAGAGCCACTCCTTGGCTCGTTCCTTGAGTGAGAATGGAAACAAACGCAATCTGATTGCCTCATCACTAATCCCTCCATTGTGCATAGTTGCGCACACAGCAAAGAAATCCTTGATATGTATGTGAGGATCATCCCCAACCTTGCCATAGAATTGTGGCAAAAGGTGAATGGTGCCACTCTTGATCTCAAAGGTGGTTGTAGTGGCTGGATATGCAATGCAAGACGGCTGGTCCAATGCTTTAGGAACCGTGAAATCCTTCAAAGGTCGGGTGAGGTTGTTAAGTTCCAACGCGTCTCCCATCTTGATTGGAAGTGTATCTTGCTTATTTTTATCTCGACGGAGATAACGAAGTGTGTTCTCTAGTTCAGGGTCGTATGGTATAAGCTCGTGACTCTGCGAACGACGACCCAGCATATACCTGAAAATTGAAAACAAAACTCAATTAGATTGACAATCCCCGGCAACGGCGCCAAAAACTTGTTGGTAATTTTTAACAACAATATTTAAACCTTGCAAGTGCACAAATCAAATGATAGTATAGTAAGCAAGCAAGGGTCATTCCCACAGAGATTGTAATCTAGAGAGATGTTTATCAATGTCACGCAACGAAAACACAAGGACTTCCACACACACGCCAACACCAAGGGGGGTTTTTATTTGATTTTGTGAATAAAACAAAATAAGGAAAACAAAACAAAACAGAATTTAAATTAGAGTTTAAGAGAAATTGGTTTATAATCAATCAAGAACAATAGCTAGGACTCACTATCCACCTCTAACCAATCAATCAATTCATAAACAACAATAGATAATCAATTTCTAGCAATCATATGATGACGACACTCACAACAAGATCATGGCATTTGACTCGAGTTGTATGATTCTCTCTTAAGTGCATGTAAAGTGTATGGCATTTACATCAATACGTGTATTCTTAATTGAAATCTAGTATGGCATTTACTCAAATTAACAATCAAGAATCCATTAAGATCAAAGAGAATATGAGTGTCACAAAAACCCTAAAACATGGCATTTGTTATTAGGAATTCAAGAATCGATTTCTCATAACTAGTTCTTAACCCAATTATTCGTTGCAAACAAGAACACATTCAATATGGCAATTGACCTATGTTCTACAACAATTTAATTCCAATACATGCTTCAAAGTTAGCTACTCAAAGAAACAAAATATCAGAATTCACAAAACATAGAGAAACCGAAATCATCACACTTGTAGAAACTGAAAATCCATTCAAACTTGTTTATAGAATTGAAATCATGTTTAGGGCTTCAAGATTAAGCCCTAACTAACAAGAAATTAGTTACTCATGCTCTTGGATGAACTCAAAAATAAATACATAAGAACTGAAACTTAAAAGAAGAAAGGAAAAGAAAGAACTCGTTGGCAGCTTTCTCCTCTTACGCGGTTGATCCCTTTTGGACGTGAATACTCTGTATCGGGGCCTTGGCTGGCCTTTTATATCACTTATATCAAAGTTATAAACCCTAAAATTGACTGAGAGTCGTCCAAGAAGTCTTGGTAAACAAGGAATCCAAATAGGAAAGTAAAAATCACAATTCCTAACTCCACAGGGAAATACAGCTCAGCCCAATTGTCACACGATTTGGGGATCTTCGGCCTTGTAGAAAAATCATTAAAAATATATTTTAGAAAGATAAATGTCTTATCTTTCCAACCATATATAGCACGTAACTTGGAAAATTCGGGAAGGCTTCCGTTCTTCACATTCACGTAACATGTACGAAACTGTCTTGTCTGCACGTGGGCTAACTTTACTTGTAATACTGTACCAATTGGCTTGGTAGAAAATTCTAGAAAAATCACAGATTGAACTTCAAGATGTTAGCTTTCATCTCCAATTGGCCTTGTGCTAAAATTCCTCCAAAAAGTTGATTTTTCCTTTAAAACCTTCTAAGAGCGCAGAAAAGCTGAAAATCAGAAAAGTAAAGTAGTAAGCCCTTTTTAAATCTAATTCTCCTACAAAACCTAAGTAAAAAGAGTACATAAATGAGTATATTTATGGACTTATCATGCACCTTCCTTTTTGGTATTTTTCAAAAGAATGGACATAAAAGCCTTATAGTTGGATTTTCCAATGATTGTGTTGATGTCAATGTCATTATTCCCCACATTTTGATACATATTTCTCCATGTATCTCTTCTCTCATATTGTAGATGCAACCAAGAGGGAAAAAATATCTCTCCATGCCTCAAGAGGGAAAAAATATCTCTTCTCTCACATTTTGATACATATTTCTCCATGCCTCAAGAGGGAAAAAATATCTCTCATTAGATGATTGGAGCAGAGGATGATACCATAAGTCGTTAAAAGTCATCCTTCATGTATACAAGGAAAATAACAATAATTATTTTATTTATAAAAAAAATTAGTAAAAAGTTGTTCAGATGGTTTTCTAACCCAAGGTGGTCGATCGTGCCATAGAAGTGCACTAACTCCACTATTGCAATATTCTCCCCGAGCATTCTTGAAACCAAAGATTTGAATTCTTGTCTATAGCTTGACAATTTAGTTTCAATACAAGGATTTTCAAGATAGGGGATCTTTGCTCGACCATGAATAATGACTATGTCATCGTCGTTCAAGTAGCCAGAACGTATATCTTTCAACTCCAATTGGAACAGTACCTCAATAATATCCCTTTCAAAAAAGTACAGTTAGGGAATGTTGACGTGAGTTAACTGATTTAGGTGATTTACTTCCTTGTTTTATATAGTTGACACATCTTTATAATTATGAGATATTCTTCTAATTAATTAATGCACTTCTAATAATATTGAGGTCTTTTGTATAAACAGGTGATTAAGTTGGAGACAGTTGTTGAGGCCCAAATAAGTTTTCGGTCCACTACGATACTGTATTAAGAAAAGTCACATATCGGAGTACACGAAGGCTCATCACATACAAATCATAGTCCACGTGCCATGATAAATAAATAATTTGTCATGCCAAGGACTAAAACAATATTATAAATTACAAGCCCATGCTAAACTAAGCACCGTGTCCCTCTTCAAGGACAATAAAATTGAAGCACACCAAGCGAGATGTCACACCAAGCAAGGAATTATTATTCCCCACCCAATCACGCCACAAGCTTAAGTGGGCCCCAAGCCACTCAAATATTCTGGGCTTGCTTGAGTGGATTGTGGTATGGATGATAATAAGTTGTCATGAGGCCCATTGATGGGCCGAGAAATGGAAGTCCCGGGTTGCTTGGGAGCCTTGGGGCTCAAGCCTATTTCATAGGCCCAAACATGTGGGTGAGCACAAGAGAGAAAAGAATAACCCATCACTCCAAACAAAAATAGCCCAAAACTTGATAAAGTTAGCCCATTTATTTGATGGATCAACATTTTGTCTTAGAAGGCCCATACAATTAGGACAAAGAGGTAGAAAAACCTCAACAGCTGGATAGAAAACAAGGCCATGGGTGAAGATTGAAAGGCCATGTGTGCAAAGCTGTTGGGAGGCTCCAACACGTGGGAAGAAACAAGTTTCAAGCAAGAAACACCCAGCGAACCATAGGATGTTCGCGTGCAAAGTGGGAATCATCCTTCGAACCAGCATGTATACCTATTTCTTTCCGTCATCAGATCTGACCATGAAAGAGGGGAGGAAAGAGAGGAAAGGGAATGGGCTGAAAATAGGAATTCTTCACTAGGGCAGCTGCGAGAAAGGGACCTTGGGCTCCCAAAATCCCTGATTTTGTGCAAAGGAGTAGAGTAGATTTCACCAAAATAGGATGATTGAAGGGATGAGGGGAGAAAGGAAAGGAAAGACTTGGCAAAATGGGATGGAAGCCATTAGGGTTTCTTGGAAAAAGAATGGCTTCCAACTGCTATAAATAGGGCCTCTTCTACCCAACAAAAATCATCCACAACCCGAGAGCAAGCTTCCTCTCTTACTTCCAAAACCAGCAATTTTTGTGCTTAAGTTCATCTTCTTTCTCCTTAGTCTCCCTTCTTGGTAGGCTGTTCTAACACTTGGCAGAACCTCTATCAAGTTGCCGGAAAAGCACTCAAGCCACCCTTTTCTCTCTTTCCCTCATTCTCAACCAAACCTTTTTGCAAAACCCTTTTTCCTCCTACCTTAATATCCCATCTTTCCCTTAGGAACACTTAATTTTCTCTTTAGTGCTAAACTCATGGAAACTTAGCACTCATGCCACAAGCCTCTCATGCCAAGCTAAGATTCTACTTGTAAGCACTAAGAATTTATCTATAAGCAACCATTATTTTTTGTTGGTGAAGGTAACCAAGGTGTTTCCTAAGGGTTCACTATCCTTTCGAAACATTTTGGGGTCTAATCTTTGAACTCAGACACAGGAGATATTTTCTTCAGTTTGCTCCTTATGGCAGCCCAGCTCATTTGTAGCTGCTAGGGGTGGCATTTTAGACCGAAAAATTGAAAAACCACAAAAACCAACCGACAATTTACCACAATGAAATCACAATCGCGGGAAACTGAACCGCATTTGCGGTATGAAGAACCAAACCGCAGTATTTGATTTTCAAAACTTGCAGTTACCTTAAACCACGACTATATTTATAATTAAAAAAAATTGCATTTTGTACATAGCACTGGTGCTCAAACAACACAACAAGGTCCTTCAAATCCACTCACCACCACCAACAATTGAGTTTATAACTTTAGTTTGTAACATTGGTGCATTGCATTTTCCTTTTAGTTTGTAACTTTAATTAACTTTGAATTGGATTTTTCCTTTGGGTTGTAACTTTAATTCATTTTGCATTGCATTTTCCTTTTGGTTTGTAACTTTAAAGGATTTGGAATTGGAATGCTTGAGAAGTTGAGGTTGTGAATACTTGAGAAGTTTAACTTTAATTGGAATGCTCGGAATTGTAACTTTAATTTTTTTTAGGTTGTGAATGCTTGAAAAGTTGAGGAGGTTGTGAATTTATATATGCTTGAGAAATTGAGGTTGTGAGTTTATATTTTTGGGTTAAAGTATGCTTGAACTCAAAAGGCTTCAAAAGAAGCATCAAAATTAGGCCTAAAATGTGGAGGATTGGATTTTTATGATACAAAAAGAACTTGCGGTTTTAAACTGCTAATTCACAGTAACTGACCGTTTTTTGCGTCGGTTTGAGGTTTCAAAAATCACCATACCGCAAATAGTCGGTCGATTTGCGGTTTGGACAAAAATTCACAATTACTGAACCGTAACCACCCCTAGTAGCTGCTAGAAGAAAAGGCCCCTACATCAGTATTGATATTGCTATTGATGGGCCATAGGCGTGTCTCTATGAAATTTAACAGTGCACTAGTAGAGGAATTCATAAACGATGGAATTTATCTATATATATATAAAACAAAAGGCAGAGAACGGTGAAATATTCAAAATACCAGAAAATGTCCTTGGTTAATTCAAAATTGAAATTATTAATTAAATGAGGATAATATAGTAAATTCACATTTTTCATATTTTAAAAAATAAAAAATAAAAAAAATCAGATAATAAGTCCTATTTTTATGGAACATAACTACCCATGTTATGTTTTCTTAATTCTAAAAATAAAATAAAAAATAAAAAAATAAAACCAATTGGCACATGCGGAGCATGTGCGGGGCTAGTTAAAATGATGTAAATTAATGTTCTAACATTTGTAAAGATTCTTATTGGCTAATGGTTTCACACATGAAATTTACTATTTTAAAACTTCTATTCTCTTGGAATTTTAGAATTGACAACTATTTAAATAGGATTTATTCAATCCAAATTCCTTGTTTTTTCATTTGGAATTTATAAATTTCCATGTTTTTTTAAATCTAAACACAGAAATTGAGGTATGTCAATATATAAATTTAGGAATTGAGGTATGTCAATATAGAAATTCTGACTTTTATCTAAATCAAAAGTTTATTTCTTACATCCAAACACATATAGAAAACAAGAAAGAAAAAAATTAAATTGTTTGCAAACTGACCGAATAATTGTGCGATACTCGTACACAACACGAACATCCATCCGTCGTGAAGTAACGTCTGATCTTTTTAACATGTCCGCTAACGTGTAATGAGAAGAAGATGTTTTTCTAGCAAGACTTTCAGTGGCTACAACTTTAGCACCATTAGGTAAAGAATCAAGATTGGCAGCTGAATCAGAGCTAAACAGCTTCGGGAAGGATTTTAAAAATTTTGGAATATCAACCGTAGATGAAAGAGCTCCTTCAACGAAATCATTCTCCATGCATGAATCTCTCTTTTCTCTCTCATATAAGTTGTGCACACCTATAAAGTATTATTTTATAACTTATATTGGAGGTATAAACCTACTGAAAACAGGAAACAAATTAGAAATAGAAAAAAGAAAACAAATGCGAACAGGTGATCGGAGAATCTTAACGAGAAAGAATTACTCACTTGCCGAACGGGAACTGGAACGTGCACTACTGACAAGAAATAAGACGGGGTGGCAGGGGGTTCTTCCGAGATCGGGGCTTGGACTAGCCGAAAATTCAGAAGAGGATTTCTTAGTGGAGGTGGGAAACGTGTGGGCCTTATCTCCTTTGACTTTAGTTGCGCGAGGTAGTTTCCTTTGCAAGCACACCCAAGAATAAATAATCATGTTAGACATAACAGTGATGTGGCGGACCACTCTTCAGTTTATGCCCTGTTTCATGGTATGATGGTTTTGGGTGTGGTTTCACTTGGAATTTGCCGACCCACTTATATATGTCAGACAGAGTAGTAACAAATTGAATTTGTCAAATTATAAATTTGTTGATGAATGTGGTAATTTTAAAACATCTGTTTGCTATTTTAATAATTGTAGGTTTTGTCATTTCAAAGTAAAATAAATGTTTTGAAAATTAGAGATTCAAGAGACTGTTGGAGATGCGCTCCAACTCATATGTCAAAAGTGCCACATAGATATTTAACGGCTAAAAATAACATCTCACATCACACTCCAACCGAATTGTCAAAGCTGATGTGGAATGAATGATGGAGGTTCAGCCGTTACTTTTGACATCCTAAAAGCAAGATGTCAAATAAATATTTTATTAATTTTTAGCTGTTACTTTCAATTTTTTTTTCTTCTTTATCTTGAATGATTTGACTGTTACAATAATTATTTATTTGACATATCGGGTGGAGTGTAAAACTGTGTAAATGTCAAATTGCCACATCAGCCCATTTAAATATGATGTTTGGTATTTGACATTTCCCTTAGAGATGTTCTTATGGTAGGGGCATCTACAATCATGTTGTTGAGGCCCAAAAAATTCAAGGCTGGGCCTAAATATATTTCTAGCATAGTACGACACTTAACTTGGGAAGAAACTCAACTTGGGTATGCAAGAGTTCGTCATATGCGATTGCACACATGCCACGCCAAACAAATGAGTGACACACCACGCTATAAGCTTAAGTGGGCTCAAGCCACGCGAATGCCTGGGGCTTGCTGAGCAGATTGTGGTATGGATGGTTACGAGCATTCACGAGGCCCATTGATGGGCCAAGAAGTGGAAGTTTTGGGCTGCTTGGGAGCCCCAAAACTCAAGCCCATTTCTTGAGCCCAAATATGTGGGTAGCATGAAAGAGAGAAAAAGTTAGCCCATCACCTTAGAAAATTGACCCATCACCTGTGTAAAAATAGTCCATTGGCCCATCCCCTCAGTGAACTAGCCCATTACCTCAAAGAATGGCCTAAGTTACCAACAAAAATATATGAAAGTCTCCAACACATGGCTGGAGACAAAACAACAACAAAAGCCAAAGGTTACCTATGTATGCAAGCTGCTGGGAATCTCTAGCACATGATCAAGAAACAAACCCAAGGCAAACCACTTGAAGAACCAAAGGATATTAGAGCACGCAGCACCCTTCAAATTAGATATTGAGGATTCTAACTTAGGCCATCTCTTTCCCCAACCAGCTTTTTCCAAGAAATAAAGGAGGAAAGAAGGAGAGATGGTCGCCAAAGATAGGAGATTGCCACAGAGACAGCTGCGGGAAGGCTTTAGAGCCTCCAAAAATCTTGTCTTTGAGTGCTTGGACTAAGGAACATTTCACAAAATAGGGATGAATTAAAGGAAGAGTAGAGAAAGGGAGGGAGAAGACTTGGCAAAATTGGAGAGAATCAACTAGGGTTTTCTTGGGAAGAAGGAGCTTCCAGCGCCTATAAAAGGGAGGCACCTTCAATCCAGCAAAACAACTGACAAAAGGCAAGCAAACCACATCCAAAGAGCAAGCTTCCTCTCTCACCTCCAAAACCCAACAATTTCGTGCTCTATTCATCCTTCTCCCCCATCTTTTCTCTCATGGAAAACTATTCTAGTACTTGACAGAACCTCTGTCGAGCTGCCGGAAAACCACTTAAGTGACACATTGCCTGCTCTTTCTCTCTCTCTCTCTCTCTCTCTCTCTCTCTCTCTCTCTCTCTCTCTTCAACAAACCTTCTTAGAATCCCTTCCCTCTTTCCTTAGAACCCTGTTTCTCATAGGAAACCACAGCTCTCTCTCTTTCATGCTAAACTCGTGAGTGCTTAGCTCCAATTCCACAAACTTCTCATGCCAAGCCAAGAATTTATTTGTAAGCAGCCGTTGTTTTTGTTGGTGAAGATAACCAGGGTGTTTCCTAAAGTTTCACTACCCTTTCGAAGCATTCTTGGGGTATGATTCTTGAACTCAAACTCAAGGGGTCATTTCACACATTCACTCTTTACGACAGCCCAGCCCATTTGTAGCTGCCGAAACGAAAAAGCCCCTACACATACTCCTTGTTTTTCAGTTGAAATTTAGTTGTGGGAGTCATAAATATTTTAATTCTTTTTAAAACATTCAGCATTAATAACAATCAGGCCTTTCCCTTTGCTTTTGTCGTTGTTGTTGCCATTTCCTTGCCATTAATTTTGCCCCTTGATGTTCCCCTTTCTTTTTAGGGTTTGCTATTGTGTATTTCCATTGAGATCTTTGCTTTGTTTTTGTGTTCTATTTGATTCATAGCTCACAATAAGACATTATTTGTTGCTCGTATGGGGTCCACTTTGTTGGAACCCTATGTTCTTTTATCTGCTTATGACCCACCACCATGTAGTGGTACAAATACATGGATGATTGATACTAGAGCAAGTGATCATGTGACTTTTGAATCTCGCATGTTTGCTCACTTGTCTTCTACACTCCGCTATCCCTACATCACTAATGTCAATGGTGTCCCTTCTCTAGTCACTAGTGAAGGATCTCTTTGTCTTTCCCACACCTTATCTCCCTCTCAAATGCCTTGCTTGTCCCTAACCTCAATTCCAATTTATTATATGTTGCCAAATTTCTCAACTCATATGCTACTTTATATCCTTCCTATTGCCACACGAGACAGTTGGCATGGTACATGATAGGGGGTTGGTATTACTTAGCACTATACGCTGCAGTCTATTCTGATAGCATTGATCATACCATTCACAGTGCTCGTGTCATCAACAAAGATAAGATTTGGCTCTGGCATCGTTGCCTAGGACATTCGTCATTTGGTTACCTCATGTATTTGTTTCCATGTTTACTTGTCTTCTACACTCCGTCATCCATACATCACTAGTGTCAATGGTGTCCCTTCTCCAGTCACCGATGAAGGATCTGTTTGTCTTTCCCACACCTTATCTCTCTCTCAAATGCATTGTCTTTCCCACACCTTATTATATGTTGCCAAATTTCTTTACTCATACAATTGTTATGCTACTTCATATCCTTCCTATTGCCAATTTCAAGATCTTAACACTCAAGAGACAATTGGCATGGAACATAGAGAGTGGTTGCAGTTCGGTAACCGAGAATTTTTGCCAAAACCATAAATAGACCGACTATACGTGGTAAGGTGATTTTTGAAACCGCAAACCGACCGCTTTTCACAATTTACCGCTTTGCAGTAAAATTGCAAGTTCGGTTGGTTACCATGAATTAACGGTTTAAACCATAAGTTCTTTTTGTGTCATAAAAATCCAATCTTCCACATTTTAGGCCTAGTTTTGATGCTTCTTTTGAAGCCTTTTGAGTTCAAGCATACTTTAACCCAAAAATATAAATTCACAACCTAAAGAAATAAATTCATAACCTCAACTTTTCAAGCATATATAAATTCACAACCTCAACCTCAACTTCAACTTCTCAAGCATTCACAACCTAAAGAAAAATCCAATTCCAAATCCTTTAAAGTTACAAACCTAAAGGAAAATGCAATGCAAAATGAATTAAAGTTACAACCCAAAGAAAAAATCCAATTCAAAGTTAATTAAAGTTACAAACCAAAAGGAAAATGCAATGCAAAATGAATTTAAGTTACAATCCAAAGGAAAAATCCAATTCAAAGTTAATTAAAGTTACAAACCAAAAGGAGAACTCAAGTGTTGGCGGTGGTGAGTGGATTTGAAGGACCCGGTTGTGTTGTTTAAGCACCAATGCTATTTACAAATAAAACAACATAAGCTTAGTACATTTTATTATAAGAAGAAGCATAAATAACATATGCATAAATAAACTAATTACTTACAAGTTGTCATATGCTCCATTTCCTTGTAGAATTCAACCTCATCATCCGTTGGTTCCTTGCAATTTTATTATTATTTAATATATGATTGCTGTTTGTGGTAACCGCGAGTTGCCAACTTCATCAACCGCAACCACAATTACGGTGCGGTTTCTAAAACCGCAATTTTCGGTAGGTTTCCGGGTATTGCGGTTCCAATGAGGTATAATATCGATTGATTTTTGCGGTTTTTCGGTCTAAAATGTCACCCTATTTAGCACTACCAGCTACAACCTATTCTGATAGCGTTAATCATACAACCTAGCATCGTCGTCTGGGATTTCATTCGTCGTTTTTGGTTTTGGTATGTACATAATTTTTTTTTTTTTTTTTTTTTTTTTTTTTTTTTTTTTTTTTTCTCCATCTTTCTTCTCTATTATCCAGTCATGTGGAGTTCAAATGTGAAACTGTGTGTCTGTGTGCTAAAAGTCATTGTGTTGTTTATCCATTGACTAATTATACAACTCCTTTGCCCTTTGATTTAATTCATTATGATGTTTGGAGTCCTGCTAAGGTTGCTCTAAACGAAAGAATTGATTTATCAACTTTATTGATGATTGTACAAAGATGACTTGGGTTTTTCTTGATGGCTCACAAAAGGGATATTTCTTCCATTTTGTTTAATTTCCATATACTATGATCTTAACTCAATTCACACTACTACAAAAAATGAAAAAGACGACGGGAATTCACCGTCGTGTATTCCGTTTTCAAATGGTCGTGAAATCAACCGACATCTTTTCCCAAATCAAACCACGACGATAAATCACCGTCGTTTGTTAAAACAAACAACGTCATTAACAAATAATAACCGACGTTTGTGTATTGAAAAAAGAGTTAAAAAAAACGGTCAAGGATAAGAATAGAAGACCAATTCTAACAAAAAAAAGGTCGTTTAAAAGGCAACATATGACATACTTTAACAGAACATGGCCGCAAGTTATACATACAACAACGAGAACTAAAACTCACAGCCGTTAAATATACCTTTCACGACACATAAAACTATGACGTCTTTAAATACATAATCGACGACGTTATTTATTCCTACTACGTCACTACAGTTTCTACAACCGTTGTGAAATAAATTTTCCACTTCGATTTTTCTATTAATGATGACGTGGAAATAGATGTAAGGGTCATTACTTACGACGCATATATTTATACAGACAACGTTGTACTCAATAAACAACGTCGGGTCCAAATAAATGAGAGCCGTATTACATAATTTATACGTCATCTTTTAAAATATAATCGTCGTCTAATGCATCTGAAACGGCAACGTTTCTCAGTCGACTGCCGTGTCAAACTATTTTAACGACATGATTTGAAAATAAACGACGTACTTATGACACATTCATTTTATACAGACGACGTTGTCGTCAATATACAACGTCATTGTCATGTAAAAGACAGCCATGTTTCAGAATTTATACGTCAACATTACTAAAATTACGGTCGTCTAATGTCTATGATACGGCGTGGTTTATCCGAAATTCGCCGTGTAAAGTCATTTTAATGACATGATCATAAGAAAAGAGACGTGGATACATTCATATAACGTTGTTTTTGTAAAGGAATGACGTCCAAATATATCTTAACGTCGACAAATTTACCAATGGATGTCAAATACCATTGTGAATTAATCCTTTTCCACTTTGTTTATGAGAGAACAAGCGACGTGGTAAAATTAAGACGACAATTTTTTATTTGACACGGACGAGTTCATAATCGAAGACGACGTCTTTTGTAACGTTCAGGTTAGATATCTTGTCTTTTAGACGTCGGTATTATGGGATTGGAGTCATGTTATTTGGAATTACATGGCGGCTCTTTATGCTTCTCTGACGTGATATCCTTAATAACTGTTTCACAATAGCGTCGTGGTTCTTCATTGTTACGTTGCTTTAAGACGTCGGTAAATATATTGCGGTCGTTGAATGCTCCAAAACATCGTTTTTTAATAGAATAGACGTATGTTTTTCACATTTTTATCAAGACCATCGTGTTTGTAATCTTGAACCAGTATTTTTTGTACTAATTGTTTTGTGGCCAAAACCTGAATAATGAAAGTGAAGAAATCACATTACAATATATTAAAAAATTAATGTCATACACTGCCATTAGTAATTTCATAAATTACATAAGCATCATTCAATCCATATATCTTCACACCCATCTCGAATATTTTGACTCCCAAACTCACCCACCAGTTCATCAAATGTGTCAACATTTGGCATCCCTCTAGTAAATGGCTCACACTCAATTCTCACATCACCTAAGACATCATCACCAATAACATCATTATATTCTCTATTAGGCATTGATAACACTACTGACCAACCACGATGCATCGGGTCGTCAACAAAAAATACTTGTTTGACTTGAGAACCCAAAACAAATTGGTCATTCCTATGTCCAATTTTACTCAAATCTACAAGGGTAAATCCAAGTTCGTCGACTACAAGACCAGAACTATCTATCCAATCACACCTAAAGACTGGGATTGTAAACTTTTGGTAGTCAAGGTCCCAAATTTCTTGAATGACACCATAGAAACCCATATTTGAGAGAATTAGGTTTTTATCCTTGACACTAGCAACTTGCATGGTATGTGCAAGTAAATAAACTCCACTATTTTGAGTTGTCCACACATCATCTTGTGCCTTGATGTTAAATTTAATACCTTTAATAAGATAGCTCCTATATGATGGCACTGCCATGTTTGGACCAGCTGCTAGCCACCTTAAATTTTCTGATACGCCATGATTGTCTTCCTCATTAAGTTCACTTTGAACTTGCAAATTAATCATATCTTAATTCAATCTAACATAGAAAGAAGAAATTAAAAGTCCAATATTTTATTCAATAACATATACCCTGAAGCATAGCCATTGAATGAAAGTGCTATTGTGCTTATCTTGCAGCCACTTTGTTCTCTTTTTAAATTTTGGATAAGCGGTCTTGATGTGGATCATATGTTGCCTACATGACACGAAAAATTCAAGCATTACGGTCCCAAACATATAAGATAAACATAAGAAATAATTTAAAATGGAAACTTAAAGAATAAAACTCATACGTACTCAATATAAGGTAGGACTTTCTCCGTATTCTCCAAGACATATATATGTGCTTGGTTCAACAGGTCCCGATCAACTAAGCTCACTGTGCAACCTGATAATGGCTTTGAAACTCCCATCTTTTGGCTTGAAGGCACTCCAACTGTACTAACATCAGATAAATGCTCGGTACAAAACTCTTCAGCTTCTTCAGCTATATACTGCTCAGCAATGCAACCTTCGGGATGAGTACGATTCTGAACATACCCCTTTAGCACTTTCATATATCTTTCAAACGGATACATCCATCTAAAATATACTAGCCCATATAGACGAACTTCTTACTAGATGAACCATGATATCAAAGAATGAAGGGGGAAAGTACTTCTCAAGCAAACACAAAGTAACTACTACATCTTCTTCCAACTTATCTAGCTTGGAAACATCAACTGTCTTTGCACATATAGCATTGAAGAAGAAGCACAAACAAGTTATTGCATACCTTGCAGGCTTCTCCAAAACAGAACGAATTGCCACAGGGAGCAATTGTTGTATTAAGGTATGACAATCATGTGATTTAAGGCCAAGAAGTCTTGAATCTTGTAAAGATACAAGATTTTTTATATTTGAAGAATAACCTTCAGGGACCTTCATACCATAGAAAGAATTGAAAACCTCTCTCTTCTCTGCTCTTGACAAATTCCAAGGCCCGGGAAGCAAATGAGTACGTCTTTCTCCACACTCGGGTTGCAAATCAGTTTTGACCCCCATGTTCAATAAATCTAATCGAGCAGCAATCCCATCATTATTTTTTCCAGGGATCTCCAGCAATGTACCAGTGATACTATCGCAAACATTCTTCTCAATGTGCATAACATCTAGGACATGCCTCACACGAAGGTATTTCCAATACTCGAGATCAAAGAATATTGATTTCTTCTTCCAACAAACTCTGTCACCATCTTCAATCATATGCAGCACTTATTCTCCGGTTAATGGCTCGGGAGGCGTGCCATATTCAGGTTTCCCATTAAAAGCTGCACGTTGCCTCCTGTATGGATGATTGATTGGTAACCATTTTCTATGCCCAATATAACAAATTTTGTGGCCATTTTTGAACCTGTGACTAAGTGTATCATCGCCGCATATTGGACAAGCTTTATATCCTTTAACAACACAACCAGATAAGTTTCCATAGGCAGGGAAATCATTAATTGTCCACATTAATGCAGCTCTGAGTGTAAAGTATTCTCCATTATGTGCATCATACACTCCTCTAATCTCATCCCACAAAGATTTTAAATCATTAATCAAAGGCTCCAAGTAGACGTCTATATCATTTCCGGGTTGTTTAGGACCGGAAATCAATAAGGTCAACATAATGAACTTTTGTTTCATGCACAGCCATGGAGGGAGATTATATGTAACTAAGATAACTGGCCAGCAACTATATCTTCTACTTAGAGAACTGTGGGGATTGAATCCATCAGATGAAAGAGCCAATCTCAAGTTTCTCGGCTCATTACCAAACTCGGGCCATTTATCATCAAGAAGTTTCCAAGACGGGGAATCCGCCGGATGAGACATCTGACCGTCAATTGATTTTCTAGCAGCATGCCAAGTCAAACTCTTAGCTGTCTCATGTGATTGAAACATCCTTTTAAACCTTGGAATTGGAGGAAAATACCACACCACCTTCGCTGGCACACCCTCTTTCAAGATTGAATCTTTGCCTTCCTTCCACCTTGAGATACCACAAGTAGGACAATTAGTTGAATCTTCATACTCCTTCCTATACAAGATGCAATCATTGGGGCATGCGTGCATTTTCTCATAACTCAGCCCCAATGCACACAAAGTCTTTTTTGCCTATACATAGAGGCCGGTATTGTATTTCCTTCTAGAAGCAAATCGCCTTGAAGTATCAATAATTCTGTAAAACAGACATCACTCATCCCATGTTTTGCCTTCAAATTATACAACTTCACTAATGCTAATAACTTCGTGTATTTTCTACAACCAGGGTACAATGGTTGATCTCCATCCCCAATCACATTGGCAAACTCATAAGGATCGGATCCAAAATCACCAAAATCATTATCATCCATCTCTATTTCTTCAGACACAAAACTGTGCCTACTATGGTCATCATCTTCTTCAACATTTCTACTAGCATTAGTAGTTGCTTCCCAAGGTTCTCTGTGAAATGTCCAATTCTTATAGCTTTGGTCAACTCCATTAAAGTATAAGTGATCCCTTATAATTCCAACCCCAAACAATTTCAAATTCACACATTTAACACATGGACAACGGATATGTGTTGTAGTTAGAAGATTTTCTATAGAAAAGTTCAAAAATGATTCCACCCCTAACTCATATGCCTTCGATCTTCTATCCGAGTGCATCCATAATTTATCCATCTCCGACACTATACCCTATTATCTATAATAAAGTGAAAAGACAAGCAATGACCATCACTATAGCAGATTATATAAAGTTTTAATAGCAAGTAATATATTATACAAACGAAGGTTTTTAAACAAAAACAGACGTATTGGACATATATAGACGACGAATTTTCAACAAACGTCGTCTAATTCTAACTACGACGGTAGTTAAAGAAAACCATCGTGTATAATAATACAGACGACGGTTTATTAAAAAAACCATCGTCATATGCCTAAAAAAGCGTCGATATCCCAGTTTATTTTCAAGAACCCAAAACCCTATTAAGAACACAACATATACATTAATTTTTATGTTGGGTATTAAGAGCACGTATACTAAGCATGAAACCAACATATACTAAGCATGAAAACAATAAATCCATTCCAGATTCAACATAACAGAGAGTGATTAAAAAATCAGACAACATTAAATCCATTCCCAATTGATCATGAAAACATTAAACAGAAAATCCATGAACCCATACCTCCAACAACATTATTAAAAGATCGCAAAACATATATCTAAAACCCTTTAACAAAACAACTGAATATCATTCAATGAATTTACAAGGGGAAGATAAGGGTTTGTACTTACAGGTAGGCAGAGCTCACAGATTATGGCCTACTTGGATTCGATGGAGCCTGGAGAGCCCAACTTTGAATTAGAGTTGAAGTGAGAGAGCGAAATGTTAAGGGGATTTAGAGCGAAATATGAAAATTTTAGGTCGCCGCGAAATTTTTTGGAAAGCTCGCTCTTTAAAACATCAACGGAAAAAAAACAACCGTCGTTAAAATTTCACTTTAAACATGACGTTTATTTCATTAAAGACGTCGTGGTAAAACTATTTACGACACAAAATCAAAAAACTGTCGTCAAAACTAAAAACGAAATATGACGCTTATTACACGAAAAACTAAAATAAAAAAACCGTCGTCAAAACTAAAAATTAAAAATATACCCTAAACCCTAAACCCTAATAAAACAAACACAAATTATATATTTTTTTTAAATAATTTTAGAAAAGGGATTAGGGTTTTAGGGCCAAAAATATCTAAACCAAAATATTCCTTTAAGCCCCTAAACCCTAAACCATCAAACTATAAGTGATATTGTGACTCATCAAAACAATTTTATTTTTGGTGGTCATTTTAAATTTGTATTACTCAAACTGCATTTTATTAAGCTTAAGGGGGAAGATAATATCTCAATGACTTCATAGGAGTTGACGTTGCATTTTTTGGATTTATTTTAAATTTATTTTGAATATTTTGAATTAAAAATAATAAATATTCTTATAAACAACAACAAACCACGTTAGCGTTAAGAAATTAAAGACGTTGTAAATCCTAATAAACGAATTACTTGTAAAAAGGACGTCGTTTAAAAGCGAAACCATGACGGAAGTTTCACCAAAACCGACGTACAATCATTATTCCACGACTCAGACACTGAACTTACCGCCGTTTATTTCAAACCAACCACGTCGTCTACTGAACCAATAGTGTCGTTTGAATTATTTACTTTTTTTTTTTTTTTTTTTTTTTTTTTTTTTTTTTTTTAAAATAAAACGTTGTTATTCGTTGTTTAACGTCATTTATAAAGGAACGTCGGTTATAGAAAGCGCAACTTCGTAAATCATCGACTGAAAACATAAAACACCGTCGTTAAAAAATAATACCCTAAACCATCAAACTATAAGTGATGTTATGACTCATCAAAACATTTTTTTTTTTTTTTTTTTTTTTTTTTTTTAATTTTTAAATTTTACTTAATACTGCAAATTTTTTTAAGTTTTTTTAAGTTAGGGAAAGAAAATATATCAATGACTTCATAGGAGTTGACGTTGCATTTTTTTAATCTATTTTAAATTTATTATGAATATTTTGAATGAAATTGAATAAAATATTCCTACAAACACCAATAAACCACGTTGGCGTTAAGAAAGTAACGACGTTGTAAATTTAATAAACGACTTACTTGTAAAAAGGAGGTCATTTAAAAGTGAAACCATGGCGAAATTTCACTCAAACGACGTCGAATCGACGTACAAACGGTATATCACGACTTAAACTAAAAGGTGTCGCCGTGTAATTTAATTACCACGTCATCTTTGTCGTCTAAATATCCTTTGACGTCGGATTTGTTTCAAACAATGACATTGTTATTTTTTACAACTTCGGTTGTAATAAATGGAACATGCATTAAACGTCACCTATACTTCCTTTAGACGTCGTCTGTAATGTACAGTCGTGTTTTTTATTCCTTTCGTTTTATTTTTTTACAAACTTTTGTACTCCATAAGACGACGGGTTTTGACATAATTATGTCGTTGGAACGTTATTACACGTCGGTTACGCAATTTCTTTTTTTTAAATTACGAAAACCTCAACAAATTTTCAGGGAAAAAAAGATGTATATTATAGACAAAATTTGTACAAAAACTTGTCTAATTCTAACAAAATGTGTACATTATATAAAAATGTCAAGTGTTCTAAAAATCCTCGACTCCATATGAAGGCAAACAAACTCTGCCCATTTTCCTGACTTCATCAATGGCTGCTTGGGGGTATGGCGCTTGATATTTTCCCTTCGTAAACTGCAATCCATAAACAATGATTATTAAGCTTTATAAATAAACAGAAATTCAATCACAGATGACGCTATTTTTCATAACTAACATAGTATATCGATGCAACGACAGTAATTTTAAAGGACCGTCATTGATAATACAAAAAACCACATAAAATAAATCTGAAAATTTTCTTCTTACCGTCTTCTCAAACTCCAGGGAAGTATCCATGATGATGTCTCTCATGAAGCGCATGACATAATAGCCGCATTCTACACTGCTTGGTTGCTTTGGTGTGCCTGGTAGAGTTTTCCAAATGGTTGCTTTACGGCCTTGTCTGCCTATGTGTGAATTATACATTTTGATAGCACTATTCAATATGTTTTTGGCCTCCTCATCAACCACTCAATTTCCGGGCAGAGGATCCAAAAAATAGACAGTTTCCTTCTTTGCTCTCACAATGAACAAGACCCAATGACGGCTGCACAAAATTAATATAAAGGTTAAGGAGACTAACAAAATCCTTATACGCAGTGCATCATACAAACAAAATCCTGTTAAGGAGACTAACCCTGGATTGTAAGGCATCATGAAAATCTATTCACCATCTGTCTTTTGAAGTCGATTGGCTACCAAACGTGATCTCTCAGTTAATGACCCAGCATTGACACTAACTTGAGCAGGGTCGATAAATCCAACCATGTTCAACATATTTGCAGCTTTCAAATTATCAAATAGGCACCTAAATATATATATGAAATGATCACGTGAGCTTTTTTTTTAAACAGAAGGGAGAGTGTGAAATAAATATTTTATAAGGACAAACCTCATATATAATGCAACCACAGTAGCCCCAATTTCTTCCACGCCTGCAAACTGTGTAATATCTTCATGCAAGACGAAGGTACTACGATCTTCACCAAACACCTCCTTCTCAATTGTAATGGTCATAATCTTCTCCTGAGGCTTTAGTGTCGTTTCCACATAACGAAAAAGGGATTGTAAAGAAGATGGCACCTCTAGCTTTGAATAATCAACTACTTCAATATTCTGTTTAAAGAAATAAAGCAAAATAAAATGACGTGGTAATTCAATAAAAACAACAGTTTAAAGAAAAAAACGTCGTCTGATAAAAATTTAAACGATGGTAACAAAACACCGCCGTGGTGAATAATTTATTACGTCATAGAAAACAATTCCAACGTCTAATTAAAATGCAAAATTCATGGATAATGAATTTACCACAATTTCCTTTTCTCCACCACTGGATTTCTGTTTTAATAAATAAAGAGAGATATATAAGAAAGCTTGTACAACAATTTAAAAATTCAATTAAAAACAAAACTGCCGTGGAAATTTAAAATAAACGACGGTTTAAAGAAAATATCGACGTCTGAAATTTGAAAAACAAATAAAAAAGGCAAAGTTATGAGAATTTACCTTTTCATCTTGCTTTTCATCTTTCTTTTCTTCATCTTGCTTTTCTAAATCCCTAGATTTCTGTTTAAAGAAATAAAGAAATATGTATATAAGACAGATTGTACAGAAAGTAAAAAAATTAAATCAAAACGTCGTGGTAAGGCATAACTTAAGACGGTATGTAAGAATTATGGACGTCTTAAAATCATTAAACGATGGTAAATAATAAACGTTGTGGGGATTTATCTATTACGTCGGTAAGGACTAAAACCGTCGTCTAAATCACCATAAAAGTTTTCAAAAATAACGACGTCTAATGGCGTGTAAAACAAGTAAACTAAATACAACGTGGTATTGAAATCCAAACGATGGTTTATTAATAAAATCGTCGTGGTATGTATTTCAAACGACGGTTTGATTCATAATAACGACGTCTAATAGCTTTTTAAAAAAACAGAGAACTCAAAGTTCAGATATGTTACCATTTCATCCTACTTTTCCTCATTCTTGGCAGTATCATCCTCAAAATGTTGGGATCTCCCATCAAGAGCCCCAGAGCAGCTTGCTTTGTCCGACATTGGATTTTTGGGACTTTGCTCTTGACCTTGGTTTTGACAGGGGCTAGTTTTCGATTTAAGCATGCTTGGATCAAAATTGGGGATGAGTTGGGAAAGCTAACTCAGTAAATTTTCCCTTTCAACCTTTACCAATTGCTTGGTTCTAGCCTCCATCTTTAAAGTCTCTTCCCTTGATCTAGCTTCCATCTTCAAAGTCTCTTCTTGAAGGACAAGTCTTACACTTTCCCTTAATTGATCGGCAAACTTTACCCTCTGTTGTCTAGGTAAGTTGAAGTATTGCCTAGGGAAAATCCCAACACCTACCCCTCTAACTCTCCTTGGATGCTCAGGACCCAAAACCATTGTCAACACATCATTACTGCTAGATAAAGTAAGACTGCCTTCAGAGACTTGTTTTTGCAATTCATCCTAAAACAAAGATATATAAAAAAGTCAGCACAAGAAAACACACGACGGTTATTTATAAACAAACGACGTATTATATAATTTCACACGACGCAATAACATAGCAATCGACGTTATCATAAATTTATCACGACGGTACTTAACTAACGACGTGGTTAGAAGTTTCAAACGACGCAATAAATAAACCACCGATGTCTTATGCTATAATTACAAAAAACAGAGTAGTGATTCCAAATTCAGACCTGTAACGACGTTTTTTAAAACATCCCGATGTAGTAATATCATTAACACGATGCAAAAATATAACATAAGATGTAATAAGAATTATCAGGGCAATACACAGTTTAATAAAAATTTAAAACAGAGTGAGTAGGCTTACAATTAATTTTGCTTTCTCTGCCACCTTTGGATCCGGGATGTTACCATGTTTGTCTTGTCTAGCTTTCTTCCATAAGGTAGATCGATCAATTCCTACCTCGGGCATGGTTTCCTCCAATTGATCCTCCAAACTAGCATATCCTTTTCGAGCCAATCGATGAAGGTACTCAAGTTTCTCCCTAATCTGTGAATGTTGAAAATGCACAGACACAAATTGTTCGGATAACCTTGAAGCTACAAAGGCATCCCATTATGCTTTCTCTATGAATTTATATAGTTATGGGGGTTGGCTTAATTTCTCCTTCTCCTTGATGAATGGAAGGATATGATGCCTTGGTTCTTGCCCCCTTGACCTACCACAAAAGCCATGTCAACGGCTTCCCAAATCTGCTCTTTTATACCCTTGGGGTTTCAGCCCATTTCTTGTCCACAAGTGAGACTCTGGAGTGTGCCAACACACCAATGTAGGACTGCATCTCAGTATGTGCAGGGCCAAATCCTTTCCCCCTTTTATTGTACTCAACAACTGGCTTGATTTTCTGATATTTTCTCTTCACAACACGAGGCATTGTGCTTATACCTCGACCTGACTTTGAATCCTCAGAATATGTTGTCGGGCTGCTTGGTTCTGTCTCAGCAGATGAAACAAACTTCATCTTCTTCAAGGACTTGTCTTGAGGATTTACCATTCTAAGCTCCTTACCTCCATTTTTTTTCGAGCCAGAGTCCTTACTTTGGTCTTGAGAAACCATGGTTACAGACAAATTAAACCTAAAAGTGAAAATATTTCAGGAAAAAATTAAGAACACAAACAACGGTTATTTATAAAACACGACGTATGATAAGATTTTACAGGACGGAAAACATAACATCAGACGTAATAAATGTTTAAAACGATGGTCCTTAAACAACGACGAAACAATATAACAGAAGACGTAATAAGACCTTATTACGGCGATATTTATATTCCGTCGTGATATTTAAATTCAAACGACGTTAATATTAATATAACGTCATGGTATGAAAATTCACACGATGTGAATAATAAGATACCGTCGTCTATATAAGATGGAAAACAAAAACAGTGAAGTTGTTCCAAACCCTTCTTTCTTTGTCTTTGTATTTTATCAAATTAGGAAAAACAAAAACCATGGTTTAGAGAAATCAAACCTGCAATGAATATCTTAGACAAGCAAATAAAAAAACGAAGGTAATTTTAAAAACAACTTATAACAGCTTTCAAACGACGCTAGGACGACTGACAAACCATCGTGGTCTATAAATTTAACCACGTAAATAAGAAGCTACCGTCGTCTTATTTAGTTGAAGTAGTTGTGTTCAAAGTTGGAAACTTTCCCTCTTCGTCTGTATATTTTATCAAACTTGGAAAGAATTAAAATGATTTTGGCCAGAAAAAAGGTAAAAAGATTTTCAAAACAAAAACCGTATGAGCATGCAAAACAGCAACAAAAATAGTGAGAAATGCTTACCTTTTGCGTGCAATGAAAGCTTTCTCTCAGAGTTTGGTGTTTAAGTTCAGAGACAATGACGAAGACAAGAGGAAGACGATGAGATACACCAATAGTGCTCTGAGAAGGAAAAAAGACAAAAAGTTTTCTCTCAGAGCTTGAAATTTTTTCTCGGGTTTGGAAACAGTGCAAGTGTAAGTCAGGTAGACGAAAAGTTGAGTATATTCACACACCATTTCATAAAACAACGTGATTAATAGAAAGCGCCCTAGTATTATATATTAGACGTCGGTATATGTTTTCAGCGCCCTAGTAAATTTGTTCAACGACCCTTAGTTTTCATAAAATGCCGTGTTTATGTACAATTCCACGACAATATTATCTTCAATAAAAATATTAATTAATTAGTTTTCCTAGTAAATTTTTTTCTTTTACCAAAATAAAAGAAAAATTAATTAATTTTAAAAAGCAATAAAAATAAGACGGCGGTAATCATAAAAACAGCCCTAGTATGTACTTACCATGACATTAAAATAACATCAACCGACGTGGTTAGTAAAAAAGCCTTTTGACTTTTTGTATTCCGAAAACGACGTGGTTAGTTGGGTGCTACACGTCAAAAGTTTACTTTAAATAAGTAATATTATAAGTTACCACGTCGTTTTTTATATTAAACCGTCGTGGTTTTCAAACACCTTGTTGACTTCATTTTAATAACCGACGTTGTTTGTAATTTAATACGTCCTACTTTTGTACAGAACCGACGTTGATTTGTTATGAAACAACGGTATTTTAAATTTAACCGAAGTGGATATGAAATTTTTTGTATAAATAGAGTTTTTTTCCACGATTTCTTTCAATTTCAGTTTTCGATTAGGGTTCCAATTTCTTCTTGCCCTCTATCTCACCTCTTAGGAGGCAATTGTTTGGATGTTGGTGTGTGTGTGTATGTTTGTGTATCTAATTCAGAAACATACACACATCACCTACGTTCAAAAAATTGTCTCTCTGAATGCAAATCTGTGGCTGCCGTCGTGAAATTTTAGGAGGCAATTGTTTGGATGTTGATGTGTGTGTGCGTTTGTGTAGATACACAAACGCACACACATCATCAACTTCCAAAAAATTGTCTCTCTGATTGCAAATCTGAGGCTGCCGTCGTCAAATTTCATAGGCAATTTTTTGGATGTTAATGTGTATGTGCGTTTGTGTATCTCAAAGACACAAATACACATACATCATTAACCTCTAAAATATTGTCTTTCTGTGGTCCGATTATGATGAGGAACAGAGTTCCATCTGGTAAGATTTCGTAACCCTTTGGATCTCAGAAAAATCTGATTATGTCGGCGGTTTTCTATATAAACCATCGTGGTTATTTCAATTCTTGTCATTAAGTTGATCTACCGACGTAGGATAACAAAATCCAAGAAATAAGTTGTTAAAAAAAATTCTTATCCCCTTGAATGAGATCTTGGGGCTGGTCATGGGACTGTAAAGGTGAGAACACTTGGCTATTTTGCTGCTGGGAATTGCAGAGCTGGTTTTGATCATGGAGATTATAGTTTTGGGAACACAATTCTGGGTTTTCTTGTTTGATTGACAACAGATTGGTTGCCAGCCTTAGCAGCTCTGGATTGACAAGCGGTTGCTGCTGCTGGGTGCTACTCAGCAAGCTTGACAAATTGAGAAGGGCAGCAGCTGGATTGTTGCACATATATGAGCTGAGAATTGAGGACAGATCAAGAAGGTCGATTCGCGGAGCATGTGTCACCGGATCAATTCCCATTTTAAGGAGCCTCTTTCGGATATGCGTGTTCCAGTAGTTCTTGATCTCATTGTCTGTCCTCCCTGGCAACCGAGCTGCAATAGCTGACCATCTGACATTATTGGAAAACAGATAATTTGGTCAGGAGGAGCAATTAATTAGAAACAAAAATCATATTAAATATGTTTAGCAATTAAGCATATAATTAAGCTTACTTGTTTCCCAGGATGCTATGTACAAATGTGTCATCAGAAAAGGCGTAAATGTGGACTGAACAAGTAAAAGAATCTAAACTTGCCCAGAAAAAAATTGAATGTGAAATCTTCCAAACCAAGCCAAACTATGGATAGAGACTGACGCTAATTTGTTCATGTGACAAAAGGCCTTGCTGTCAATAGCAAGAAATGAAAAGTGGATTGTCCGCAAGTGAAAATGTTACTTTGATTTGCAATTCTTATTAAGACGACGGTTTAAATATAAGGTATGACGTATAAAGTGAATAAATACGACTGTAAATTTTATAATACGTCGTTAAATGTAAAACCCCAATGTGGTGAGAGTTAAAGATACCATCGTAGAACTATACAAGAAAGACGTTGATAAATTTATCTTTGCCGTAGTTGTACATTAATTTAATACGGCAGTATTTTGTATTATACCGCCGTGGATTTATTTGTAATTATACGGCGCCTTGTACGAAAGCTTGGTCGTGTTAATTTCTGAGTAAAAACGGTGGCTTTTTTTGACATCGTCGTCTTTACTTTCTACGTCGGTCTATTCATACCTTCTACCGTTCTTTGTTGGCTTAGATTTTACTCTGCGGAAATCGTATTTCAATAAGACGTCGGTTTTTTAATTAGGTGTGTCATTTTTTAGAAACAACCATTGGAATCTCCATTTTTTAGGTGTTTAAGTTGTTCTTACATGGCGGTTTTATAGAATCGTCGTCTTTTAAAAAACAACGACGGTTTTCCCTTAAACCGTTTTTTTTTTGTCGTCTTTGTCACTTTTTGTAGTAGTGTCATGTGTCAATCAAGGTCTTTTGCTAGGACGATGTCGATGAATATGTGAATCACACTTCACTTTAGCTCAATTTTTCCAGGAACAAAGAATTATGCATCAAACCTCCACTACACTAACAAAATGGCGTGGTTGAACGCAAGAACCATCAATTGATTGAAATGGCTGGGTCCTTGACATGTCGGTTCTACATTATTTATGGGGTCATGTCATCCAAACTGCTACCTATTTGGTTAATTGTGTTCCTAGCCATGTTCTTGATTATCGAACTTCTCTTGAGGCGTTTACTAACTACTTTGATCCTCCAAGTATCTCCAAACTGTCTCCTAAAATATTTGGGTGTGTTGCTTATGTTCATGCTGATGAGTCGATTTTATATTATATATTTAGCCTCATTCTTAGTATATTTTGGTTAATATTTTGGAAGAATTTTGATACTTTGAATTATATTTCCAATATAGGACTTTCGACTTCCTCTGGAGCAAAACATAATCAAATGGACGAATTTTGGAGTAATTCCAGTTGGAGGACGTTCGTGAGCCACTTAGCTTGATCATATCAAAATATCAGACTTTTCCACCAAGCGATGATTTCCTGGTGAATAAATGAAGGAGCAGTGCACTGTGCTGGAATAGTGACGTTTTGGGCTTGTATTGCGTTTTTGGAGCCCAAGATGACCTCGGATGGGTTCATGGCCTTCTGGAGAAGTGTTCGGAATATTTTTATCTTTAAAACGAGCTATCTTGGGCCAGATTTGGAGGAGATTTGAGACCAAAACGTGGCTGACCAGATTATTGGCAGATTCTCCTAATCCCATTTGGACTTTATTTCCTAGTATTATTTTATTTTAACTTAGTTTCCTTGTGGGGATTGGGGAGCTAGGTTTTAGGAGGTATTTAAACTCCTTTTCACAGCAATTTAGAAGACTCCCTTTTTACTTCTTTTTGGCTTTTGGAGCAATTGCTAGGGTTTTGGATTTTCGCGACTTTCAGGTGTTTGCATTCTTATTCTTCTTAATGATATTTTCTTGGATTTCAATTGTGAACATGCGTAACTAACTCTCTTTTGCTAGGGTGAGGCCACGAGCCTTAGCAAGAATATGTAGTTTCTGTCCAATTTGCTTATGATTATATGCATGCAGGTTTTCGAATTATTCATCACTGGGTTAAACTATCTAAGTGTCTTGATGCTTGATCACCATTAGGATGTTTAGAAAAGTAATTTGATGCAGTTTTGGTCGGAGGTCGGTCCCTGAAATTGACGAAGGCTTCTTGTGATTAATATGTGCAAGTTCACTTAGGATGAATACCACGTCTTAAGGGTTGCATGGTTTTTCAAAAGGTTTCACAGAACTTAATGAGTCATGTATGTTTAGATTCGATCTGAATACCACAGACGGATTGCATGTATGATATACGCTCTATGTTGGGGGTCCAAGTAGGCATATATTAGGAATACCTAACCTTCGAAATATGCATGTATAGATTATAAGTAATTGGGGGAAACTATATAGAATTGTTAAGGTGACGGCGGATCCCTAGTGCTTTCTTAATTTGATTTCTAAAAACACAACTGTTTCTCTTGCTCTTAGCTTTAATTTTGCATATTGCCTTATTTTTATTAGTTAAATTCCTTTTAATTTAAGGTCTTCAAATCAAACATCTCAACTTTCTCTTTTGCAATAATTAATTAGAATTTGGTTGCTACGAGTTATTTAATAATCCCTGCGGAGAACGACCTTGCTTGAATCATTTATACTACAATAACCTTGTCATTCTTGCAAGTTTTGTAGGAGTTTTAACCCTGTTTGCGCAGGTACTAAAAAGCCTATCAAGAAATTGGCGCCGTTGCCGGGGATTATTTAAAATAATTCGTTCAAATCAGATTCTGCATTAATTATTGCTGTACATACATACAAAAAAAAAAAAAAAAAAAAAAAAAAAATTTTCGTTTTTATTTATTTTTTGCAGATCACAGCAAGGCAGTGCAGATTACAATCTGTGCATGGTCAGCACACGTTCAGCAGTTCAGCAATTGTTTCCGTTTGATCCAGAACCTGAGCAATCTTTAAGGAGGAGACACAGGGAGCAAAATTTGCTGCGGGTTCCTTCACTGCAAGGGACTTTTCTGCAGTCTTTATATTCTGAGGACCTGCACAGTACAGAAACAATGGCTTTTGTTATTCCAGAGGCTGGTGACCCTTTGGGTAATTCTTTAACAGCTCATGCCACTAACATACCAGGTTGCATTACATATCCAGCAGTGGAAGAAGGGTCTACATTCGAAATCAAGCATCACATGTTGAGTATTCTACCTACATTTCATGGGTTATCAACCGATGATCCTAACATGCACATTGCAGAATTTTTAATGGGATGCAAGAATATTTTGGTGAAAGGATTCTCAGCTGAATCTATTAAGCTTCGTCTATTTCCTTACACATTGAAAGATCAAGCAAGGAGATGGCTCCTCACACTTCCATCTGGAAGCATTAGCACTTGGAACCAACTCAGTGAAAAATTCTTAAACAATATTATCCAGCTTCAAAGACTCTCGACATGAGAACTCAAATTTTATCTTTTGCCCAAAAACCAAATGAAGAGTTTCATGAGGCGTGGGAACGGTTTAAAGAGTTGAATAGAAAATGTCCACATTCTAGTATTAGCAGTACGGATCAAGTGCATATATTTTTCAGAGGGTTAAATATGACAACAAAAACTCTTGTCAACGCTTCATGCGGAGGATCATACAAGGATAAAAATGCACAAGAGGCTTGTTTATTATTTGAAAAAATGGCAGCAGATACACAGCAATGGGCAGTTGAGCAGCCACAATCAAGGTCTGTTTTTGAGATATCTAATGGTTCTCCATATATGTCGGCACAAATTGAAAAAATGGAGAAAAAGCTTGAAAGATTTGATGCAAAATTTGACATGTTATTACAAAGAATTCCAGGTTCACAGGTTGCTGTACAGCAACCTTTACCAGCTGCCTGTAGCATTTGCAATGTGACAACCCATGATTTTTTGAGCTGTCCGCATAAAGATGCTTATCCGGAATTTGCAGCGGAACAAGTTAATGCATTTAATAACTTTCAGCGTCCACGATATGACCCGTATTCAAATGTTTACAACCCGGGTTGGAGAGATCATCCTAATTTTAAGTGGGACAGAGATCAACCTGCAAGGCCACAATTTCAACAACAGGTACAGCAAACTGCTGCGCCTAAGGCTGCTTGGGAGGTTGCAATTGAAAAATTAGCAAATGCCACCAGTCAAGAATTCCAAAATCTGCAGGCAACAGTGAAAAACATAGAAAAACAAATGGGGCAGATTGCATTCCAAGTTTCAGAAAGAGCACCAGGTACATTTCCTAGCCAAACGGAAAATAATCCAAGGGGAGGCGCAGATTGTAAGGCAGTTCGAGTTCTACGTTCGGGTAAAAGTTATGACAATAGAGGTGAAATTTGTGTTGGAAATTCGCAGGCAGCATCACAGCCACAAACAGATTCAGGAAATTTTGCAGAATCTGATATTGTTACAGATTCTACAGAGTCTATGGGCAGATCTGAAAACAGTGCAAAAATTGCTGCAGAAACTGCAGAACGTGTTTATGTGCCTCCAATGCCTTATCCCGAAAGGTTGAAGCCCAAAGTTAAAGATCAACAGTTGACAGATTTTATGAAGACGTTGGCCAAAGTTCAGATCAATCTCCCATTGATTGATGCAATTAAGAACATTCCATCTTATGCCAAGTTTTTAAAGGATGTTTGCACAAAGAAAAAGAAGCTCGTGGATTTTGAAAAAGTTATTCTTACAGAAAAGTGCAGCGCAGTTTTATTACACAAACTGCCTCCAAAGAAACAAGACCCAGGGAGTTTTACAATTTCATGCACAATTGGAAATTCTAATTTTAAACGTGCTTTAATTGATTTGGGTGCCAGTATTAATTTAATGCCTTTTTCTGTTTTTCAGAGACTAGGACAAGGAGAAATCAAGCCTACATCAGTTATTCTACAACTGGCGGACCGTTCAGTTGCTTACCCTAGGGGAATTATTGAAGACCTCATTATTAAAGTGGATAATCTCTACCTTCCTGCAGATTTTGTGGTCTTGGATATGGATGAAGATATGCAAACACCGATTATTTTGGGGCGTCCATTCATGGCTACTGCTCGAACCTTAATTGATGTTGAGGCTGGAACACTTACACTTAGAGTGCAAGATCAGTCCGTTGTTTTCAGTTTATTCGAAATAACCAAAAGGCCAACTGATGTGCAAGATTGTATGCGTGTTGACATGTTAGACAGCTTAATGCATGCTGAAATTATGCCCCGTTTGACATCAGATCCATTGTTAAAGGTGTTGCATGGGTTGGAGAATAAAAACACTGAAGATGAAGAGGTTTTTGAGTATGTTTCAGCTTTGGAAAGTGTTCCTTTTCTACACCCCCGTTGGAGGCACGTTTTTGAGAGTTTAGGGGAACCGAAAAAACCATTGCAGCCCTCTAAAGTACAGCCACCTAAACTGGACTTAAAAGTACTGCCAGGACACTTGAAATACGCTTATCTGGGTGCAAATTCTTCGCTGCCAGTTATTATAGCTGCTGACTTATCATCAACAGAAGAAGAAAAATTGCTGCGTATTTTAAGAAATTATCAAGATGCAATCGGTTGGACTATAGCAGACATTAAAGGGATCAGCCCTACAATTTGCATGCACCGAATTCTGATGGAAGATGGAGTAAAGCCCACCATTGATGCTCAACGTCGTTTGAATCCAATTATGAAAGAAGTTGTTCGTACTGAGGTTATGAAGCTTCTAGATGCTGGGATGATCTATCCCATTTCAGATAGTAAGTGGGTTAGTGCAACTCAAGTGGTGCCCAAGCGTTCTGGAATTACAGTTGTGAAGAATGACAATAATGAACTTGTGCCTACACGTTTGACTACTGGGTGGCGTATGTGTGTTGATTACAGAAAGATCAATACGGGCACTAGAAAGGATCATTTTCCATTGCCTTTCACTGATCAAATGTTGGAAAGGTTGGCTGGTCGTGCGTTCTATTGTTTCTTGGATGGATATTCAGGGTACAACCAGATTCCAGTTGCACCTGAAGATCAAGAGAAGACAACCTTTACATGTCCTTTTGGGACTTTTGCATATCGAAGAATGCCCTTTGGTTTGTGCAATGCTCCTGCAACGTTTCAACGATGCATGATGAGCATATTTTCCGGATTGGTTGAACAGGTAGTTGAAGTGTTTATGGATGACTTTTCTGTTTTTGGGGATTCTTTTGATGAATGTTTGAACAATTTATCCTTAGTTCTTGACAGATGCATTAAGACAAACCTTGTTTTAAATTGGGAAAAGTGTCATTTCATGGTTAAGCAGGGGATTGTCCTAGGCCACTTGATTTCTAACAGGGGTATTGAGGTTGATAAGGCCAAAATTGATGTAATTGCAAAGCTGCCACCACCGACAGCTGTTAAAAGTGTTCGATCTTTTCTTGGTCATGCTGGGTTTTACAGACGGTTTATCAAGGATTTCTCCAAGATTAGCCGACCATTGTGTAATTTGTTGGCTAAGGATGCTCCTTTTGTCTTTGATGATGCTTGTTTGGAGGCTTTCAACAAGTTAAAGACACTCCTCACTACAGCACCCATTATTGCAGCACCTAATTGGAGTTTACCTTTCGAATTGATGTGTGATGCTTCAGATTACGCAGTAGGAGCGGTTCTTGGACAGCGGAAAGATAAGCTTCCCCAAGTCATTCATTATGCTAGTCGAACTCTCAATGACGCACAGCTAAACTATGCGACCACAGAGAAGGAATTGTTGGCAGTTGTTTTTGCATTAGAAAAATTTCGGTCTTACTTAGTTGGGGCTAAGGTGATTGTTTACACAGATCATGCAGCTTTGAAGTATTTGTTGTCGAAGAAAGACGCTAAGCCTCGATTAATTCGTTGGATTCTTTTACTGCAAGAGTTTGACTTAGAAATCAGGGATAAGAAGGGTAGTGAAAATGTTGTGGCTGATCATTTGTCCAGGTTGATTGTGCCAATTTCTGCTGAAGATGACTTGCTGCCTTTAAATGAAAGTTTTCCGGATGAACAGCTGTTTGCTGCCCATATCATTTCACCATGGTTTGCTGATTTAGTTAATTATTTGGCTAGAGGGGTACTTCATCCAGATTTTACTTTCCAGCAGAAAAAGAAATTTTTGGCAGAAGCAAAGTATTATTTTTGGGATGAACCATATTTATACAAATATTGTTCCGACCAAGTTATTCGCAGGTGTATTCCAGAAGAAGAGCATGAAAGTGTTTTAAAGTTTGCACATCAGTATGCTTGTGGGGGACATTTTGGCCCTAAACGGACAGCAGCTAAAATCTTGCAGAGTGGATTGTTTTGGCCTACTCTCTTCAGGGATGCTAATAGTTGGTGTAGATCTTGTGATCGTTGTCAAAGGGTGGGTAATCAGTCCAAAAGAAACGAAATGCCACAACAAAGTATATTAGTTGTTGAATTGTTTGATGTTTGGGGTATTGATTTCATGGGACCATTCCCAATGTCCCATGGCAATCAGTATATTTTGGTGGCTGTTGAATATGTTTCTAAATGGGTCGAGGCAATTGCAGCACCAACCAATCAAGGATCAGTTGTTCTGAAATTCCTCCAGGGGGTAATTTTTCCACGATTTGGAACACCGCGTGTCATTCTAAGTGATGGGGGTAAGCACTTTGTCAATAGATCGTTTGCTACGTTGCTAGCTAAGTATGGGATCACCCATCGTGTTGCTACTCCTTATCATCCACAAACATCAGGACAGGTTGAAGTTTCAAATAGAGAAATCAAGCGAATTCTTGAAAAAACAGTTAGCTCGACTCGAAAAGACTGGAGTTTGAAATTGAGTGATGCTCTCTGGGCGTACAGAACAGCATTTAAAGGCCCAATTGGGATGTCCCCATTTCGGCTGATTTATGGTAAGGCTTGTCATTTACCTATGGAGCTAGAGCATAAGGCATTTTGGGCTATTAAAGAGTTGAATTTTTCTTATGATTCTGCTGGAGAAAAACGTAAATTGCAGATTAATGAGCTTGAGGAAATTCGTAATGATGCTTATGAGAGCTCGCGCATTTACAAAGAAAAAACCAAGGCATTTCATGACAATCAGATTCTCAGAAAGAATTTTCATCCAGGGCAAAAAGTTTTGTTATTCAGTTCAAGGTTGAAGTTGTTTCCAGGGAAGTTAAAGTCTCGTTGGAATGGCCCATATTTGGTTACTAAGGTTTATCCTCATGGGGCGGTTGATATTACAAGTGAAATTAATGGCAACACATTCAAAGTGAACGGTCACAGGCTGAAACCATATTTGGAGTCACCCTTCGATATTGCACGCGAGTCACTGACTCTGAAGGAACCAGTGATTTGACCACAAGGCTTCTGCAAAGTCTAGCTACAGACTTAAAATAAAGCGCTCATTGGGAGGCAACCCAATTTTTCTATACTCTTTAAAAAAAATTTCTTTAACTAGATGTTTTTATTCTCTTTCTACTCATAACACATCATTGATTCAATGCAGGATACAACAATCAGCAGCCAACATCAAAAGCAGACAAATCCTATGCTGGAATCCTGCACCCAGCAGCAAGTCTACACTGGGAAAGACACAACATTCAGCAGCACACATCAAATGCAGAAAAATCCTAGGCTGGAATCCTGCACCCAGCAGCAAGTCTACACAGGGACCGACACAACATTCAGCAGCACACATCAAATGCAGAAAAATCCTAGGCTGGAATCCTGCACCCAGCAGCAAGTCTACCAAATTTCCAACAACACAAATTTGCAGGGATTCGAAATTATACCTATGAGATGCACGGATTGGGGGTCCTCAGGGCTTTGTGCTGTTTTGTCCTTTGAGCTTGTGTGCTGACTGCCGTCTCTTGGATCTGCAACTTTCCTACACTGTGCACATGTCGAAATTATACACACTCATCTATACATCAACCACAGCTCCCAAATCAGGACCCAAAACAAATTCTGGAATTAATCTTACCTTCGAATGGATATTGGATCTTGAAATCATCCTTGCAAGATTAGTGGTCAAGTGGTTCTTGGGTGACTCAATGTTCTTTTTGGACGAAATCCCATTAGACAACGTTCTTCTCCAGCAGCTTTTTGAAGTCACCAATCTCAACTTCAAGCTTGGCCACATGGGATTCCAATTCTTTGACAATTCAAGTGGAGCATCCCATAGCTGGTGTCATTTCCAATTTGGGTTGGGAATCAAACAGATGGCGTAATTTATATTCTAGGGTTCGAAATCATACCTACAAGATGCACCGATCTGGGGTCCTTACTGGTGGAGAATGGACTCTGGTTCGGATTCAACTTGCTTTCATCTTGGAACAGGTTAGCATCTGGTGACATGGATGGAGATATATCTGAAATTGAGGAGTCAAGAAATTCAAAAAAAAACATATAGAGATTCAAGTGCATCAGATAATTCCACCCCACAGAGAGATAAGGCCCTTGCGTTCTTGAGAAAAATGAAGAAGGGCGAGAGCGCAAACCTGCGTTTTCTGAGCGAACTGAAGAAGTGAGAGCGTTGAGATGAATGGGTCTACAACCTCCAGTTTTCTCGCAACCAACAGAGATGCAATTAGATCTGTCCACATGACACCCGCTGCGGCTACACCAATTATGTTGTCGAAATTGCTTGGACTTGACACAAGTCTGCCCTTGTCCGTGTTGGTCAGTGCGCTCGGCAATTCCCAGCTACTGGTCCTGCGTTCGAAACCTCCCAGGTGTGTTCGTTTTCTTGCTTTTTGTTCTTATTGTTTTTATTTCTTTATTTCTTTTTAATTTTTATTTATTTATTTATGTATTTTTCTCTCTTAAGGTATTTTCTTTATTTTTGTTGTCACATCTATTTATTTTCCACACCTTGAGGACAACGTGTGATTTAAGTTTGGGGGTGGGAAAATAAAGAAATTTAGATTTTTAATTTGTTGGGTCTTGTTTAAAATTTTCGTTTTTAAGTTCATATCCATAAATTATTTTAAACATTAGAACAAATGGACATGGTGAAGATTAGTCCCACAATAGAGTCTTTTCTGTTTATTATTGTTTAGACACTAATTCTTGAATTGTACTTTGAAATTTGCACATCACACCAACATGGTTTGTGGGGAGTGAGATTGAAATACTTATTGTTTGTCCCAGTGTGTTTTAATTTTTGTTCTATATAAATAAAGTTAGTATGTATTATCAAGTAATAATTGCCTCACCCAAAGCTTTGTTAGTAACCGGGCCAGTCCTGCCTAATCAGCAGTGATTCTCGAGACAAACGGTAGAGTTTTGGCATGAGGCAGGGTGGTTAGTTGGTTTCGTAGCCTTTCCAGCTTGAGTTAATAAGTCCTTAGGGGTGTTCTACACCTAGTGCCCTAAAGCCTTAGTGGTTTGGGAGTCATTGACTTAAAGCTCGCTACATGGGGTGGATCGAAAGCTTAAGGGAACCGACATTGCACAACCGCTACTGTTACTGAAAAAAAAAAAAAAAAAGAGACGAAAAAGAAAAAGAAAAAAATGTGTGAAGTGTGTGAAGTTTGAATAAAAAGGATGAGAGATAAAGGTTTTAGTCGAGTTTCCTTAACTATGATGGTTCACTTTACACCGAAGGAAGTTTGTGAATTCTTTTCTAATTGATTCTAAATAGCTTAGACTCTGTGGTGGGATTAGTTGGATCTATTGAACAAATGTTCTAGTTTTTAAAATTTGCTATGGATTGCAACTTGAAGGTGGAAATTTTGTTCTGGTTAAAGTGATAGCCAAATGTTTAGTTTGTTAAGCTTTTATTTTTTGTTTGAGTCTTGTTTTGCTTGAGGACAAGCAAAAAGCTAAGTTTGGGGGTATTTTGATGAGTCGATTTTATATTATATATTTAGCCTCATTCTTAGTATATTTTGGTTAATATTTTGGAAGAATTTTGATACTTTGAATTATATTTCCAATATAGGACTTTCGACTTCCTCTGGAGCAAAACATAATCAAATGGACGAATTTTGGAGTAATTCCAGTTGGAGGACGTTCGTGAGCCACTTAGCTTGATCGTATCAAAATATCAGACTTTTCCACCAAGCGATGATTTCCTGGTGAATAAATGAAGGAGCAGTGCACTGTGCTGGAATAGTGACGTTTTGGGCTTGTATTGCGTTTTTGGAGCCCAAGATGACCTCGGATGGGTTCATGGCCTTCTGGAGAAGTGTTCGGAATATTTTTATCTTTAAAACGAGCTATCTTGGGCCAGATTTGGAGGAGATTTGAGACCAAAACGTGGCTGACCAGATTATTGGCAGATTCTCCTAATCCCATTTGGACTTTATTTCCTAGTATTATTTTATTTTAACTTAGTTTCCTTGTGGGGATTGGGGAGCTAGGTTTTAGGAGGTATTTAAACTCCTTTTCACAGCAATTTAGAAGACTCCCTTTTTACTTCTTTTTGGCTTTTGGAGCAATTGCTAGGGTTTTGGATTTTCGCGACTTTCAGGTGTTTGCATTCTTATTCTTCTTAATGATATTTTCTTGGATTTCAATTGTGAACATGCGTAACTAACTCTCTTTTGCTAGGGTGAGGCCACGAGCCTTAGCAAGAATATGTAGTTTCTGTCCAATTTGCTTATGATTATATGCATGCAGGTTTTCGAATTATTCATCACTGGGTTAAACTATCTAAGTGTCTTGATGCTTGATCACCATTAGGATGTTTAGAAAAGTAATTTGATGCAGTTTTGGTCGGAGGTCGGTCCCTGAAATTGACGAAGGCTTCTTGTGATTAATATGTGCAAGTTCACTTAGGATGAATACCACGTCTTAAGGGTTGCATGGTTTTTCAAAAGGTTTCACAGAACTTAATGAGTCATGTATGTTTAGATTCGATCTGAATACCACAGACGGATTGCATGTATGATATACGCTCTATGTTGGGGGTCCAAGTAGGCATATATTAGGAATACCTAACCTTCGAAATATGCATGTATAGATTATAAGTAATTGGGGGAAACTATATAGAATTGTTAAGGTGACGGCGGATCCCTAGTGCTTTCTTAATTTGATTTCTAAAAACATAACTGTTTCTCTTGCTCTTAGCTTTAATTTTGCATATTGCCTTATTTTTATTAGTTAAATTCCTTTTAATTTAAGGTCTTCAAATCAAACATCTCAACTTTCTCTTTTGCAATAATTAATTAGAATTTGGTTGCTACGAGTTATTTAATAATCCCTGCGGAGAACGACCTTGCTTGAATCATTTATACTACAATAACCTTGTCATTCTTGCAAGTTTTGTAGGAGTTTTAACCCTGTTTGCGCAGGTACTAAAAAGCCTATCACATGCCAAGTAAATTTGATCCTTGTGAACTCTGGTGTGTGTTCGTGGGATACTCTACTACTCAAAAGGGATTTAATTGTTACCATTCTCCAACCCGGAAGATGCATGTGACTACAGATTATCTTCCATAAAAAAATCTCATATTTCTTGGCTCTGACAACCGCTTCTCTTTAAGAGGAAAGGGGGAGTGACGAGAAGCTATGTCTGAACAAATTTGATGATATTGATGAGGAATAAATAACATTAACACCGATGAGGTGACCTTTTACCTTCCAGAACTAGCAAGTTGCTTGGATAATATGACTAGTTATCGGAATGTGGTCCCTCATACATTCTCTGTATCACCAAACTAGTTGGCTTATGGTTGATCCTAATACTTATGTGCAACTCAATTCAACTGAAGATGTATTACACTCTATACTTCATTCCGCTCTGCATTTGACTCAGTTGATTCCGCTCTCCTCCATTTATTAGGACAACAGCCATCTCATCTATCACCCTCAAAGTCAATCAGAATTTCTCTGTATTACCTACCAATTTCAAATGAATCTTCACTCTGCCAATTATTCAAGCAATCACATCTCAACCCTAAAGTCACAATTACCCACACTTCGAACCCTAAACCAGGATTTTTCCCAAATGTCGTAAATTAAACAAAATCTTAGTGATTTTGTTTAATTTCAGCAAAGGGGAGGGCGAACTAACGATTTTCCCCTTCAATAATGGAAAAGCAACATAGAAATGGATGAATCATTAAAAATATGACATAGACACCTAATTGACTATTTTTAACAATTTCGTATCCTTAATTTACCAAAAAAATCATCGAGTGTGTAAATTAACAATTAGAGTTTAGTTTAGGAGGTAAAGCTACATTTTAGCCAATTAACAACAACAACAACACAAATAGGGGTTAACCATTCTTGGACAATTTAATAGAGATGCGTACTTATATTAGAGTCTGTAAGGTTAGAGGAAAAAATTGTTTGGGTCCAAGGAATACATGAATAGTGTATTTTGGAGGGTAAAATTTAGGTTTAGTCCCATTTGAATTGTTGATGGCCTAACTGAAGCACATTTACTTAGACTAAAATACAAATCTGCTACGCAACGGCAGAAACGACAAATACCTATAAAAGCCAAATGCTAAAAAGAAATAAAAATCCTAAATAGAAAACAAATCACAGAAAACTCCTAAAGAGTTTCTGAAAACTATTCGTCTAAAACAAAATTGAGAAAATCATAGTGTCATACAGGCTGAACTCATAGTCTCGCACTAGCTGAACCTAAACTCAAAACAACCTGACATCTTTTTTTTTTTGGTCAAGTACAACCTGACATCTTTCCCTCTTTAGAGCTCCAAACTATGTTGAAAGGAGCCAACTCCTTGTGTATGTGGGTCAAAATATAGTTACTATATCATGGCAACGACATCGTTTCACAATGACTGCTTCTACATTATAAAATAAATGGTAACTAGTGATTTGTCCCATAAACTTATACCTAATTTTCAATTAACCCTCTATTCTTTTTTTTTAAATAGAAAATTAAGGATATGAACAACATTTCATCTAATTGGCCATTAAAAATGAGGGCAAAATGGTCATTTTGTACATTAAAAATAAATACAAAATTAAAAAATAAAATTAAAACCAGAAATTCTCTCTCTCTGTTTTTTCCTCGGTAACTTTCCTCTTCTTCTTCCCTCTGCTTCTCTCTGTTTTGTGCCTTTTCGGCTGTAGATCTGAGAGCCAAAAAGCTTGAAAGGAGTGAAAAATGAGAGGTTTCGCTTTGTTCGATAGAGTTTCTAGAGCTTTTCATGACTATCCTTCGGTTCCCAAAGTGCTCGTTGTCGTCGCCGTCAGGTGTACTCACTTTCTCTGTCTATCATCTCTTTTATCTTCTACGCGTTTGATCTGGTTTCCTATGCGGTTGTTCAGTTCTACATATTTTTCTTTTACGAATTTTTACTTATAATATTAGTATTTTTTAGGCGATTTCTAATATTAAGTATTGCAGTAGAATATGACAGAATTTTAATTTTCTTATATGTTTTAATCGTTCAGTTTGGCGTATATTAGAAGCTATAGTGTTGCTGTACTACTCCATTTGATTGCGTTTCCTTCTAAAAAATATGTTTTCTGTTTTACACCATGCTGAAAAATATATGCTCCGTTTAATTCCGTAGTGAAAAATATGCTCTGCCTTTTTTTTTTTTTTTTTTTTTTTTTTTTTCTTTTTTTTTGTTGGTTTTTGTTTTTCTGGCAGTCTATTCAGATCTCTTGCAACTATTTCATACATATAGAAAATTGTATAGGAAAGGCGAAATTTTAGGAAATTGGATTTCTTTCACCTAAGGCATAGAGTTGCTATGAGCAGAATCACCATGCGCAGATTCATATCATTTGCCTATATAATCATGGCGAAACTATGTTAGCATACCAATAAATTATGTTTGTGTAGTGTAAATTGCGCACAAAAGTAGTGAAGAAACAAAGACATGGCCATTTCCTATTAAGAAAAAGAAAATTTGTACTTTGAATGCTTATTTGTAGATAAATTGTAAGATCAAAAAGTAACCCAAAAAAAATGTTCGTGCTCCTAACCCTTCAGAGGTCGAGAAACTGTATTTTTGTTAGGCTTTTTATCACAAATGGTCTTTGATGTTTACAAAATTATCACGAATGGTCCTTGAGGTTTTTTTGTGACATTAATAGTCCTTAACATTATGGTTTTTTTTATCCTAAATAGTCCCTGCCGTTAGAAATTTTGTTAAGTGTGGCGTAGAAGATAAGTAGAGCCCACATATCCAACCACATTGCGACATGTGGATGAAAAAAATATAATAAATAATTTTTTTAAATGAAAATTCCATTTTTTTTCTGCAACTTCTCATGCCCCTTCCTCTACTTCGTCTCTCTTCCCCTTTGCCCGTACTCTTCACCAGCTGCCCCCTTTTTACCCCTCTGCTCTCTACCTCTTCTCACTTTCCTCTCCTTCTACCTCTGTCTTTTCCTCTACCCCCTCTCTCCCCCTCTACTCTCCCTCTCTTCTCCCTGTCATCTCCTTCTCCCTCTGTTTTTTTTTCTTGCCCATTGCCACTAGTGAAAAAAAAAACAAAAGATATACAGGAGTAGAGAAAATATGTGGTTATAAAACTATATCTTTGTGGTGGGCATGGGTTGGTCTGGTTGTAGAGGCCAGAAAAAAAAAATAGAGGGAGAAATGGTCAATGTTCCTGAGCCACAGTTTTCCATTTATATATGGAACTTAGGATCATAGGAGGGAAACCCTTTCAATACCACTTTAGCTTCTCTGGCATAGGAGATTACTAAACGGGGCATTCAAGAACCATAACCTTTTCTAGGAACATATTTTATGATTTTAGAATAGGCATTTATAATCCTCCTTCCATACAAAGAGTCTATGAGCCCTTCAGCTAGTTTCCTCTCAATTTTTTCTATATATAATTTCTATATCAAGATAAAATTGATTCATGTACTCTGAAGTTTCTTAGGGTTTTATTTGTTTATTTGTTCTTATCAACCTGAATTGTAATAGCATGTTCAATGGGACCGCAATGTTGTCTGCAAATTGAAACAGAGGGAGAGGAAGAGGGAGAGCACAGGGAGAGAGGGCAGAAATAAAGAGAGAGAGAGAGGCTAAATGGATTTTCATAAAATAAAAATATTTATTTAATCCACATGTCACTATGTGATTAGACATGTGGGCTCCACTTATTTTCCACATCAGATAGTTAACAGAATTTCTAACGGCAAGGAACATGTGGTGATAAAAAAAAAAAAAAAAAAAAAAAAAAAAAAATCTAAGGTAACTATTAGGATGTTACAAAAAAGCCTTAAGGACCATTCATGATAATTTAGTAAACGTTAAGGACCATTTGTAATAAAAAAGTCTTTTTTTATTGTGTGGTTGTTGCTTCAAAGTGCAGTGGTTGCGGCCTTGTGGCTTATACTGAGGCAAATCCCGAGTAGCAGCGTGCCTGTCCTATTTTCAATTGATGTGGACAATAAGAAAACTGGAGTCAATCAGATCTCTTTCATCTTCTCGAGTGGGGATGGGGTTGGGGGATGGGCTCTGAATCCCCTTGAAGTCCACACCTTGCTGTGCCGATCTTTGCCAGAGCGGGAGTGGTGCCACCCATGGAGGCGGTTGCTGGCATCTGCAGTGGCAGCCCTCTTGAGGTCTAGGCACGATGGGTCTTGATCTTTGTCGTCGGCAGCTGGGTTAGTGGCTCTGCTACTGCCATTTCCAATTCTTGGGAACTTACAGGCTTGGGCTTGAATCTCCTCCACTTCGATATCAGTACTGAGTGTACAAATTTCCCCACAAGAATATTCGATTGGAAAGATTCCCCTTTCTTCTTCGCCCCCTCCTTCTCCCTGCAAAATAGAACCAATAAGAGGACCACACCCGGGGGGTCTTGGCCAAAGGTCCTCCGATGCCTAAATTAGTTCAATTGAATCATATAGAAAACAATAGCTAATAGGGTACGGAGATGTGTTTATGGTATAAACCGGGCGGCCGTAGCCTTATGTAAAAGAGAGAGAGAGAAAGGAGGTGGCTAGGGTTTGAGAGGAATTTTCTGCAGAGTTTCAGTAGGGATTTCAGACGTACCTTTACCCTTGTGTGTGGCCACCTTTTATAGTTGTCTTGGAGGCTAGGGTTTCAGAGGAATAATTCCGTAGATGGAAGGGAATTATTCCTCCCCTTTATGGAATTGATTTGATTAATTAGGGATTTGATTTATTAGGGTAAATCAAATCCCTAATTGTGGTAGGTATCAAATCAAATCCCATTTTAATTAGGTAACTCCTCATTTCATTGGGAATCGGGGTAGGAATCAAATCAATTCTCAACCCAATTAGGTAATCTTCAATTTAATTGGGTAATCCCCAATTAAATTGAGTAACTCCCGATTAGGTTGATTAGTTCCCAATTAGGTCAAATAATCCCCAAATGGAAGGAATCATTTGACCTAGGGTCTGATTTAATTCGGTTCCCACAAATGCCCCCCAGCTTCTGCATGGCGCGTGGTGGCATGTAGGAGATGTAGATTATCCGTTGGGCTGTCCAGCTGTAACTGGGCTTCCTTTAATGAATTGGACTCCTTTTGCAAATTGGGTTCCCAATTGGAATGAGCTTTTGACTGTTCTTGGAGTTGGGTTCCCAGTAGGAATGGGCTGGCGATTCCTTCTTGACCTAGGATGCCTAACTTGTGTAAATGCAGGGCTTCTTTTCACTCTCCTTCACATCGCAAACTTAACTTCTCTACTTTCTAGCTTGAGAGAGATCTTGGAGAATTTGTACTCTTGTCGAAGAGAGGAGTCGCCGTGCATCCCAAGGTAAGTCGAGCACGTATTTTCTTTTTATTCGTCTTTTCTTCTTTTTTGCGGCGAAGGCCAATTGGGGGATCTGGTGGACTCCCCTTCAAAAAGGAAGGTTGATGTCAAGTCTTCAAGAAATGAAGCCGCGACTTCGTTGGCGAAGGATGCATCCCCGTAGAGGAAGAAGCCAAGGATCCCTTATGCTGAGAAGACTCAAGTAAGACTTGTTCCATCGTCATCTGCTAGGTCAGACATCTCTTTGGCGCATATGGCAAGAAGGTTAGTGGTATGTGCGGTGTTCGAGGTGTTCTACCCAAGCCTCCTGCTCACAAGTTTGAAAACCATGATATGCTTCGTGAGGCAGCTCGTACCAGGCCTAGTTCTGCCGAGCGTCAAGGAGATGTAGACATTCCTCCTCGAAGTTCGAGTCGTCTGCATCGGTCAAAAGATGGAGATCGAAGTGGGAGTTTGCTCACAATCCAACTGTTGAGTCACGGGCAGTCAAGCGTGGAGTTGACTCAGTATCATTGACTCCTTTGGAGATGAGGTTGGCGAAGGCTAAGAAGACTAGCGAGTCATCTGCCCGGGCGAAGGGATCTTCAGTGTCGGCGGTTGATCCCAAGGTGAACAAGTCCAGCCCTGCAGGGGATGCATGCGTGTTTGACCTGCTCAAGTCGAACTTTCTATCAAACCCGTCCTCTTGTGCTGAGTTGGTCGATCACATCTGTCAGGCTGGCGATCTCGGCACCTTCTCGAGTATTTCCTTGGAAAAACAAAGGGAAGCAACATTTCATCTGCTTAAAAAATGAGTAGTTTTTGTTGCTGAAACTATCCGAAACTCATCTGCGGTTGCCCCCTCTTCTGCTGCTGACTTGATTAGACTAAAAGATGCCTATTTCTGTCTTGAGCGCAAGAATGCTGACGTCTCCTTTAGTTATGACAAGCTTCTGGTTGGCGCATGTCATAAGTCTGCTGAAAAGTCCAAGCTCGAAGCTACCACAAATGCGTACAAGTTGGGCTACTTGGACTGCTCAACTGGAAATGGTTCATTCTATGCCATTGGAGATGGAGACATCGAGATGCTCTGTTATGACTTGCTCCCTATGTAGAGTGAGCAGGTTAATGCTGTGAACATGGAAGGAGCTGAAGAGTAGGCAGTCGAAGAGGTAGCTGAAGAGGATTAAGCAGATGAGGATGCAGCAGATGAGGTAGTGATAAACATCGCGGATCAGGCAAGTGAGGCTGCTGAAGTCATAGCTGATCAGGTGGATGCCGAAGAGGCTGCAACTCAAAGGTCTCCTGCTGGCGCCTCGGAGTAGATGAAGACTTCTTTGTTTCTTTTCAGCTTTTGTAGTTTGCTTTCTTGTTTAGAATAATTGGTCTTATTTGACCATCTTCTCTTTGTTGAACTTTGGCCGATTGGTCAGCTTGTTATGGAAATTTCAGTTTGTTTTTCACTTCAATTTGCGTATTGATTTGTGAACTACTTGAGTAACCAGCCTGTGTCTTGATTGCACACCTTCTTCGGATATTCATGAGTGACAGGGTTCCCCTTAGGGGATTCCGAGCGTATTCTGCACATCCCGTAGGATGTTTTTCCCTTAGGAGGTTGGCGAGTGCCAGGGTCCCCCTTGAGGGACTCCGGGCGTGTCCTGCACATCCCTTAGGATGGTTTCCCATAGAAAGTTGGCGAGTGCCAGGGACCCCCTTAAGAGGCTCCGGGCGTGTCCTGCACATCCCTTAGGATGGTTTCCCTTAGGAAGTTGGCGAGTGCCAGGGCCCCCCTTAAGAGGCTCCGGGCGTGTTCTGCACATCCCTTAGGATGCCTTGGTCATCGCCCTGCGTCTCCCGAAGGACGCTGCTTATGGGCAACTGTGTGTTTATCCTGCCTCCCTTAGGAAACGAAGAGGAACTTGGATACTTCCGGCAGAAGGCATGGAGACCTCCTTTTAAGAAATTCCTGGCGCACCCTGCGTCTCCCTTAGGACGCTTTTTACGGGCTGCGTCTCCCGAAGGACGCTTTGGTCGTCGCCCTGCGTCTCCCTTAGGACGCTGCTTATGGACAACTGCGTGCCTATCCTGCCTCCCTTAGGAAACGGATAGGAACTTGGATACTTCCCGCAGAAGGCATAGAGACCTCCTTTTAAGAAATTCCTGGCGCACCCTGCGTCTCCCTTAGGACGCTTTTTATGGGCTGCGTCTTCCGAAGGACGCTTTGGTCGTCACCCTGCATCTCCCTTAGGACGCTGCTTATGGGCGACTGTTTTGCGGTGATCTGCCTGCCAATGAACTGTGAGCAGTTGTCGATAACCAGCGATTGTGGGCAACCAAACCGGCAGATGATGTTTCTCCAGATGAATCGCTCCACATCGGCTTCTTTAACAAAGGATAGAGCTTCAGCCTCGATCCATTTAGTAAAGTAGTCGGTGGCGATGATCATCATGTCCTTCTTGGCAGGCACGGGTAGCAAGAATCCCAGTAAGTCACTGACCCATTGCATGAATATCCATGGACTGCTTTGCGGATGGTAAACTTCGGCAGGCAAATTAGGGATCGGCTTGTATCGCTGGCAACAGTCACACTTTTTGAAATATTCAGCGGAGTAGCCTATGTTTAGAGCCTTCTAGGCGAGTGACCTGCCCCCAGAGTGGTTGGCACACTCGCCATCGTGAATTTTGCAGAGGACCTCAAGTGTTTGAGGGTATTTTATGCAAGTAAGGTGAGGGCCGGAGTATGATCTGCGAACGAGCTTGTTGTCGTGCATGTAGTATCTCGCGGCCTTCTATTGGACCTTCATAGCTTCGGACTTGTCCGGTGGCAGGTTTCCATTCACTAAGTAGTCAATGATGGGGTCTTGCCAGCTGGGGTCCTTGTCAATTTGCATGGTGTCGATTGGCTTTATTTCTTCAATGCTTGGTCGGTCAAGGTGTTCGACCGGGATGGAGCGTCTGAACTAGGTATCGAGCGCTGACCCTAGACTGGCTAGTGCATCTGCATGCGCGTTCTCTGCCCGGGGTACTTGTTGGATGGTGAAGGTAGGAAATGCCTTCAACAGCTCCTGGACTTTGTCAAGGTACAAGATCATCCTTGGGTGCTTCGCCATGTATTCACCTGAGGCTTGATTCGCGATCAGCTGGGAATCTGAGTAGATGGCTAGCTTCATAATTGCGAGGTCCTTCGCCAAGCGCATGCCGGCGAGCAGTGCCTCGTATTCTGCCTCGTTGTTCAAGGCCGGGAAGCCAAGCGTGATAGCTTGCTCCAACAAGGTTCCATCTGGGGTGATGATGACGACACCCGCTCCAGCTCCTTTTTGGTTTGATGCTCCGTCTACCCGCAATTGCCACGTGTCTCTAAGTTGGCTAGGTCTAGCGGAGGTCCCGTCTGCTCTTGAACTTTCCTTATTTTTGTTGACTAATTTCTCTTCTTCGGCTGATGGGGTGAACTCTACCACGAAGTTTGCTAAAGCCTGGGCTTTTATTGCAGCTTTTGGCCGGTAGATGAGGTCATATTGGCTTAGCTCTATAGCCCACTTCATGAGTCGCTGAGAAGCATTAGGGCTGTGAAGGATTGATCTCAAAGGAAAGTCAGTCATGACGATGACTTGATGAGCTTGGTAGTAAGGTCTTAGCTTTCTCGCGGAAACTACAAAAGCCAAAATGAGTTTCTCCAATTTTGGGTAACGAGTCTCTGCATCAAGGAGATCTTTTGACGTGTAGAATACCGGATGTTGGGCCCCTAGCTCTTCTCGAATGAGAGCTGAGCTGACAGTTGAGTTGGACACTGCCAGGTACACGAACAAGTCCTCACTAGGGATTGGCTTTGAAAGCAAGGGAGGTGAAGTGAGATAAGTCTTCAAACTCTGGAAAGCTACTTCGCACTCCTCATCCCATTTGTCTCTTTGTCCTTTCTTCAAAGCTTTAAAGAATGGTTTGCACTTGTCGGTTGATCTTGTGAGGAACCGGTTGAGGGCCGCTGCTCTGCCCGTCAGACTTTGTATTTCCTTCACTGTGGAAGGAGACTTCATCTCGAGAATAGCTTTGATCTGACGTGGGTGTGCCCGATACCTCGTTGTGTGACTAAGTATCCCAAGAATTGACCGGAGGATACACCAAACGTGCATTTACTTGGGTTCAACTTCATGCGATACTGGCGGAGCAGGTTGAATGCCTCGGCGAGGTTTTTGAGGTGATCTGCACGTTTTGGGGCCTTGACCAGCATGTCGTCCACGTATACCTCCATAGTTTTGCCGATTTGCTCCTTGAAGATTTTATTCACCAGCCTTTGGTAGGTTGCTCTGGCGTTCTTCAGCCCAAAAGGCATGACCTTGTAGCAGTAGGTCCCTCTCTCGATGATGAAAGAAGTTTTCACCTTGTCATCCTCGTGCATCAAGATTTGGTTGTAGCCGGAGTAGGCGTCCATGAAGCTGAGTAGCTGATTGCCGGAAGTGGAATCCACTAGTTGGTCGATTCTCGGCAATGGAAAGTTGTCTTTTGCGCACGCTTTGTTGAGGTCGGTGTAATCGATGCAGACTCTCCACTTTCCCTTCTCTTGTTTTGCCACTAGAACAACCTTAGCGAGCCACTCCGAGTAGGAGACCTCTTCAATGAAGCCGGCAGCTAGGAGTTTATCAATCTCGGCTTCGATGATGGAGACCCGCTCAGGTGCGAAGTTGCGTATCTTCTGTGCCACTGGTTTGCAGGCAGGGTTGACGTGGAGTCGGTGACATATGATGTTCAGGTCGATACCAGGCATGTCTGACGGCGACCATGCGAACATATCTTTGTTATTCTGGAGGAAGGTGGTAAGCTCCACCTTCTCGTCTGGGCTTACACGCGAGTCGATCCTCGCTTTTTTGTCTGGCTGATCAGGATCCAAAGGTATTAACTCGACGTCTTCCTCAGGTTTCCATCATTCTTCAGGAAAGACTTCTGGATGGATTTCCTCGGCTTGGTCCTGACTCTTTGATTGCTATAAGATAGCAAGATTCGGTTGTTCAACTTCCTTCAGATCTGCCTGGCTTACAGGGAGGAATTGCGTTTGTCTGCTTTTCTTTAGCCCTTGGGCGGAGCATTTCCTCGCCATCGCCTGATCACTGTTGATTTGGCCGACACCACCCCCAAGAATTGGGTATCGGATTTTCTGATGTGTGGCAGAGGTGATGGCGTTGATCTTGCCAATCCATGGCCTGCCCAGAATGCCGTTGTAGGGTGAGACCTCATCAATGACCATGAATGTTTGCAAGCAGACTATAGGTGAGGAGTAGACGTTGAGGTCTACCGTGCCCACGGTAACCGTTGTTGCATCATTAAAACCAGTCAGCGATCTGGCTGATTTGTTGATCTTTGCCTTCAAGCCCATCTGCTGGATGACAGCCAGCTGTAGGATATTGGCTGCGCTGCCCTCATCTGCATGGATTCGGTCGACCATGGCCTGTGCGATTTGAATGCTGATGACAATGGCATCATTATGTGGCATGTCGAGGCCAATCAGATCTTTCTTCTGCTGGTAGAAGGTCAGTCGAGACTTGGGAGATCATAGTGACCTGTTTGCCCTGACTCCTTGGCGTCGGCTAGGATTGTGTTAATTCTTATGACCTTCTGGGGCGGTTCCTTGGCGGTGTCTCGATCTTCAATCCGCTGGATGGCCTGCTTCGCGATGAACTCCGTGCAGTGACCTTCTCTCACGAGTTCTTCAAGGTGTGCTTTCCAAGCGAGGCAGTTGTTGGTAGTGTGCCCGTGTGTCCCATGGATGGCACAGTATTTGCTAGTATCCCTCTTGTTTGGATCTCCTTTCAAGGGTGGCGGTCTTCTTACCCAAGGTTTGTTTTTCACTTGGGCTAAGATTTGATGTATGGGGATGGTGAACTTGGTGTAGTTCTCTCCTGCTATAGCGTCTCCTTGTGGGTGTGACTTGCGCTTATCCTTGTTCTTGTTGCTAAATCCATCGCTTCTTTGACCTGTCCGCTTAGTCGGTTGATCTTCCTGCTTAGTAGACTTTTTTGCGGCAATTCGATCGTCATCCCAGAGAGCGTAGCGTTCCGCGGTCGCATAGACCTCTGCCAGAGTCTGGCTAGGAGTGATAGTCAGCTCGCGGTACAAGTTGTGTTCAGCTGGAAGGCCTTTCTTGAAAGCAGATGACGCGATTCGGTCGTCGCATCCTACAATGTTGGCATTTTCTGCTTTGAATCTCTTGATGTAATCTCGAAGGGATTCTTCAGACTTCTTGCGCAGGTTGTACAGGTGGTCAAGGTTCTTCTTGATCGTCCGGTAAGAGGTGTACTCTTTGGTGAAGACGTAAGCCAACTCCTTGAAGCTGTTGATCGACCCGGATGGCAGGGTGTGGAACCAATCTTGGGCTGCTCCTCGCAAGGTCACTACGAATACCTTGCACATCAACACGTCGTCGGCCTTGTGGAGGATCATGACACTCTTGAAGTGTTTTAGGTGGCTCTCGGGATCAAAGTCCCCTTTGAAGTGCGTAAACGAAGGCGTGGAGAATCGCTTCGGGAGAGCAGCCTGCTCGATTTCGGCAGTGAAAGGTGTGGAGTTTGTCTGGTCGATCTTCTTGCGTAGTGCATCGTCGAGGTTCCCACCAGTCTTCAGATCTCGAAGTCGGTCATTCATAAGCTTCTCAACGTCTTCCATACACATTGCTGGTCGATCACGTTGGCGACCTTCGCGATTCGGGTGATGTTGACTGACCTCCTCCTGGGTCTGCGAGGGTCGACCTTCTCGTATGCGCTGCCTAGGGGGCGTGTTGGTGGACGAGAACCGTCTCTTCGAGAGTGAGCAACGGAGTGTCCTTCCTCGTGGTCCTCATTGTGAGGATTATCCGGTTGATCACCCTGGGGACCTAGCCTCTCGTGAATGCTCCTCTGCGAGTGGATAGCTGAGCGTCTTTCTTCACGATCCTCGTTGCGATGGTTGTCTGGTTGTCCTCCCTGGGGGCCTAGCCTTTGAAGTACATTTCCCTGCGGGCCCAAGCGGGCGTGGACGTCAAGTCGTGGGCCTAGCCTCTCGCGCATGTTGTTCCTCAAACTTAATCTGCTCCGAGTGGGGCTCGCGGATGCTTGTGACATGTCAGTAGGCCGATCAAGTTGTTGTCCCTCGCCTTGTCTGCCCACTCCTGCTTGACCTGCTGGGTACCCGTTGAGCTGCCTGCCGGTGCGTTCGTCCATCCTTCTCTCTTCGCCCAATTGTCCAAGGCCAAGGTTTTGAGCCAAGCTGATTTGGTGGAGGATTTGCCTCATCAGATCGCTTTGGTCGTCCATTCTCTGAGCTAGCTGGTCAACTCTCAAACTAAGGTCTGCTTGACTTCGTGGATCGGGAGGAGAGAAGTGTGTGGAGCCCAATTGCACACAGGCTAGGGTTTCATTGGAGGCGTGCGCGGGAGCGTGTGTCGAGCGTGGAGGCAATGGAGGGAACGCTTGAAGTTGCTCCAAGACCGAGCCTAAGTCGACGGTGGTAACAAGCCCACCTTGATAGGAGGTTCCACCATGTTCGGCGGCGGTGGCCGGTGCGGTGGTGAGAGGTGGTGGGGCCAACATGTCGATCGCGGGATAGTGGGCGGAGTGGCTTTAGGCCGTCGCGGATTTAGCCATTGCGGCGGTTTTGCCTCTCGTCTTCATGCTTCCAACCATGATTGTTTGGAAGGCTTCGGTGGATTGGAAAATAAGAGGAACGAATTCCTTGAGCACGCGTTGAGTATAACTCGTGCTCTCAATGAAAGCACCAATTTGAGTGTACAAATTTCCGCACGAGAATATTCGATTGGAAAGATTCCCCTTTCTTCTTCGCCCCCTTCTTCTCCCTGCAAAATAGAACCAATAAGAGGACTACACCCGGGGGGTGTTGGCCAAAGGCCCTCCGATGCCTAAATTAGTTCAATTGAATCATATAGAAAACAATAGCTAATAGGGTACGGAGATGTGTTTATGGTATAAACCGGGCGGCCATAACCTTATGTAAAGGAGAGAGAGAGAGAAAGGAGGTGGCTAGGGTTTGAGAGGAAGTTTCTGCAGAGTTTCAGTAGGGATTTCAGACGTACCTTTACCCTTGTGTGTGGCCACCTTTTATAGTTGTCTTGGAGGCTAGGGTTTCAGAGGAATAGTTCCGTAGATGGAAGGGAATTATTCCTCCCCTTTATGGAATTGATTTGATTAATTAGGGATTTGATTTATTAGGATAAATTAATTCCCTAATTGTGGTAGGTATCAAATCAAATCCCATTTTAATTAGGTAACTCCTCATTTCATTGGGAATCGAGGTAGGAATCAAATCAATTCTCAACCAAATTAGGTAATCATCAATTTAATTGGATAATCCCCAATTAAATTGAGTAACTCCCAATTAGGTTGATTAGTTCCCAATTAAGTCAAATAATCCCCAAATGAAAGGAATCATTTGACCTAGGGTCTGATTTAATTTGGTTCCCACAAGTACTTTCATGCCTTTCTCAAACAAGACTCTTCATTTGGGGGGGGAGTGACTGGGGTTTTTTTTTTTTTTTTTTTTTTTTTTTTTTTTTTTTTTTTTTTTTTTTTTTGGGGTGGGTGTTTTGTTCTTTAAGGCTATGTTTGTAGCTAGGGTATTTTTATGTTGTTTATGGGGGAGTGAGATGGAGGAGGCTGGAGAGGGAAGGGGGGGATAGGGTTGCTGGTTCAGTATCTTTTTCTTTTTTTTTTTCTTTTTTTTGTTTGGGTCAATTTTCTTCTTTTTCTTCCAGTTTTTTAAAATAATTTAACTGAAAATTGGATGAAATGTTAAGGATTTAGATGATAGGGGGGAAATTGGAGAAAAAAAGAAGTTCATATCCTTAGTTTTCTAAAAAAAAAGATAGGGGGTTAATTGAAAGTTGATTACAAGTTTAGGGGGCAAATCACTAATATACCCTAAAATAAACTAACAAGCTTTAGGTAAAAAAGAGGGAAGCAGAAAAGAAAGGATGAGAGGTGATGAGATAGGGAAGGAGGCCGCCAAACCCCAAAAGTTGGCAGCTGCTAAGACTTTTTTCCTTAGGATTTTCTCAGAGAGTTTTTAGGTTTTTTTTTAACACATGTTGCGATTTCATTTCTTGGGTTTATCTATTAGTAAAATTGCCCAACTATTTTGACCTATCTTTGTAATAGTCGAGATATTAGGAATATAATAAATAAAAGGCACTAGATTGTTAAGGGACAATTTGGTATCTTACTTAGATCCAATTTTATAAATTAAAAAATAGCTTTTAGGTCCAAAGTGACAAAAAACCCGTTTGGTACGCCTATTTTTAAAAATTCAAGCCCAAGAAAAACTCAAAAGCATCCCCATTAATTTTTTTTTTAAAGTTAGGTTTTATAGTTTTTTTTTCTCTCTCTCCAGGCTCTCCTTCACGTGACACCTCTCTCTTTCCTTCCTCTTTCCACACACACACACACTCTCTCTCTTTCTTCCCTCTTATGTCTCTTTCTCTCGCCTTCCTCTCTGTCTCCTCCCTCTTTCTCCTCACTATCTCCTTTTCTTTTGTTAATTTCAATTTGGATAGATAAGGTTTCTAATTTTAATTTCAATTTTTTTAGATCTTAAAAATAGTTTGGAGTTCAATACCAAACAAGTTTTAGATCTTAAAATCACTATTTGATAACTCATGTTTTAAAAAGGATCATAGTTTATGAATTTACTTTTTTTGAGTAGGATACCAAACAAAATCTAAGATGCTAGTAGAATTGGTCAACAATTTTTTGTGTGTTGGGTGGGCTTCTTAATTCCTTGAACCAATTAATTTTGAGTTTGGGATAGTGAAGAGTGCATTAAGCTTAAGGTTATAATTGAGAAAAATACTAAAAGCATCTACGGTCATATTCTTTATTATTTATTAAAATTTAATTAAAAAGATATTTTGTGAGCTCTCTATAAAATTTATTTAAAGAGTTAATTTAGAGAGCTCATTACCCTATGCTTTATACTTAACAAAACTACTGTTTGTGCAAATAAACTCACAGGAAAATATTCGCTTCTCTCTCTTCCTCGATTCCCGTAAAAAAGATTAGAGTAAACAGACCACTCATGGGGTGTTGGCCAAAGGCCCTCTAATGCCTAAATTAGTTCGAGTGTTTGTAGGAAAACAATAGCTAAGCAAACGGTACGGAGTTGTATGTATGCTGTGAACCGGGCGGCCGGAGCCGTGTGTGGTGGCCGGAGCTGTGTGGACAAATATGGAGAGTGGAGGGGGAGAGAGAGCTTCGGGTATTTTTCTCCGGTTTAGAAGTAGGTTTTAGATGTATCTTGAATGATGAATGGAGTCATCTATTTATAGGAGCCTCGGGGCTAGGGTTTTTTAGAGTTTCGTAGAGGTTGAGTCGGACTTGATTACATCTCTTGCTAGGATAATATCTGAATTAATGATATTATCTTTATTAATTACAGTAATGATGCAAACATAGTAAAAAAGTCGCAATTTATGCATGAATCTTATTAATGAAAAAACAAATATCGAATGTATGAACATAATGATATTATTAAAATACTAAAAATACTTTTATTGAAACATAGGCTTATGAGAATGTTGGCTTACAAGAATAGTTCCTAGCTTCGCTCACGCTCAGCTGTTCTTCAGATCATTGTTTCTGAGAGAACAATTTGAAACTGAGAAACTAAACTTTTACATTCTGTTTGCAAAATGAGGCCAAAACCTCCTTAAATAGACAAGAACTTAATCTTAGAAGGCTTGAAAAAGTAACTATTGTTTCACAAAAGTAACTCAGGTGGCTATCTTATGATCACGAGCAAGAAACTGTATGACTTTTGACCAGACTCTTTATGCTTTTACTCAAGGGAATCTGCAACTTGCTTTAACTCAGGAACTTTAACTCAGGAATCTGCTTTTACTTAGTGCTTTTATGATGACAGGGAATCTTAATCCGAATTGAGCTCATAGGTGGCATAGGCTACATTGGGGTCCTGACCATGGGGATAGTCAGACCATCTCAAGGGTCGATCAGGGCTTGGACTTTGCTGACGGGGCTGGCAACTTGAGGATGACTGGGACTCATTGTCTTCATCGTCTTGCATTTGGGAGGCTTGAAGGAGTAATTGTTTAGCCATATCTTGTAGCTCAGCTTTAGACTTACCCTCAACAGAGAGATTGTCTGGGTAGAATGTGGAGAGGTGGACTCAGGCTCATGTTTTGGAAATTCAGGCTTAGGAAAATCTCTGTATATGTATTCAACAATTCGATGGACCTCAAAACGATCCCACCATTTAACATAAAATTGACGGGAAAAAATGCGGGTCTCCCAGTTGACATTGTAAGACCATTTCATAATCCAAGGGATTTTGTAACGAGTAAAAAAGAGTAGGGGAGTAGGAAAAAATAAATCACGCTCAGGGAATTTAGCTTTTGAAGAGAAATAAGTAATTAACTCAGTAATTTGTGGAGGGATAATATCTGATTTGGGGCCATGTGTATCCCACCAGTGGAGAAACCAGTAGGGAAGCTCACTGCGAAATTTACTGTCAAAGTTGATAAACCGTGAATGTGTAAAATCAGGAGTTTGATGTAAGAAGATGTAATACCAAGACTCAACATAATCAGCATAATTATATTGCAGTTTAGATGGAAGAGTTCTTAGCTCATAAGGGTGTGCACCCCAGCTTTTTTGGCTCAAAACTTGATAGATGTAGAGGGAATGATAGATGATTTTCTGGGGATCAGTTTTGTCACGGATTGGCTTAATATCAACAGAATTAGTCTCATGAAGTATTTCCCTGTAAAATTTAAGGGACTTGTATGGGCTATGGGGAAGATAATGAAATCCTGGGGGAAAATGGTTTTGAGCAATCAATGCAGGGCTCATGGATACGGAAACATGGGGCTCAAGAATGAAGAGATTAGCAGTACTCTTAAAGATATAGGGAGAAGTCTTAGGATAAAAGGTAGAAGAAGAAATAGGGGTTGCAGTAGGAGGTAATTGAAAGGGATCATAACTGGAGGTAAGTGCAAATTGGTAGTTGGGTCTTATTTGGCTCAAAGTAGATCTTAAGGGACTAAAGCGATTAACAACTGGGATAGGAGAAAGACCAGGGTAAGGGGTAATCATAGATTCAGATTTAGGAAAGGAAGAGGAACTAGGCTCACTTTTTACGGATTTTTGGCTCAGGGATGCAGGGAGGATTCTGGGTAGTTGGCGAGTTTGGCTATAGTTTTCTTTGTGCTTATCTTTTTCTTTTCTGCCGGCCATTGCTTATCCTGTAAAAACTCTCTGGTAAGAAAATCAGGAATAGAATTCTCACTGCCTTTTAAAAATTCAATGTCAAAATCAAATATGCTTAAAAGTGCTTGCCATCTTGCAAAAATCTGTTTTGATGCAATATTTTGAACATCTTTTTCTAATACATGTTTAGCAGATTTACAATCAACTCGGACTAAAAATTTTTGATTTAATAAATCATCTTGAAATTTAGTAATGCATAATACTATAGCTAATATTTCTTTTTTAATAGTACTATAATTACACTGCGACTTAGACCAAATGCCAGAATGGAATCGAACAATTTGCTCAGGAGTAGTTGAAGAAGTTCTTTGTTTAAGAATACCACCATAACCTATGTCAGAAGCATCAGTCTCAACTATTTTAAAAGAGTTTGTAGTTGGAATGCCAAGGCAAGGAAGTGTCCTAACATGATTCTTAATTTGTTTAACAATCTCAGTATGAATAGGTGACCAGGGAGGAGGATTAGTCTGTAATCTATCATATAAAGGCTTACATTGTTTTCTTAAATTTTTGTAAAAATCAGAAACGTAATTAAGGGATCCTAAAAACCTCTGTAATTGATTCTTGTCAATTATTTGATCAGGGAATTTATCTGCAAATTGAATGGCTCTATCTATGGGATGTATTTGTGATTGACTAATATTAAATCCAAGAAATCTAACATTAGTTTGAAACAATTTAATTTTCTTAGCAGAGACAACTAATCCCTTAGCTTTTATTATTTGTAGAAATTTATGCAAATGTTTCCAATGTTGATCTATGGACTCAGAGAATATAAGAACATCATCAATGTAAACTATGGAAAATTGACTATATGGATTAAAAATCTCATTCATTATATTCTGGAATTCACTAGGGGCATTTTTAAGACCAAAAGACATCACATTCCATTCATAATGACCAAAAGGAGTAACAAAAGCAGTCTTATATCTATCAGATTCAGTAATTTGTATTTGCCAAAAACCACTCTTTAAATCAAATTTAGAAAAGATGACGGCTTTGCTCAGGTGATTGATTAGATCTCTTTATTGGGAATAGGGTATCTAATCCATTCTAGAACAGTATTGAGGGGCTTGTGATTAATAACTAATCTTGGCGATCCTCTTTCTAACTCAGTATTTTTCTGTACATAAAAAGCAGGGCAAGACCATGGTGACTTACTGTGTCTAAGTATATTTTTTGTAGTAAGTCATTGATCTCTTTTCTACAAAATTCTACCATTTCCTGGTTCATCTAGATTGGACGGGCTTTAGTGGGTATATTTTTTCAGAGAAATTCTTTATATAAGGCAGGCTTACAACATGATTTTTCTATGCCAAAAAGCATTAGGTAAATCAGAACATATGTCGGCAATCAATTTTTTCTCAAAATCTTGAATTTGTTTCTGCAAAAAGAAGTACTCAGTTGAGACTCGATTCGTTTAGATTTTACTTCGTCCTGGAGATGTCTAATTTGGTTAGTTTTATCATGGATCAAAGAAGTTGTCATAGCAGCAATATTCTTTTCTATAATTTTTAATTCATGTAATTCAGATCTAGTAAGAAACTCAAACTTAACTATTTCTCCTAAATGACTCGATACTACTCCATCAAATTCAACTTGAAGGGGATAAAGGAGACTTATGAAAGGTAAACCTAAAATGACTTTATCGGTTATGTTCTTAATCAAAACAAATGAGGTTTTAAAACAGACCTTATCTTGACAAATATGGGCTTTTGGAATCTCATAATTGAAATGTAGCACTTTCCCAGAAGCAGTACTCAAAGATTCTGTAGATTTTTTATAATATTTAGTGGGGATTAATCCTTCTTTTATACAATTAAGATCGGCTCCTGAATCAAATAAAGCAGCAGTATTGATTTCAAAATCCTTAATAATTATAGTGACCTTGGAATACCATTTCCTAAAAGGGACATGATTGATTAAATTAATAGCTTGATCAAATTTCTCATTTGCTTCAGATCGGGCTGGACTGCCTGGTTGGCTATCAGTCTTAGAGGAATTTTTTTCTAGGAGAGAATTCAAGTTTTGTCTAATATCATAATTCTCAGTTTGTAACCTATAACTTAATTGTTTTAACTCAATTATTTCCCTTTTATAGACTTAACTTCAGCATGTAAATCATGTAAAGAAATTTCTTTTTTCTTATGGAATCTTTCTAAAGTAGTATTAAGGGTTATAGTGGAAGAAGAGGGCTGATCTATACTATTTTCTTGGGCTATGATCTTTTTAGCTTCTTTAGATGTTCAGATTTTAACTAAGGGTGTTCTATTTTACTAATCAAATCAATCAGCAATTCTTCTTGTTCTTCTTGCTTAGTTAATACAGATATGGACTTAATAGTATTACAACATTTATCTCTACATCCTATTTGGATTTCTGGCGAACTTGGTTGGGAATCAGAGGACTCATAGTGGGATGACTCAGGGTGGCTTATCATGGTTACATCGTCACTTGACTCAGAATGTTTTAGTTCAAGAACTTTAATCAAATTAGCTCTTTCTTCATCCGAGATTTTTAATTGTCGGATAGCATCTTTTACTTTACACTTATTAGCATAGTGGCCAAACTTTTGACATTTATAACATTTTACTTTACTTTTGTCAGTATTTTTCTTAAAGTTCTTATCTTTTGGCTTTTTTGACCAATTTTTCCTAGGGTAAAACTTTCGTTTCTTATAAAACTCATTATTGTGCTGATAAGAATGTTTTTTACGCTCATAGTGACGTTTTTTACGAAGATGACTGGGGGAATTATATTTATCTTTATTTTGTCTAGAAGGAGGGGTAAATAAACCATATTGTTCACAAAAATTACCTAACTCATATTTGGCTGACTTTCTTTCAGATTGTATTTGCCTGTTAATTTTCATATCAATACACATTTTCACACCTTCTTGGTTAATTGTACTAATAATATTACCATATGTTAAGCTATCATAGTCTATATGTCCTAGCTCATTGCTTAAGACAGTTCGGATCTTATGGGCAAATAAATTAGGCAATCCATTGATAAATTTTTCTTTCCAAAAGGCTTGGTTACTATCTTCTCTTAACATTACTCAAGAAATAAAAAGATCCTTATACCATCTAAAATCACTTAATTGAGGGCATCATAAATTGCTCAATTGATCATGTATTCTAGATTGGGTATGACTCGGTGTTCCTATAAAATGCTCAACTATTGTGTAGAGGAGAGTATTGACACCATCTTCTATACCGCGACCTATACTTTCATCAAACAAAGGAAGACCTTCTTCATTAAGTTTTACTGCATGAATAATATTATTTCGAGACTCATTAGATAAATGCTTATCCCACCAAGAACGTAAGGTTCCTGTAAAACCAATTTCTAGCAAAGGGACTATTTCAGATTGGCGTAAGTTATGATTAGTAATATAACTATTAGCTACCATGGACATGTGAGTTAACTTATTCATGATTTCTTGTTCAGATAAACCATCTATATTCCATTCATATAACTTATCAAAAGAAACAGAAAATTGACTTAAATTATTTCTCTCTTCAAATTGAATATCAGGTGGTGTAGGCTTAGGATACCAATTTTTTGTTAGGCTAGTAGGATTAGTTAATCTTTTTACTTTAATTCAGATTCTAATTCTAGGTTTTTAAATGCATTTTCAATTTTGGAAATATTACTTGACTCAACAAACTCTGTATTTGACTCAGAATCAGTTCCTGACTGATTAACTAAAGCAAAGGAAGATCCTATAACTTTAAGACCAGGCTTTTCAGGTTTGACTGGGGTTAAGTGCTCAAGCATTTCTTCTATCTTTTTCATCGTAGAGGATGTCTTAAGGGCGAACTTAGGCTGCAAGTCTTGAAACTGGATTAAAGGTGTATCTGTAGATTTAATCTTAGAATCGGAAGGTAGTGACCTATCAATTTTAGTTTCAATTTTATCTAATTGTTTTCCTATAATGATCAGGCTTTGATTTGTATAATTATTTTGTTCAACTAAACGTTTATTGGGCTCATCTGCTTGGTCAGTGATCTTAAAAGGGCTTGCAAGTATAGTTTTCGTTCCATGTTTAAAAACAATAGTTTCTACAGGAGGGTGACTGGAAATAACCTCGGATTGATCTAATTTTACCCATTTTTCTTTAGTCAAAGTTTTTAACTCATTTGAAATATAACGGCTTTCTACAAAATCAAGATAATAGATTTCTTTTTTCTTAGATCGCATATAATTTTTCCATGCATTAAATATTTCTTGTCTTATATTTCTATCAGGAATAATTTGGTGATATATATCTCTTCTGCATTATTGTTAGGGTCATAAAGATGCTTATCTAGGGCTCTCCAGTTAATTTTAAATGGTTCAACTTTCTTAAGGATGTTTAATTGTTTATCTATATCATACATATGGGCTGCAGCCATTTCACTGGCTAGGAAATCAGTTTGGGTAGGCGAAGTAGGCGGAGATTCTGGTTTAGACTCATTTGTAGATGGAGTGGTACCATAACACGGATGGCTCACTTGGGCCTTTTTTCTCAGGGATTCTAATTTTAAATCAATTAAGGCTCTTTCTATTTCTAAATCCCTTTCTTGAATAGAAGAAGAGGTGGCAGATGAATGCCTAGCCAGCTCATGTCTTTTAGATGGACTTGGTGTAGGTAATTGCTGTAATTGAACTGTAGATTTAGGTTGATTACCAAAATTAATTTTGACAGTACCATCTAGATATTGTTGAATATAATCTAAATTATTCAAACTTCTTTGAATGGGAGCGGGTTGAGACTCAGTAACTAAAGTCCAATCTCTAGGTAAACTAATTTCGGACCATTTAACTGTATGTGGAATTCGTATATTAGCATCAGGTGTACAACTCTGTATTAGAAGTGTTTGATCTCTAGGGCTCTTATTTAAAGCTTGAAAATTCATGTTTGTACCTGTGACTTTGTAATATATTCTATATACTAAAGCTAAAGGTTGGGTGCCAGGAAGAACATTATAACCAGAAGTCTTAATATTCAGGGTTAAAGTTTTAAGGATATGGGGATCATTTAAACTGACTGTGAAATCAGGATAGCAATCAAAATGCACCGGACCATTGCATAAACTGGACTCAATCATACCAAGCACACTATCATTATACTCAGTAAATCTGGCGTCACGTAAACATAGCAAAATAGAAGCTTGTAATCCTGATCAAGTTAATGGCTTAACAGCAACTTGAACAAGACCAATATGCAAGAAATTATTACCATCATGTTTGTGTTTTTTAATAGAATCTAAATTAAGTAGTTGACAAGACTCATGTTCATTACTTAAAGCATAAACTTGTTCTACTATCTTAACATGTGTAGTTGAATTGAATGCAGACAAAGACCATTTCTTTCTATATATATTTTGGCTAGGTACTCTAGGTATATTCCAGTCTCTAAAATCTAATTGTTCATTATCATTATTAGAACTATACTCAAATTGTTCTTCATTTATAATTTCAGGTAGACGTCCTATAGTGGTTCTAGAGTTGCTTGAACTACAAGAATTTGTTCTAAAGAGTCGACTCATAATGTTCAAGTGTATGGGGTTAGGAAATCGAAGAAGAAGATAAATAGTGGCTTCTGGACTAACTGTTTATCCTACAAGAAACCTATTGGTACTCTCCCTAGCTCTCTGTCTCCTGCCCACCGCTCGTGCCACACCCTAGGACTTATCGTTTGGAAAAAGGACTCACGGGTCAGACCTTAAGGGAGAAAACCTAAAAGTACCCTGTAGAATAAAAAGAATGAAATTTGTTTTGGATTAACACTTTTAGTTGGCCGAATGAATTGCTTTACTTGAAGACCCGTTTTTGGAAGAGAGGATGAGCTGGGGTCCATAATGTTGGAGTTATGACAACTTTTAATTCCAATAACTGAGGGAGATAAAACACCACCATTTTCAATGGTATTCTTTCCTTGGGCGGTTATCTAGTGAGAACGCTTATGTGCGAACGTTATATGAGAACCAAATCCAGCCATCCAAATTATCTGAACGGCTAAAGAGAAAAAGCAAGCTTACGGTAAAAACGGGTAGGCTGCAGTTCCCCTTAGCCCAAGTGTCAAGTCACGCCTGCTTCGAAAAAACGCGTCTTTCTTCTTCCTGACAGTGGCCAGTCGCGCCTTTCTTGTAAATAAATTTATGAATTTATGAGATTATGAATCAACCCCAAACAACCAAAATACCAGACATAAATTTGTGTATTTCTCTTGTCGCGGAAACTCTCTGGTGTACTTTGTCTCTTTCGCTTCCTCCCTCATCTAATATTTCTCATCTGAACGTCTGAGAAAGTACGTTTCTCTTGAATTCCCTCTCTTTCATTCATATTAAAGTTTGCATATTATATTGCATTCAGTTAATGTTTGAATAATGTTTAGGATTTTAGGGCATTGATTTTCTAGGTAAGAGTAGTCTGTCTCTGTAGTAGTTGTTTTTGCAAAAATATAAATTGGCGTCAATTGTTTTTTTGCGTCTTTTTCTAGTTTCTAGTAATTTGTTGAAGCATGATAACTAATTTTTGAAGTATTTCTACGGTTTAAATATTATTTACTTTTTCCAAAAGTTGGGTTGTCTTTTTATCGCAATTTATTGTGGTAATTTGTTGAAGTGTAGATTCACAGCTGTTGGTTGTTCCTATTTCTGTTCGCATTGTGCTTGCTTGTTGTCTTTTCTTAAAATTCCAGGAACCTTCATGTGTTGTCATTGTAATCCTGATTTGCCCATCTAGTGGTGTGAGTGTATGACATAATTTTAGGGATTTAATGGGTTTTGGAAAACAGAGAATAAGCAGCATTAGAAGTAGAACGTAGAAGAGAAAATTGAATATTAACAGTGAATATGAGATGATTTGGGATGCAGAAGGATCAATGCATCTTGTAGTAGGTATCAATTCTGTATGTTAATGTTTTGAAAATAGTGTTGGTAGGTATCAGTTCTGTGTGTGAATGTGTTGAAAATAGTGTTTGTAGGTGAAAATTATGCATCTTAATGAGTTGAAAATAGTGTATCAGTTGTGTATCGTAATATGTTAAAAATAGTGTTAGTAGGTATCCATTATGTATCTGACTGTTTGAAAATAGTGTTTGTAGGTATTAATTATGTATGTTAATGAGTTGAAAATAATGTATCAGGTTGCATCTTAATATGTTGACAATAGTGTTAGTAGGTATCCATTATGTATGTGAATGTATTGAAAATAGTGTTTGTAGGTATTCATTATGTATCTTAGTGTGATGAAGATGTGTAGATAATATTGTGAGTAGGTATCACTTCTGTATGTTAATGTGTTCATAATTTTGTGAGCAGGTATTACTTCTGTTTCTTAAGCAAAAGGTGTTTGTTGCAGTTAAAAAATGGAATCTGGGTTTGAACTTTGTTTGCTGGAGTCAGAGGTCTATGCTGCGCGGGTGAATAAGTTGTGTGTGGCGAATACAGTGCTGTGTAATTTTGGGGCGCATTTCAGTGAGTCTCTTATGAAAAGATTTAGAGAGAGCTATTTTGGGCCCTTGTTGGGCCTCCATAAAATTGCATTTAGTGGTCAAATTATGCATGCTCTGGCACTGCGGCGAGTCAGAGGACTTGGTGTTAAGGACATGCTGGGCCTTAGTTATGCAATGGGGTCCAATGTTGCTCAATTTAGTGTAAAGGATTTTTGTTTGATAAGTGGTCTGAAATGTGGAACAGAGCTTGATATAATGTCCGGGGGGGATGCTCATAATCGATTTATGAAAGCGCATTTTACTAACAGGGGTCACATTACTTGCAATGACTTAGAAAATGCATTCCTAAAGTCCGAAAGAGAAAGTGAGGACTCGTTCAAATTGGGACTGCTGTATTTTGTGGAGTTTGTGATAATGGGTAAACCCCAAAATGTGAAGATAAACGAGGAGTACTTATATTTGGTTCATAAAATGGACGAATTCAACAATTATCCGTGAGGATCTATATCTTTTGAGTTTCTGCAAGATTCTCTGTTGTTTGCTCCCGGGAAGAAAGAGAGTGATGAAGAGAATGATGGGAAGGGAAAAGGATAGAAAAAGGGAAAAAAGGCAGTGCAGAGTTTAGTGAGAAAAGGGAAGAAAAACGTGGAAGATGAGAAACCTAAAAGAATTAACAGACCTGGATGGAGTATAAAGGGATTGAGCTATGCTGTCTAGGTATGATGTAGTTCAAAATTAGTGTTTGTAAAATTTTAGTTCGTAATTAAGTACTGACTTTGATAATCTATTTGTTGTAGATTTGGTTGTATGAATTAATTGCTGAATTGGGAATTCCCCCCCTTAGATATTGTAAGCGGATCGAGGTGCATTAGTCCCTCAAATTTGCCGATGGGAATCCACGGATAAAGTGCCTGAGTTTAGAAAGCTGAACGCTTATAATTTCAAAGCAAATAGGTGTGTAGTTAATAATTTATTTCAGTACTAAGTTCGTTTCATGAAGAATGCTGTTTAGTATTGTGTATAACCTGTTAACTCTATGTGTTTGGTAGCCTGTTATACTGCGCCTCTTACGACCAAGTCAATTGGAGATGAGCCAACCGTATTGGAGTTGGGGATCAGATGTTCCTGAATGTGATGCACCCAGTGTAGGTCCGCAGGTATGTAAGGACCTTGATGAGTTAAACTCTATTGTGCAGCAGTTGAGGAATAAGGTTGCAGTATTGGACCGTGAGAAGGGTAAGCTAGAGGAGAGAGTTTTATGCTTGGAAAAGTGTACCAGTCATGCAGACGCGAGGAAGATTGGGGATGCTGGAGCGGAGAGGAATAAGACTAAGGATGCTGGAGAGGAGAGGAATAAGACTGAGGATGGTGGAGAGGAGAGTCAGAAGACTGAGGATGGAGGAGAGGAGAGTGATAAAACTGAGAATGGTGGAGTAGCCGAATCGAGAGAGCAGTGTGTACAAAATGGTAAAGAAGAAGTGCAATATACACCCCCGGATATAAATTGGGATGATCCGGGTGTGGTGTGTGTCACCCTTGTTAAATTTCTTACGAATCCTCCTCAAAAGATTGACATGTCCACTGCTGAGGGTGAATGTGGCGAAGATGTTATAGTTGGGGTCTGGCAAAAGAGGGGTCGGGGAAAGAGTGAGATTCTTGGCCCTGCGATGAAGAGGCGAAGGGCAGTGGTGAGGGAAACTCCATGGATATGTCGGGAGATTCCCAATATTTCGGAGGACACAATTGCTGACTCCCTCAGGCCTGATCCTCGTGATACCCTTTTGGAGGTTGCGAAATTCTGTTGGGAATGGGGACAAGAAGAAAAGTAAGTTCCCACTGCCCGTCCTTAGTGAAATGTAAATGGTTTATTATGATTAGTTATTGAGTGAATGGTGAAACAAAATTGATACTAATAATGATTCACAAATATAGTTCACATGTGCGGTTATGTGGAGAAGATGGTATGGAAGGTTCGCATAACTTCTTTGTTCTATTGCTGACCAAGGATGGTTGGTTGGATGACTCGGTAAGCATTGATTGATTTGGGATTTTGTCGAAATGCCCATGCTATGTAGTGATTTATTGATTTAATAATGGAAACAACTGTTCTATGTAGAACATAGACATGGCCTTGCTTTTGCTACGGGAGCGGCACAAGAGGTCTGGCAACTGGGTAGGTTCTGACTGGACGATACTGGACACCACTTTTCAGGTATGTATTATTTCTTAAGCATTGTTTATTTTCAAATTAGGTATCCGTTATGATGCATATCTCATGTGCCACTATGCAGAAATGTGCTGCCTTGGATTACAAGCAAATGAAGGCGTATGTGGGAAAGGAGGACAGGCAGCACAACAAGGGTCTACTGGGAATGGTCAAGGGCGAAGGGCCTAAGTTGGCTAAATCATGGTCGTCTGTGAATCGTGTTTGTTTGGCTTTCAACCTACAAAGGCAGAAGCACTAGATCTTACTTGTTGTCGATTTAAAAGGGTGTGAGATAAGGGCATATGATTCAAAAGTAGATCTGTGTAGAACTCAAGCCATCCAACGGGCCGTGCAGCCGGGGGCGAAAATGCTGCCCCGGTTGTTAAAGGAATCTGGATATATTGGCGACGGTCTACTTCTGAAAACAAGTGGCCAGTTATTCGCGTCATGGATGCACCCCAACAAGTAGGCGGGTGAGTAATATTCCACCTAACCACATTGTCTTATGAAATGGATTTGTTGTACAATGAATCACAACTTCTTCACTACATTTCAGGGGCGACTGTGGGATGTACATCCTCAAATACTGCGAGTTTCTGACCTCGAATGTAGACCTGGCCAAGATTTCCCATGATGCCATGCCCTTCTATCGGTTGAAGCTCGCTGTACAGTTGTTGCAAGGATATTAGTAGCTGTGATTCATTAGGAGATACTATAATTTACAAAGTTTTAACTGGGTGGGTGTAGTGTAGTATATGAACTTGCAAAGTTAATTTAACCGGGTGGGCAATTTTTTTGGTAACAGACCTTATATTCACGAGTTACAAAACAAACCTTTGTATAATAATAAAAGGGAAGCTTGAAGAGCTTTCTTCACATGCTTGAGTGCATCTTTCCCCTTTCTATTTTACTATGGTTTTGAAAAGGTAGTTTTCTTGTTTTTTAAGGAACAAAGTGTTCTTTATAATCCAACTCCCCCTTGTCACTTAAAATTAAAGACTTAATTTTTGTATTTTGTTCAAATACAAGCTGTATGAAACCCTCAACACATATTGTTGACAGTATGCTGAACCCGAACCCTAAAGGGTGCATGATTCTTTTCAAATGTCGAATAAATAGTAGCTGTCCAAATTACAAAATTACAAAACTTATACTTAAACCCAAAACATTTCTTACTTTTTCATCAATTTAACAACCAAATTCAGAAATGATAGAACTAACAGCAGTAGGAGGATTTTATGAATGGCCTTCAGTATACGGATTACTTCAGCATATGCATTAAGTTCTTTCACATCCACCTGGTTTTGAATGTCAGATTCATTTGGGGTGTTGGCTGCTGTCACCCATTCATAGCCACTACACCTTGTAGCTCCCTATTAAAAAAAAACAAAAACAAAACAAAACTACATTTTTCAGTATGGGATTACAATGTCAGACCATATTCTTTTATCTGGAGCATTTTTAGTTTGGGATTAGTGTTTATTATTTACAGCTTATTCGGTTTTACATACGAGGTTTGGGAAGATTATACTTACATATGTTGTGAAGCACTTCCAATACGGTCTGCCCAGATTCCTTTCGGATTTGGAAATTAGCTTCACCATCTCAGCATTGCAGTGCCAACACCTCTTTGCTTCAGTGTTTGATGAAGAACTTGACATCGCTTGGCCTAGAGTTGAAAATGAAGAAAACAGAAGAATTTAACCCTAATACATGAGCGGGAAAATAAAATGCATTGTTGTGGGGAATTTTTAATAATTTTTTTACCCTAAACCGTAGCCTTAAAGGCGTTTATCAAATGAAAATATAAGGAAGACAAAAATTAAAAGGAAAAGGGGCGTGTGGCGGCATGGGAATGCGCCGCGTGTCGCTGAGGTCTGCAGCTTCCCACTCCAGCTCGCCACTTGGCATTCCGTGTGTATTTTATTCCTTTTTTTTCTTCAGAAAATCGTAAAAAATACAGGAAAATTCAGAAAAAAAAGGGGGAAAATTCCTAAGTATGTATCGGGATGAATACTTCGTACTGAAAGTAGAATAACGGATTTTGGTGTGAGGGAAAAATAAAATTAGGGAACAAACCCTAGTGTTGGATGATGCAAATGAAAACACTAGTACACTTTTAAACCCTATACTCTTATTTGTTCGATCACATTAATTCCGTATGGATATTTATATGACGGGGCCTTTTTCCGGATATTTCATGGAAAGAAATGTCGTCACGAGTGCGGATGATTTTTTCTGGAATTTTTCCCCCTTCAATTCGATTTTTAAATGAATATTTAGTTGGAAATGAATAAAAAATTTGAAAAGGGGCGTTTGGTGGCATGGGAATGCGCCGCGTGTCGCTGAGGTCGGCTGCTCCCCACTCTAGCTCCGCCACTTGGCATTCCGTGTGTATTTTATTATTATTTTTTTTTTTCAAAAAATCGTAAAAAATACAGGAAAATTCAGAAAAAAGGGGGGAAAATTCCTAAGTATGTATCAGGATGAATACTCCGTCAGGAGTTTTGACTTATACTTCTCAAGGAGTTTTTGGTTAAATACGCTATTTAAATCACTTCTCAAGGAGTTTTTGACTTATACTTCTCAAGGAATTTTGTATTTTTGTTGTTGTTGCAACAATCGTAAACATTGCATGACAAATTCCGAATGTGAAGGGGAAAAACCTAACAGTTATTTTCCCCCTTAAATTCGATATTTAAATCATTATGTTAGTGAAAATAGAATTTCGGATTTCCTTTTTAAACTATGTTTTATCTTTGAAATATATTTTCAAATGCAGGACAAATCAGGAAATGTTGGGAAAGTGAAAACGTAATTAAAGAATCACTAGAGTGTCTTAGAAGATCAAGGATGGCTCAGACCCGGTCTGACTGGAAGGATAATCCATCATGCGTTGACAACACGCAACCTCCCTGGCATTTTGGTGTCTGTCATCTGCAACGAATGACTGCTTCGGGAATAGGAACCAGAATTCCCCATTTCAGAACACATAGTCAAACCATAGGACCAAAAACCATCCAAAACATATGCACACAAGCTACAAAGGTTTATGGAACACAAACGTCTACAAACCTGTACTGAAATTGGATCTTAAAAGTGCACCAGTTACAAAAATAGACCTTCAAACCATAAACAGGACTTCAAACCACAAATGTCTACAACATTACCATAAACAGACCTTGAATTAAAAACATTAAACAGAAGGTAAACTTCGTCTGTAAATAAAAACAAACGAAACCCAAAACACACTTTAATACCCATATCATACCATGGATATTTAATTTATTAAATCCAACAGGTCTGCCCACGGAGTTTGCACTCGAAGCAGTATAGCTCCCTCTTCCATTTGCAGGGTTCACAGCAGTTCTAGGTAGATACCATGTCAGAGTAGTCGCCCTCCCAGTCCCATTGGAATGTGAAATACCTCTCTCGATTACCCACACAGTTAACGCGGGTAATAATAAAATTTCTGTCAACAGTAAACTTTGCAAGAGTTGGAGGAGTCACTGCGCCGGAAATGGTATACCTCATTAGTCGATTAAAAAATGATGCCCTGCATGCTTGCATGTCAATTTTCTTCATTTTGCTTAGATGGCACAACCATTCCATCGCATCCTCTTCGCCCTCCTTAGGGTTCACTAGCTCTAGCAAGCCAACAATGTAGGAGGATTTCATATGCCCTGCCTTAGCCGCCACCCGGAAGTTGTTGACAGCCTCATCATCTTTGAATATGAAGAATTGAGTTACAACTTCTTTGTAAATGATTTCTGGATTGTTGTGTTCCTTGCACTTTTGCAAGAACTCAACAAGTTTCTCTTGATCAAACCCGTACCATTCAGGATGCCATTGGTACTTCTCTACAGACACGGTTTGCCAAACCTCAGGATCATTCAGCATTTCTTGAAATAACTTGCATGTCCCTGTCATGCTGTACAGATCTTTAAAGGAGTGCTTTGCAACCAAAAGCAGCACCTTAAACCATGCTTCGGCTGGGATGTCCATCTGGGTTGTTGGAGAAGAGGGAGTGCAAAAGGTATGTGGAGGAATAATGAACGGTGTGTCTAGACAAATGAGGAAGAAAGGTATATATTGGAACGAACCGTCGTCACCTAAACTATGGACGAAGATAACATTGGGTTTAGATCATGTATTATTGGCTTCGTTTCCCAATCGGTGTGACTGAAAGGACAGTTCACACACCTCGATGATGTAGGTTTTGGCGGTAAATTGGTCTTCTCGCGGCTCCATGCCTATGTACACCTCATGCGTGTTCGCATTTATGATACTACTAATCAACGTCAGCAGTCAAAAAATTAAATATACTTTTTATGATAATGATTATGCAAATATCACATTGCTACTTATGGAGGTGAAATTCGTTGCATGTGAATAATTTAACAGCCAAATATGAAACAAAATATCATATCAACGCACGATTAACAGTACAGAAAATGAAAGCAGTGTTTATGACATCACCAATTATGAAGGTAATCTGAATTTAACATGAGCAAGTAAACAATTTCATCTTCTAAAAGATGATACTAAATATGAATGCACCATTAATAGTAAAGAAAATGACAACAGTGTTTTATGACATCACTAGTTATGAAGGTAATCTGAATTGAACATGAGCAAGTAAATAATTTCATCTTCTGAAATATGATACTAAATATAAACTCATATCACCAGTAAAAAAACAAAAAAATGTGCTTGTGTTACTTATAATGCAAATATCACATCACAAGTTGTGGAGGTAACTTACATTTGAACATGACCAACTCAACAGTTTCATCTTCGCAAATATGATACTAAATACGAAGGGTAAAGAATATTAAAATATTGTATATGATACAAATAATGCAAATATGACATCACCAGTTCTCAAGGTAACTAAAGTTGCAGCTCCCCACTCGAAGTCAACATTGGCATTTTGGCGGGTAAAATGAAAATGGGGACTGCTCTATAAATACCAATGTAAGAGTATTTTACCTCCCATTGCACCTCCACTTGTTCCAAACAAGCCTAAACTCGGAATGGGTTACCCTACAAAAATCCCCCCCATACTTATAACAAATCTAGCAAAAAATGCAGAACCTTTGTCACAGAGGAATAATAAAGCTGCAGATGTTGCTGATGGAGCTGCGAAATCCATAAACTTTTCATGTAAGGACCACGATGATGTAGCTTGGATCGGCAAGATGAGGTATGATGCGTTGATCATGGAAATCAAACGCCTGAAGATACCTCTAAGATGGTATGAAGAAACATTGGGGAAGGAGAAAAAGAAAGCAAAATTCCACCTTCGATCAGTCCAAAGAATGAAAGTGAGGGTTTGGCTTGCGAAAGGAAAAGGTGTTCGAAGGTTCAGTACTTCGAATGAGTCTGTGCAGATGAGGGAAGCAGAAGCACGCAAAGGGTTTGACCTGTTCCGAGTTTGCAAGATGTGTTGTCCCAAGCTACAACTGGGACGAGATCGCCATGGAGTAAACCGTCCCTGGATAAAGTTCATTTTGGGGGTTGTCAGTATTTTGTTCGGAACAAATGTGTGGTTCATTTTGAGTACATTTTTTGGCATTTTGTGTGGGCTCCTGAAGGTGTAAAAACTGTGGTTTGAAGTGTTCATAGTTCTTAGGTAATGTATCCAACTGTAAGATGTGAAGGACAACTATAAGCAAATGGGGAAACTATTTTCAGTTTTTTAAGCGTACTTCTGTCTACATAAATTGTTGTGCTTTTATGAAATTTGTTTATATTATTTTATGATCACATATTTCTTTGTGTTATTTTATAACGCCTAAAAGGCATAGAAACAACAGAGGTGGATTTGTTGATAATCCAGGTATTTATGCCGCATAGTAATCAAGTAATGGAGGGTTGGCTTTATCTCGTTCGTTTAGGGATGGCAATGGGTTGAATCGGGGTTGGGTATGCCATTTCCATGGCCCTCCCCATTAGGGAAGAAAAAACCAATTATATAACTACTATGTTGAAAAGAAAAAAGAGCAGTAAGACAACATAATGAATATATAGAATACATACTTAGAAGACAATATAACAATGTTTATATATATGTTGGAAGTTAACTAAATAAATAAGTACTGTGGCTTAAGATTTGTATACAATATAATCTACTAATATAAAATATAAAACTTAGTCGATACTCTGTATGTTCATAGCATATTTATATATGAGGTAAATGCTCTTGTGTGTTTCCATTTTGGGTTATTTGAATAAAATAATGCATCTATGCAGAAAAATATATTAGTAAATACAGTGCTGAATAAATTTATTTGAAAGTCTGCTTTTGTTTCCCCCTTTTTTAAGTAATTGGGTGAGTTTTGAGGTTTGATCATTTATTTGATCACTTATATGGTAGCTAATTATGTTCGTAACTTGGCATTTTAGAGGTTTGCTTATTGGTTTCAAATATACAATTTTAGCAATGAAATAACAAGAACCATATTGTGTTTGTCAATTGAAAGGAGAAAATATAGAAATATTTTTCCGAACAAATTATATATGAAGCAAATGAAACTGATACTTGTGTTCTTATAAATTAGATAATGAACATTAAGGAAGTACACTTCTAATTTTTGCAAAATATAATGTTACGGTTCAAAGGAAAGCAAGTTATCACCATATTCCAAAGATGGAGTGTACACTTTGTATTGTCACATCAGATGAAATTAAGTACGAAATTAAGTTTTTATAATCACTTTGGATGATTTATAGCTTCCCCCAGTTTTGTAACGGCATAAGGAGCTGGTAGCAATTTTCCGTTTTTTCTCCTATTTATTACCATTTTTTAAATCATTTTGCATTACAAAATTGAAAACATAAAGAAATAACACACATGGCGACAGCTGACCGCATCCCTCTTAGTAGGTGCACACGTGTACGCTAGTGGCCATTGCCACATCCTTCCTTTCCGTGTGAATTTAAATGAATAATGCTATTTTCTTACAAAATTCATAACTAAATATACAAAAATGGGGAAAAAATTTCGCAAATTGCTACGGACTCATTCAAACTTGATAAATCAAAATTCAAGTGTGTGCTAACATTTTTACTAATCATGTGAGGCTCATGTGATTAACTAAATCAAATACTCTGATTACTTTAAAATATATATATATATATATATTAAAGTGATGGGACAAAAGGAGAAAAAACAAAATGGAAAACTTCCTTACATAATATATAAACGTTGTTTTATGCCTATGGGCTACTCATGCCGTTCATCTCTCTTTTCTTCTTTCCAGTCGTCTTGTTTGCATACAAACCTTCAGCCAAATCCCCCAATCTGACGATTTTGTCAACATGTCCGCCAGTTCAAGCGGCAAAGCGAATTAGGGGGACTCCGATGGCTCATGGGAATATGCCCCCGATTATCCAAGGTCCCCACCACCACCGCTACCTCTTCCAACCTCCTCCGCAAGCGAGAGGGACTCTGATGATCCCGTTGTGGAAATAAATTATATGAATAACAAACTGGAACACAACTTTTCCTTGGTCCATTATTGGACTCAAAAGTGTGTCGGAGCTGAGCAGAAGTTGGCTTATTTGACTCGGCAAGTTAACAAAGCTCGTTACCGAAAAGAGAAGCAAAGAATTCATGCCCAAAGAAGAAAGCACACAGCAAAGGATTTGCATATGACAGAGGAGGATGCTACGTACGAATCTTTGAGCATCCACAAAGGAGGCGACAACCAAGGCCAGGCAATGTCTGTGGTTTTCAACCAAGGTTTTGAGAAATTCCGACGGTTCGCTGCAGATGTCCACAAAGATATTAACTGGGACGCCATAACCCCGTCTACTGCATAAGAAATCATCTCCAGCGGTGCACACCCAACAGAGCAAGGCCTCCAACCAGCAAAAGGCAACGATAATGACTGGTGATAGCTACATCAATCCGTACGCAATCCCTTAGCAGTTGTTTGTTTTTGTTAATGCCCGATCTGGGTTAGTGTTTAAATGTGTATGCCCGATCTGGGTTAGTGTTTAAATGTGAATGCCCGATCTGGGTTAATGTTTAAATGTGAATGCCCAATCATGCTTACTGTTTTAATGCCCGATCATGCTTATGTGTAGCTTATTATTTCGTTTTACACTGCTATCAAACCTAGAGTTCAATCATAGTTCGATCACTAACTTCCGGATTAGAAGCGTTCATTTCGTAATAGTGCTCACAATTTTTTGTTTAATTCATTGTCGGTGGGGAGACAATTTGTTTCAAGATTCTCTACATAGATATTCGTTGGTTGAGACTTTATAGAGACATAGTGATTGTTTCAAGATTCTCTTACTGACACATAGTCATGGTTTCAAGATTCCCTTCGATCTTTTCAAATTCATTGCAACCATTGCAAATTTGTGTACAAAACCCCTTACATGATTCCCCAAAACTCGTTCTCCTTCAAACAAGGGCTTCAAGTTCTGTAAATCTTAAACCCCAGAGGACATCCGGGACATCAACCTTCAACAAAAGATAGATCCAAAACTTCGAGTTACGCATTGAAACCATGGTGCCGTTCACGACCAAAAAATATGTAAATCGGTATCAATAAATGTTAAAACTCCGGGACCATAAATGAAATCAAACTCTTCCAGATAGTTATGTGTTTAATAATAAACCATAGTTCAGTATCAATGGACATGAGGCATTTACCTAAGATTCACTAAAGCTTCCAGATACTTTCAAAAACATGTAAATAAGTATCAATAAGTGCTCAAACTACGGGACCATACATGAAATCAAACTCTTGCATAAATGACTCTGTCATAGTAGGTTCACTGTCCTGCGTACTCTGAGTGGGCTGCAAATTCTCACCAATTGGACCACCAAGTTCTGTGTCGGAAGATGAAGAGCTGCCACAAAAACATAAATAAAATCAAAACACAATTATAAAAGCACATATACACATTACGGGCTCGCAAGTTTTGGACAACTCCGTCTATCATGATCAGTCTTCCTACATTCAGTGCACCGATGTTTATGTCGTTGCGCTACCTTCTCTTTTTCTCCTTTAACTCTTTTCGCACGCCCTTTTACTTTCACTCAATGTGGATCTTTGATTCTGAGTTGGGGATAACTAGTTCCGACATCTCCATTGGGTTCTTCGACATGAACTCTTGATGACACCAATGTTGTAAGCTTCCCATGAACTTCCTCAGAAGATTTTTCCTGCAACTCAAAACCTTCATCACACAACAAAGCTGAATCAATCAACTCACTTGCAACTTTGCAAACTTTCGATCTCTTAACCAAAAGCAAACCATCAACGCAATCGTTAACTTCTTTGTGATTCTTATCATATATTACACTGCTTTTCGCACTTTGAAGCCATCGTTTCAATATGTAATTGTCTGGCAAGTGCTCAACCTGCTTCATTCTTAAGAATGCTAGGATGTGTCGGCACGGAAAACCCCAAAATTCAAAACCTTTGCAGCTGCAATAAGCTTTATCGGCATCTTTATCACGCACAAGCTCATTCATCCGTGTCACCCCCGGATTTACCCGCTCACTCACTTTGTATCTGCAGTGCGTCTCATCTTCGTCTACAAGTTCAAACAAGCATAAAAGACTTCTGAAGTCTTCCCTCTCAAACATTTCCAGAATTTCCCGAGTGTAAATGCGTCCCATTTGATGTTGCATTGGTGTTTGAAATGGCAATGGAGGTTTTTCATTGTAATCAACATGATCAGCCATTAACTCCTTTTGTCTTTGTGAAGCAAGAGCTCTCTCAAAACGTACAACGAAATGGCAATGGAGGTTAATATATTGTTTGAAAAATGAATGACAGCTTTTGGCCTGTTAACTACTTGACATCCCAGCCGAAAACACATGTTTTACATATGATGGAACCCAATTCTCCCGCATAGCATGAATTGAGCTCAGCCACGCATGGTCTTGCAGCCCATTGTTTGTGATGATTTCCTCCCATTTCGCATCAAATTCTTCTTTCTTGTCCATACCCCATATGCATTTGTTCATTTCCGAAAAACATTCTCCAATGCCGGGTTTCTCTGTAATCTTATTCAAGATATGCCATATGCAATATCGATGGAATGTTGTCGGGAGAGTTACAACAATTGCCTTTGACATGGCTGCATCTTGATCAGTCATGATCATTTTGGGTGGCTCACCCGGCATGGCTTTCTTGAATTCCTCTAACAACCATACAAATGAATCCATGGTTTCACTAGTTAGGAATGCACAGCCAAACAACACTGTCTGCCGATGGTTATTAACGCCTAACAAAGGTGCAAAGACCATCCCATAGCGATTCGTGTTGAACGTCGTATCAAATACCACCACATCTCCAATAAACCCATAAGCTCGTCTTGACCTTGCATCTGACCAGAAAACATTACCCATCCTTCCTTCCGAATCTACCTCCATCTTGAAATAAAAGGATTCATTCTTTTCTTGCATAGCCATAAAATGCTCCTTAAGCAGCTCTGCATCATGGCCAATCACCTCTCCACGCACGTCCCTTAGATAATTATAGACATCTCTCTTAACAAGCCCAATATTTTCCAATCCCCCTACTTGCACCTAAAGAAGGCTTAAGTGTTTATGTACCGGAATATTAACTTTGCTTATATCTGCACTATAGGCCTTTGTAGACTCTGTTAAGTTACAGTGAGATCTCAATATATGGACTTTATCAACTGTGGTCATGTCATGGTTGTGTACCTCATTGAATCCTACAACAATGTACTTATTCTTGTCTTTCATCTTCAACATCTCAAGTTTAGCCTTGCAACCAATTCGAGTACAACCTCGTCGTCTTCTCTTATGACTAACAGTGCTTGTCAACGCATTGTGCACGTCCTCGTTGTAGAACACCGAATGCCGAATCCGGCTTCCGCAGCGTACATATTATAGAAATTGAACACATCGTCACATCAATCAAATTCAAGTCCCAATTTTGGTTTCAACTTCGACCTTACTTCCAGTGTCACCTGTCCTTCACACTCCATTGCACAATTCTTGCAATTTAACCCTGAATTCACCACCATCATACCAACGTTGGCTCATGCTTTCAAAGAGCTTTAAAATATATATATTAACTAACATATGATATGAAAATGATTCCCTGGTGAAATATTAAAGACTTACATACAAACTAATGTAACTCATGCTTATGCCCAATAATAAACTTGACAAATACAGTGTAAAGAGCTTCAAAATATATATATATATATATATTAACTAACATATGATATGAAAATAACTCTCTGGTGAAATATTCAAGACCAACATACAAAATTATGTAACTGATGCTTATGCCCAATAATAAACTTGACAAATACAGTATAAACATCTTTAAAATATATACGTTAACTAACATGTGATACGAAAATGATTCTCTGGTGAAATATTAAAGACCTACATACAAACTAATGTAACTCATGCTTATGTCCAATAATAAACTTGACAAATACAGTATATCACTTACCTCGTGAGTCATTTCCAACTTCAAAATTTCTACAAATATGACAATGTCGCCCTTTTAGATCTGGACGTCAATCCCAAACACTTTTCTTCTTCCTCAACCCCTGTTTCGACCGTGCTCAACGATTTCAAAACCAAGAGAACAGCACAACGGTCGCAGTCACCAGTTTCCAACTCAAGACGTTGGTTAAGGATTGATGAATGTTCCGACCAGAAAGACCGAACCACAAAGATGATAATATAAAATACACGAACACTTTCTTTCACCTGAATGAGAAACCCAGAAAAATGAGGGCTAAAACTTATGTGTTCTTCCTGGAATCGAATAAGGAATAACAAGGGCTCTCTCTCTTCAATGTTATTGGTCATGCTTAATCAAAGCTGATAAAAAAATTGGCCACCTTGAACAAAACGAACAGCTGGATTGGAGGAGACATCTATTTTGGAGGGGACGTCTGTTTCCGACTCGACGTTTTGGCGGGAGGAGAGAGAAGAAGGCGTCGTTCTAATACAACACTTACACTTACAATTGCTTTTGATGCAGCCGTTAGATTAGATCCAACGGTGTTCTCACGTAACGTTCGCACATAAGCGTTCTCACCTGATCCAAACCCTTCTTTCCTTTCTCAACGGGCGCTTGTGGGTTAAATGCCAAAGGATTAGCCCCTAAAATCCGCTATTGATTTAAATCTCCTTGAATTGCCTCATTACACAGTTTACGCCTCTTATGATGGCCAGCCTTGATTGCACCATTAATATCATTAATGGTGCCCTGCTGTAACTAATCTCCTTCATCTTCATCCTCTTTCCGTCGCCGGACTTCGCCGACAAAGCCCAACTTGTCTAAGCTTGGAGCTTTCATCACCCGTCTAAGCTAGGTTATCCATTTCAGGTTCACCTAACCATTCTTTGACCTCTGCTTTGAGCCAGGGACTAAAGGGTTTGAACTCCCCATGGTTAATAACAGACTCCCGAAGCGAACACTGATTAAGGACATGATCACAAATGCCACACAGATAACAATAATTGGGAAGCTTTTCGTATTTGATCCAAACAAGACGACTCCTAACCTCTGAGAAAGTAAAACGCATACATTATTTAAGGGGTTGAGAAACATCAAGAATAACCTTAATTCTCAGAAAGCTTCCCAAACAAGTACCTCCTCTCCCAGAATCAGTCTCAAGAAACCACCCCAAGATATCACCAATGAGTTTCCCAGTACATCTCTCCATATATGCCAGAGGGACACCCTTCACTCTAACCCAAAAAGGTTGTGTAGTGAGGGGCACTCGATGAGGGTCTTCAAAACCATCAGTTTCACCCAAGATCAATAGAGCACTCTCAAAAGTCTAAGGACTTCCTTTGAGCATGCAATTTCTGTCACTTTCTGACATAAAGGAAAACAGGAATCACCCATTCTCCAGTTGGCAGATCTCTACACAAGCTCTGGGTGACCAAAGCTTCTTCATAGTCCTCATAAAAAATTGTACCTTAAAATCCTTCAAGGTGAGAAGCCTTCCAACTAAAAAGAAGCGTCGAACTTGCCTATTGTCTCCCATAGGTCCCTCAACTACTATAGGCCTGTGTTCATCCTCAATGAGATTGAGTTGCATGGTAAGTATGTCCACAATCGCATAAATGGCAGCCAGTAGGCAATCAAACCTCTTACCCAGCCAAAAGAATAAAGTCGCCCACAGTGACATACACTCACAAAAGTACCAATTTTCTTGGACTCTCTCTCAGAAACTCAATTTTCTCTCAAAAACAAAAAAAAAAAAAAAAAAAAAAAAAAAAAAAAACGTTTTGGAAACGTGAAAGTGAGCATATCATATTCAACTTCAAGTCCTCGGAACTCCTAAACATAGTAAAGTAGTGTGGGAGTAAATATTTTCGTCTCCAATCACAGCACGCCACGTAGAAAAGAAGATTATCCCCTACATGAATTAATTGAACCAATTATTGGCCAATTAATTAATAGGGATAATATCTTAATTATAGGATATTATCTTATAATTAATAAATATAATATCATTAATTCAGATATTATCCTAGCAAGAGATGTAATCAAGTCTGACTCAACCTCTACGAATTTGGGTAAAGAATAAACTTCTCCAAATAAGAGTTTATTCTCTATAAAACCCTAGCCTCGAGGCTCCTATAAATAGATGACTCCATTCATCATTCAAGGTACATCTAAACCCTACTTCTAAACCCGAGAAAAATACCCGAAGCTCTTTCTCCCCCTCCACTCTCCATATTTTTCCACACGGCTTCGGCTGCCCGATTCACACCATACATACAACTCCGTACCCTTTGCTTAGCTATTGTTTTCCTACAAACACTCGAACTAACTTAGGCATCGGAGGGCCTTTGGCCAACACCCTGGGTGTGGTCTATTTACTCCAATCTTTTTTTATAGGAATCGAGGAAAAGAGAGAAGGAAGATCGAAGGTTGAAGGATCTAGAAGCGAATATTCTCCTGTGAGATTATTTGCACAAACATTTGGTGCTTTCATTGAGAGCACGAGGTATACTCAACGTGTGCTCAAGGAATCCGTTCCTCCTATTTTCTAATCCACCAAACCCTTCCAAACAACCATGGTTGGAAGCAAGCGCACTAGGAGCAAGACCGTCGATATGGTCCCTGTGATTGGAACCACCTTACAACCTGCCGAACTCGCAGCTGAGACTATCGCACCGGCCTCTACCGTCGTCATGCCATCTCAAGGCCCTGTGGCTGGATCTAGCCACCTTCATAGCACTGCCGCCGAGCATGGTGGAACCTCCCATCAGGGTGGGCTCACTACCATTGCCGACTTAGGCCCGATCTTAGAGCAACTTCAAGCATTCCCTCCATTGCCTCCACGCTCGATGCACGCTCCTGTGTACACCTCTAATGAAACCCTAGCCCTGTGCAATTGGGCCTCACATAGTTCTCTCCTCCCGCTCCACGAAGTCAAGTAGACCCTAATCTAAGAGTTGAACAGCTAACTCAAAGAATGGATGACCAAAATAATTTGATGAGGCAGCTCCTTAACCAAATAAACTTGGTTCAAAACCTTGGCCTTGGACAACATGGCCAAGAGAGAAGGACGAACGAATGCACCAATAGGCAAATTCGATGGGAACCAAGCTGATCGAGCAGAAGTAAGCAAATAAGGAGATGGACAACAACAAGGTCCGCCTACCGACATGTCACAAGCCTCTGTAAACCACACTCAGAGCAGACGAGGTCTCCAATCCAGATTAAGTTTAAGGACCAATATGTACAATAGGCTGGGCCCAAGACGTAACATCCACGCCTGCCTAGGTCCACAGGGAAATGTTCATGAAAGGCTAGGCTCCCATGGACGTCAACCTAACAACCATCGCAATGAGGATTGTGAAGAAAGGAGCTCTGCTGCCCGCTCGCAGAGAAATGTTCACGAAAGGATAGACCCTCAGGGAGGTCAACTAGATAACCCTCACAATCAGGACTGTGAAGAAAGGCGCTTCACTGCTTTCTCTCAAAGAACCAATTCTCATCACCAAGCTATCGAAAATCCTTCACAAGCGATGTCCACCAATACACCTTCTAGGCAGCGCAGCCGAGAAGGTCGAACCTTGCGAACCAACGAGGAAGCCAATCAGTGTCACCCAAATCACGAAGGTCACCAACATGACTGACCAGCCATGTGCGCAGAAGACGTTGAGAAGCTTGTGAGTAACCGAGTTTGAGATTTGAAGATCGGAGAAGGTTTCGAAGATGCTCTGCGTAAGGAGGTGGACCAACCAAACTCCTCACCATTCACCGTTGAAATTGAGCAAGCTGCTCCTATAAAGCGATTCTCAACTCCTTCGTTCACACTTCAAAGATGATTTCAATCCCGAGCACCATATGAAATACTTCAAAAGTGTTATGATCCTCCACAAGGACTACGACACGCTAATGTGCAAAGTGTTTGTCATGACTCTGCTAGGAGTAGCCCAAGATTGGTTCCACACCTTACCTTCCAGGTTGACTAGCAGCTTCAATGAGCTAGCTTACGTCTTCATCAAAGAATACACGTCTTATCGGACGATCAAGAAAACCCTTGACGATCTATTCAAACAGCACAAAAAGTCTGATGAATCCCTCCGAGACTACTTCAAGAGGTTCAAGGCGGAGAGGGCAAACATTGTAGGATGTGATGACCAAGTTGCGTCCTCTGCCTTCAAAAAGGGCTTAACAATTGAATGTGAGCTGTATCGTGAGCTGACCATCTTTCTTTGCCAAACACTGGTAGAAGTCTTTGCAACATCAGAGTGCTACGTACTATGGGATGACGACCAGATCGCCGCAAAAAAGACTGCAAGCTAGCCGATCAACTAGCTGACCAGGCAAGCCAAAAGAACGGCAATCGCATATCACAGCCTCAGGAAGGTGTTCCAGCAGCTGAGAGCTACACCAAGTTCACTATCCCGATACACCAGATCTTGGCCCAAGTAAAAGACATTCCTTGGCTGAAGAAACTATCGCCTTTGAAGGGAAACCCAACTGAGAAAGATACCAGTAGATACTGCGCATTCCATGTAGGGCACGATCATTACACAAACGATTGCTTCGCATGGAAAAGGCATCTCAAAGATCTAGTCAGAGATGTCCATTGCACGGAATTCATTGCAAGAAGGGCTATCCAGCAAATCAAAGATTGTGACGCAGTTGCAATGAGCCTCATAGAAAAAAGTAATACGGATCAACACAATCCTAGTCGACTCCAAGAGCCTGGGTTGACCACCAGGGAGTAAGAGAGAAAGATCAAGCAGACGAATTTCGTCTCCTAAGCCATTACTAGCTACCAAGTTATGGAAGACGAACCTGTCATCATCTTTCAATAGAAGGAAGTTCCAAGGCAATGAAATGCCCATCACCTTCAGGGGTACTATCGATGACACTCCTCACCTATCAGCTCGGCTTTAAGCATGCAGCCAAGCCTCCCTCACCTCTATTGAAGACAAGTTACTTTTGATGTTACTCATGCAATTCATCTTTTTTGTTCAATAAAACAATGTAGTCACATAGATATGAATACAAGTTCAAGTTTTTCTTTCTAATGGAGTGTTCACAAAAGCAATCGACACGTCTCCGGACGTAGGCTAAACGGGCCACTCTCACTGACACGTCCCTGCACGTAGGCCAAACGGGTCACTCTCATCGACATGTCTCTGGACGTAGGCCAAATGGGCCACTCTCATCAACATGTCCCCAGATGTAGGCCAAACGGGCCACTCTCACCGACACGTTCGTAGGCCAAACCGGTCATTCTCATCGACACGTCTCTAGACGTAGGCCAAACGGGCCTCTCATCAACACATCCTCGAACGTAGGCCAAACGGGCCACTCTCACCGACACGTCCCCGGACATAGGCCAAACGGGCCACTCTCGTCTGGCCGTAGGCCAAACAGGCCACTCTGACTGACATGTCCCCGGATGCAGGACAAACGAGCTACTCTCACTGACACGTCTCAGGACGTAGGCCAAACGGGCCACTCTCATTGACACGTCTCAGGACATAGGTCAAATGGGCCGCACTCACTGACACGTCTACGGATGTAGGCCAGATGGGTCACACTCACCAACACATCTCCGGACGTAGGCCAAATGGGCCACTCTCATCTACACGTCTACGGACATAGGCCAAACGGGCCTTTCATCGACAAGTCTCTAGATGTAGGCCAAACGGGTTACATTTATCGACAGGTCTCTAGATGTAAGCCAAACGAGCCACTCTCATGACACGTCTTCGGACGTATGCCAAACATGCCACAACCTAGAAACACTCAAAGAGTTCAGACGACACTACGTGAATTGAAGTTAGAAAAAGCAACTGATCTACAGACTCTTTAGCATTCGCCTGATCAACCGCGCTCTCAGCAGCTCCACCTACTTGATCGGCCACGTCTGTCACCACCTTTTTTTTGAAGTAGATGAAATGTTGCTTCCCTTTGTTTTTCCAAGGAAAGACTTGAGAAAGTACCAAGATCGCCAGCCTGACGGATTTGATCAACTAGCTCAGCACAAGTGGATGGACTTGAGCAGATTAGACACGCATGCATCCCCTGCATGGGTGGACGTGTCCACCTTGGGACTAGCCACTGACGGTGCAAAAGAGCCCTTGGCCCGGGCAAATGACTATCTTGCTTTCCTAGCCTCTGCCAACCTCACTACCAAAGAAATTGGCGACGACGAATCAACTCCACGCTTGACCTCTCGTGACTCAACAACTAAAACATGATGGTTGGATGGATGAGCAGACTGCCCAGATCGACTTCCACTCTTCGACTGATGCAGACGACCCAAACTTCGAAGAGGAGCATCTGCATCCCTAATGTTGCACATATAGCTAATCTTCTTGCTATCTGCACCAATGAGATGTTTGATCCTATCGAATGACAAGGGAATAGCTCCTACTTAGGTCTTCTCAGCAGAAGGGAGCTTTGTCTTCTTTCTTAAAGAAGACACATTCCTCTCTCATGAAGAAATAGCTTGAGTTCTCGAAGACTTGACAGCAGCCTTCCTTTTTTAGGGGAGTTCAGTAGAATATTCATCATGTCAAACGGGCAGATCATCAGGGTCTAGACTATCTTGCTCCTATCTCTCGACATCCTCAGCAGGGGCCAGTCCACCAACTTCCTCCTGATCGTTGCATAGTAACCAGCCTGGTCCCACCCAGCTGGTCCTCGCCTTGAAAATGAGAAGACGAAGAAAAAATTTACGTACTCGACTTACCTTGGGATGCACGGCAACTCCTCTCTTCGACAAGCAGTACAAAATTCTCCAAGATCTTTCTCAAGCTAGAAAGTAGAGAAGTTAAGTTTACAATGTGAGAAAGAGTGAAGAGAAGCCCTACATTTAAGTTGCAGATTCCCCTGAGTAAAAGCATAAAGAGTCTGGTCAAAAGTCATACAGTTTCTTGCTCGTGATCATAAGATAGCCACCTAAGTTACTTTTAAAGTTACCTGAGTTACTTTTGTGAAACACTAGTTACTTTTTCAAGCCTTCTAAGATTAAGTTCTTGTCTTTTTAAGGAGGTTTTGGCCTCATTTTGCAAACAGAATGTAAAAGTTTAGTTTCTCAGTTTCAAATTGTTCTCTCAAAAACAATGATCTGAAGAACAGCTGAGCGTGAGCGCAACTAGGAACTATTCTTGTAAGCCAACATTCTCATAAGCCTATGTTTCAATATTTGTTTTTTCATTAATAAGATTCATGCATAAATTGCGACTTTACAAAGTGGGCAACGAGGCCTATCTTGGAAGGCTAAGGCTTGAGCAACCCAACCGGTAGCTCAGGCCCAGGAGGAAAATGTGAGCCCCTGGCAAACAGAACAGAGCATATTCGAATTGGACTTTGAACCAGAGACGGGGTTAGCGAGGCTACCCGGTCAATCTGAATGAGACTCATGGCTTGATGGAGACCAAATTGCTCTCGACTCAGACGGAAGGATGGAAACTGAAACTTGGTTTTCGCAATGGTTTTGTGTTAGCAGGCAGGGCTTTGGAGGGGGACTTATGATATTTTGGCGTGATGATTGGACAATACAAATTTTCACTTACTCTATTGGTCATATTGATGTTATGGTCACTAACCATGAAGGATACACATTTCATTTTACTGGCTTTTACAGTACCCAGATTCTTCGCAGCGTAAACATTCCTGGGATCTCCTTCGTCGTCTAGCTAGTGTTTCTTCTCTCCCTTGGATTTGTATGGGAGATTTTAACGAAATTATCTCTAATGTTGAGAAGGTGGGAGGCAACCCACGACCACAATGGCAGATGGATGATTTTAAGGAAGCCATTTCAGATTGCTGCTTCAAAGAAATACCTTTCTTGGGCTCTCCTTTTACTTGGAGCAGAGGGTCTAGTGGAAGCCTGGTCAAAGAGCATCTAGATAGAGGTTTGGCTAGTCATTCTGTCTTTCAACACTTCGAACACTTACTTGTCCACCACTATGTCACAGATGCTTCAGACCATGCCCCCTTGGTTTTACATGCTGAAATTCTTGCTCCTACTACAACTTTTGGTAAAAGGCGTTTTCATTTTGAAGCAATGTGGGCTAATGAAGAGGGTTGCCGTAATACCCTTCTTGAGGCTTGGGGTGAGGCCTCTAGTCAATCTCTACCTCTCACAAACAAGTTTTTATTGTGTGCGCAACGTCTTAATTCTTGGGGCCAACAACAGTTTGGTTCTCTCCCAAAACAGATTCAACAATGTTATTTGGAGCTCCAAAATCTTGACTTGGATGCACCTAATTTTGACCCAACCAAGAAGCACAAATTATCGGTTAAACTTGATGATCTATTTGAAAAAGAGGATACTTTTTGGAAACAAAGGTCCCAAGTTCAGTGGCTTCGGGAGGGTGACCGGAATACACATTATTTTCATGAAAAACTTGCCAAAGAGGAAGGAAATTTATTTGGGGTCTTTGATGACAACAACTGCTGGTTTGATGAGGAGCCAGGCATCCAAAGGGCTTTTATTGATTATTTTCAGAAATTGTTCACATATGATGGTGTCGTGGATGTAGCTAATATTATGCATGCTGTTGAAACCAAAGTAACGCCTGAGATGAATGCCCAGCTTACTCACCCTTTTGATTTGTCAGAAATTAGTCATTCCCTTTCCCAAATAGGACCTTTGAAAGCCCCTGGTTCAGATGGATTGCCTGCCTTATTTTTCCAAAAATACTGGGATATTATTGGATAAGATATTGCTCTTATTTGCTTGCAGATCTTGAATAATGGCAAGAGTATTAAGGAGTTTTTGGTGGCATTGATTCCGAAGATATAAAGAATGTTAAGGAGTTCCGCCCTATAAGTCTATGTAACGTCATCTACAAAATTGTTGCAAAGACTCTAGCTAACCGTCTGAAGATCATTTTGCCTGAGGTGATTTCAAGTGTTCAAAGTGCTTTTGTTCCTAGCAAATATATCATTGATAATGTCACTCTTGCTTTTGAGCTTATGCATATAGTCAAAAAACAAAGACGAATTAAGGAGCCAAAAGTTGCTGTGAAGCTTGATGTCAGTCAGGCTTATGATCGAGTTGAGTGGAATTTTCTTCACAAAATCATGGAAAAGCTTGGTTTTGCAACTCGTTGGGTGGATTTGATTATGGAGTCACTACTACAAAAAAGGAAAAACACGACGGGAATTCACCGTCGTGTATTCTGTTTTCAAATGGTCGTGGAATCCACCGACATCTTTTCCATAACAAAACCACGATGGTGAATAACCGTCGTTGTTAAAACAAAAAACGTCATCAAAAAATAAAAACCGACGTCTTTGTACTGCAAAAAGACATAAAAAAACAGTCGAAGATGAGAATAGACGACCAACTCCAACAAAAAACCGTCGTTAAAAAGGAAACATATGACATATATTAATAGAACATGGCCGCAAGATAATCATACAACGACGAGAACTAAAACTTAACGCCGTTAAATAAATCTTTAACGACAAGTACAAATATGACGTCTTTACAATCATAATAGACGACGTTATTGACACCTACTACGTCACATCATTTCCAACAACCGTCGTAAAATAAATTTTCCACTTCGATTTTTCTATGAATTATAACGTGGAAATAGATGTCAGGGTCATTACTTACGACGCATGTATTTACAGAGACGACATTGAAATGAATAAACAACGTCGGTTCCAAATAAATGAGAGACGTATTACAGAATTTATACGTCATATTTTGAAATATAATCATTGTGTAATGACTCTGAAACGGCATCGTTTCTAATTCCACCGCCGTGTAAAATAATTTTAACGACAGGATCTGAAAATAAACGACGTGGAAAAAATGATGGGGTCATTAATTACGACACATTAATTTATAAAGACGACGTTGTCGTCTATATACAATGTCGTTACCATGAAAAAGACCGCCGTGTTTAATAGTTTCTATGTCTTCATTAAAAAAATTAACGTCGTTTAATTCATATATCTTAACGTCGACAAATTTAATGGACTTCAAATACCGTCGTGAATTCATCCTTTTCCACTTCGTTTATGAAAGAACATGCGACGTGGTAAATTCATGACGACGTCGTCTTTTGTGACGTTCAGGTTAAAGATTTGGTCTTTAAGACGTCGGTATTATGGGATTGGAGTCGTGTTATTTTGAATTACATGGCGGTTCTTTATGCTTGTCCGACGTGTTATCCTGGATAATTGTTTCACAATAGCATCGTGGTTCTTCATTGTTACGTTGCTTAAAGACGTCGGTAAATATATTGCGGTCGTTGAATGCTCCAAAACGTCGTTATTTATTAGAACAGACGTTTGTTTTTCACATTTTTATCAAAACCGTCGTGTTTGTAATCTGGAACCAGTAATTTTTGTACTGATTGTTTTGTGGCCAAAACCTGTATAATGAAAGTGAAGAAATCACATTACAATATATTACAAAATTAATGTCATACACTGCCAATTACATAAAGCATCATTCAACCCATATATCTTCACACCCATCTCGAATATTTTGACTCCCTAACTCAACCACCACTTCATCAAATGTGTCAACATTTGGCATCCCTCTAGTAAATGGCTCACACTCAATTCACACATCACCTAAGACATCATCACCAATAACATCATTATATTCTCTATTAGGCATTGATAACACTACCGACCAACCACGATGCATTGGGTCGTCAACAAAAAATACTTGTTTGACTTGAGAAGCCAAAACAAATTGGTCATTCCTATGTCCAATTTTACTCAAATCTACAAGGGTAAATCCAAGTTCGTCCACTACAAGACCAGAAGTATTATCTATCCAATCACACCTAAAGACTGGGATTGTAAACTTTTGGTAGTCAAGGTCCCAAATTTCTTGAATGACACCATAGAAACCCATATTTGAGAGAATTGGGTTTTTATCCTTGGCACTAGCAACTTGCATAGTATGTGTAAGTAAATAAACTCCACTATTTTGAGTTGTCCGCACATCATCTTGTGCCTTGATGTTGAATTTAATACCTTTAATAAGATAGCTCCTATATAATGGCACTGCCATGTTTGGACCAGCTGCTAGCCACCTTAAATTTTCTGATACGCCATGATTGTCTTCCTCATTAAGTTCACTTTGAACCTGCAAATTAATCATAACTTAATTCAATCTAACATAGAAAGAATAAAATTAAAAGTCCAATATGTTATTCAATAACATATACCTTGAAGCGTAGCCATTGAATGAAAGTGCTATTGTGCTTATCCTGCAGCCACTTTGTTCTCTTTCTAAATTTTGGATAAGCGGTCTTGATGTGGATCATATGTTGCCTACATGACACAAAAAATTCAAGTATTACGGTCCCAAACATATAAGATAAACATAAGAAATAATTTAAAATGGAAACTTAAAGAATAAAACTCATACGTACTCGATATAAGGTAGGACTTCCTCCGTATTCTCCAAGACATAGATGTGCTTGGTTCAACAGGTCCCGATCAACTACGCTCACTGTGCAACCTGATAATGGCTTTGAAACTCCCATCTTTTGGCTTGAAGGCACTCCAACTGTACTAACATCAGATAAATGCTCGGTACAAAACTCTACAGCTTCTTCAGCTATATACCGCTCAGCAATGCAACCTTCGGGACGAGTACGATTCTGAACATACCCCTTTAGCACTTTCATATATCTTTCAAACGGATACATCCATCTAAAATATACTGGCCCACATAGACGAACTTCTCTGACAAGATGTGTACTACTAGATGAACCATGATATCAAAGAATGAAGGGGGAAAGTACTTCTCAAGCAAACACAAAGTAACTACTACATCTTCTTCCAACTTATCTAGCTTGGAAACATCAACAGTCTTTGCACATATAGCATTGAAGAAGAAGCACAAACGAGTTATTGCATACCTTGCAGGCTTCTCCAAAACAGAACGAATTGCCACAGGGAGCAATTGTTGCATTAAGGTATGACAATCATGTGATTTAAGGCTAAGAAGTCTTGAATCTTGTAAAGATACAAGATTTTTTATATTTGAAGAATAACCTTCAGGGACCTACATACCATGGAAAGAATTGCAAACCTCTCTCTTCTCTTCTCTTGACAAATTCCAAGGCCCGGGAGGCAAACGAGTACGTCTTTCTCCATACTCGGGTTGCAAATCAGTTTTGACCCCCATGTTCAATAAATCTAATCGAGCAGCAATCCCATCTTTATTTTTTTCAGGGATCTCCAGCAATGTACCAATGATACTATCGCAAACGTTCTTCTCAATGTGCATAACATCTAGGACATGCCTCACAGGAAGGTATTTCCAATACTCGAGATCAAAGAATATTGATTTCTTCTTCCAACAAACTCTGTCACCATCTTCAACCATATGCAACACTTCTTCTCCGGTTAATGGCTCGGGAGGCGTGCCATATTCAGGTTTCCCATTAAAAGCTGCACGTTGCCTCCTATATGGATGATTGATTGGTAACCATTTTCTATGCCCAATGTAACAAATTTTGTGGCCATTTTTCAACCTGTGACTAGGTGTATCATCGCCGCATATTGGACAAGCTTTATATCCTTTAACAACACAACCGGATAAGTTTCCATAGGCGGGGAAATCATTAATTGTCCACATTAATGCAGCTCTGAGTGTAAAGTATTCTCCATTATGTGCATCATACACTCCTCCAATCCCATCCCACAAAGATTTTAAATCATCAATCAAAGGCTCCAAGTAGACGTCTATATCATTTCCGGGCTGTTTAGGACCGGAAATCAATAAGGTCAACATCATGAACTTTCGTTTCATGCACAACCATGGAGGGAGATTATATGTAACTAAGATAACTGGCCAGCAACTATATCTGCTACTTAGAGAACTGTGGGGATTGAATCCATCAGATGAAAGAGCCAATCTCAAGTTTCTCGGCTCATTACCAAACTCGGGCCATTTATCATCAAGAAGTTTCCAAGACGGGGAATCCGCCGAATGAGACATATGACCGTCAATTGATTTTCTAGCAGCATGCCAAGTCAAACTCTTAGCTGTCTCATGTGATCGAAACATCCTTTTAAACCTTGGATTTGGAGGAAAATACCACACCACCTTCGCTGGCACACCCTCTTTCAAGATTGAATCTTTGCCTTCCTTCCACCTTGAGATACCACAAGTAGGACAATTAGTTGAATCCTCATACTCCTTCCTATACAAGATGCAATCATTGGGGCATGCGTGCATTTCCTCATAACTCAGCCCCAATGCACACAAAGTCTTTTTTGCCTCATACATAGAGGCCGGTATTGTATTTCCTTCTGGAAGCAAATCGCCTTGAAGTATCAATAATTCTGTAAAACAGACATCACTCATCCCATGTTTTGCCTTCAAATTATACAACTTCACTAATGCCGATAACTTCGTGTACTTTCTACAACCAGGGTACAATGGTTGATCTCCATCCCCAATCACATTGGCAAACTCATAAGGATGAGATCCAAAATCACCAACATCATTATCATCCATCTCTATTTCTTCAGACACAAAACTGTACCTACTATGGTCATCATCTTCTTCAACATTTCTACTAGTATTAGTAGTTGCTTCCCAAGGTTCTCCGTGAAATGTCCAATTCTTATAGCTTTGGTCAACTCCATTAAAGTATAAGTGATCCCTTATAATTCCAACCCCAAACAATTTCAAATTAACACGTTTAACACATGGACAACGGACATGTGTTGTAGTTAGAAGATTTTCTACAGAAAAGTTCAAAAATGCTTCCACCCCTAACTCATATGCCTTCGATCTTCTATCCGAGTGCATCCATAACTTATCCATCTCCAACACTATACCCTATTATATATAATAAAGTGAAAAGACAAGCAATGACCATCACTATAGCAGATTATATAAAGTTCTAATAGCAAGTAATATACAACAGAGACGACGGTTTTTAAACAAAAACAGACGTATTTGACATATATAGACAACGGGTTTTCAACAAACGTCATCTACTTATAACCACGATGGTAGTTAAATAACACCGTCGTGTATAAGTAATACAAACAACGGTTTAAAGTAAAAACCGTCATCGTATGCCTAAAAACGCGTCGGTATCCCAGTTTATTTTCTAGATCCCAAAACCCTATTAAGAACACAACATATACATGAAACCAAGCATGAAACCAACATATACTAAGCATGAAAACAATAAATCCATTCCCAATTCAACATAACAGAGAGTGATTAAAAGATCCGACAAAATGAAATCCATTCCCTATTCAACATAACAGAGAGTGATCAAGAAAACATTAAACAGACAATCCATGAACCCATACCTCCAACAACATTATTAACAGATCGCAAAACATATATCTAAAACCCTTTAACAAAACAACGTAATATCATTCAATGAATTTACAAGGGGAAGTGAGGGTTTGTACTTACAGGTTGGCAGAGCTCACAGATTATGGCCAAATTGGATTCGACACAGCTTGGAGAGCCCAACTTTGAATTAGAGATGAAGTGAGAGAGCGAAATGTTATGTTGCGCGAAATCTGAAAATTTTAGGGTTCAGGGTTAGAAGTATAAAACTAAGAGCCAAATCTGAAAATTTTAGGTCCCGCGAATATTTTTAGAAAGCGCGCTCTTTAAAACATCGACCGAAAAAACAACCGTCGTTAAAATTTCACATTAAACATGACGCTTATTACATTAAGGACGTCGTGGTAAAACCATGTACGACGCAAAATCAAACAGAAGTCGTCAAAACTATGAAAAACCACGTCGGGGTTAAGTAAATAACGACGTTGTAAATAATAATAAACGACTCACGTGTAAAAAGGACGTTGTTTAAAAGAGAAACCATGGCGGATTTTTCACTATACGACGTAAACTCAGTATTCCACGACTCAATCACCGTCGTTAAAAGTAATACCCTACAATTTAAAACCCTAAATTATATATTTGTAAAATATAATTTTATAAAATTGTTTATGGTTTTACACCCTAAATATAACAAACATAAACCCTAAACCCCAAAAATTATACTTTAACCCTAAACCTTAATAAATAACAACCCTAAACCACAAACCCTAACCCATAAACCATCAAACTATATAAGTAATGTTATGACTCATCAAAACAATTTTATTTTGGGTGGTCATTTTAAACTTTATTACTCAAATTGCATTTTTTTGAGGTTTAGGGGGAAGAAAATATATCAATGACTTCATAGGAGTTGACGTTGCATTTTTTGGAATTATTTTAAATTTATTTTGAATATTTTGAATTAAAAATAATAAAATATTCTTTTATCAACAACAAACCACGTCGGGGTTAAGTAAATAACGACGTTGTAAATAATAATAAACGACTCACTTGTAAAAAGAACGTCGTTTAAAAGAGAAACCATGACGGATTTTTCACTATACGACGTAAACTCAGTATTCCACGACTCAATCACCGTCGTTAAAAGTAATACCCTAAAATTTAAAACCCTAAATTATATATTTGTAAAATATAATTTTATAAAATTTTTTATGGTTTTACACCCTGAACCCTATAACAAACATAAACCCTAAACCCCAAAAATTATACTTTAACCCTAAACCTTAATAAATAACAACCCTAAACCACAAACCCTAACCCATAAACCATCAAACTATATAAGTGATGTTATGACTCATCAAAACAATTTTATTTTGGGTGGTCATTTTAAACTTTTATTACTCAAACTGCATTTTTTTGAGGTTTAAAGGGAAGAAAATATATCAATGACTTCATAGGAGTTGACGTTGCATTTTTTGGAATTATTTTAAATTTATTTTGAATATTTTGAATTAAAAATAATAAAATATTCTTTTATCAACAACAAACCACGTCGGGGTTAAGTAAATAACGACGTTGTAAATAATAATAAACGACTCACTTGTAAAAAGGACGTCGTTTAAAAGAGAAACCATGGCGGATTTTTCACTATACGACGTAAACTCAGTATTCCACAACTCAATCACCGTCGTTAAAAGTAATACCCTAAAATTTAAAACCCTAAATTATATATTTGTAAAATATAATTTTATAAAATTGTTTATGGTTTTACACCCTGAACCCTATAACAAACATAAACCCTAAACCCCAAAAATTATACTTTAACCCTAAACCTTAATAAATAACAACCCTAAACCACAAACCCTAACCCATAAACCATCAAACTATATAAGTGATGTTATGACTCATCAAAACAATTTTATTTTGGGTGGTCATTTTAAACTTTTATTACTCAAACTGCATTTTTTTGATCTTGAGGGGGAAGAAAATATATCAATGACTTCATAGGAGTTGACGTTGCATTTTTTGGAATTATTTTAAATTTATTTTGAATATTTTGAATTAAAAATAATAAAATATTCTTTTATCAACAATAAACCACGTCGGGGTTAAGTAAATAACGACATTGTAAATAATAATAAACGACTCACTTGTAAAAAGGACGTCATTTAAAAGAGAAACCATGACGGATTTTTCACTATACGACGTATACTCAAAGGACGTCGTTTAAAAGCGAAACCATGACGAAATTTTCACTAAAACGACGTCCCATGTACGTACAAACGGTATATCACGTCTAAATATCCTTTTACGTCGGTTTTTGACATAATTATGTCGTTGGAAAGTTATTACACGTCGGTTACGCAATTTGTTTTTTCTTTTAAATTATGAAAACCTCAACAAATTTTCAGGGAAAAAAAGGATGTATATTATAGACAAAATTTGTACATTATATATTATAGACAAAATTTTACATATAAAAATATCAAGTGTTCCAAAAATCCTCTATTCCATATGAAGGCAAACAAGATCTGCCCATTCATTCCAGACAATCATCAATGGCTTCTTGGGGGTATGGCGCTTGCTCTTTTCCCTTGGCAAACTGCAATCCATAAACAATGATTATTAAGCTTTACAAAATAAAAAGAAATTCAGTCACAGACGACGCTTTTTTTCATAACCGACGTAGTATATCGATTCAACGACGGTAATTTTAAATTACCGTCGTTGATAATACAAAAAACCACATAAAATGTTTCTGAAAATTTTCTTCTTACCTTCTTCTCAAACTCCAAGGAAGGATCCATGATGATGTCCCTCATGAAGCGCATCACATAATACCCGCATTCGACACTGTTGGGTTGCTTTGGTGTGCCTGGCAGAGTTTTCCAAATTGGTGCTTTACGGCCTGGTCTGCCTATGTGGGAATTATAAATTTTTAAAGCACTGTTCACGATGTTTTTGCCGTCCTCATCAACCACACGATTTCCAGGCAGAGGATCCAGAAAATAGACGGTTTCCCTCTTTGCTCTCACAATCAGCAAGACCCAATGACGGCTGCACAAAATTAAAATAAAAAACGACGGTTAATATAAAAAGTCAACACAAGAAAACAAACGACGGTTATTTATAAAAAAATGACGTATTATAGAGTTTCACACGACGTAATAACGTAGCAATCGACGTCATTATAAATTTATCACGACGGTAATTAACTATCGACATGGTTAGTTGTTTCAAACGACTAAATAAATAAATAACCGACGTGGTTAGATGTTTCAAACGACACAAAATTAGTTAAACAGTTTTATAAGGGGTCAGTTAGTGAAAATCATACAAACAAAATCCTTTTAAGGACACTAACCCTGGATTGTAACGCATCATGAAAATCTGTTCACCATCTGTTTTCTGAAGTCGACTGGCTACAATTCGTGATCTGTCAGTTAGTGACCCAGCGTTGGCACTAACTTGAGCAAGGTCGATAAAGCCAACCATGGTGCACATATTTGCTTCTCTCAAACGATCATATAAGCACCTAAATATATAAAACAAAGATATATAAAAAAAGTCAGCCCAGAAAAACACGACGGTTATTTATTAACAAACGACGTATTATACAATTTCACACGACGAACTGAAATAGAAACAGACGTTATAACTAATTTATCACGACGGTAAAAAAAGAACGACGTGGTTAGTGGTTTAAAACGACGAAATAAATAAACCACCGACGTCTTATGCTATAATGTTTTTTTTTCTCATACACAAATTTGAGTGTGAATTAAATATTTGATAAGGACAAACCTCATATATACTGCAACCATAGTAGCCCCAATTTCTTCCATGCCTGCAAACTGTGTAATATCTTCAGGCAAGACGAATGTACTGTGATCTGCACCAAACACCTCCTTCTCAATTGTGAAGGTCATGATCTTCTCCTGAGGCTTTAGTATCGTTTCCACATAATGACAAAGGGATTGTAAGTAAGATGGCACCTCCAGATTTGAATAATCAACTACTTCATTACCTTGTTTAAATAAATAAAGCAAAATAAAATGACGTGGTAATTCAATAAAAACGACGGTTTAAATAAAAACACGTCGTCTGATAATAATTTAAACGACGGTAATAAAAACCGTCGTGTTAAATAATTTATTACCTCATAGAAAACTATCGACAGTTTAAAGAAAAATATCGACGTCTGAAATTTGAAAACAAATAAAAAAGGCAAAGTTATGAGAATATACCTCTTCGTCATGCTTTTCTTCATCTTGTTTTTCTTCTTTCTTCTCTTCATCATTTTTCTCTTTTTTTCTTTCTCTTCATCTTTTTTTTCTCCCTTCTTCTCTTCATCTTTTTTTTCTTCTTTCTTCTCTTCATCTTGATTTTCTAAAGCCCCAGATTTCTGTTTTCAGTAATAAAGAAATATATATATAAGACAGATTGTACAAAAAGTAAAAAAATTATTAAACGATGGAAAATAATAAACGTCGTGGGATTTGTCTATTACGTCAGTAAGGACTAAAACCGTCGTCTAAAAACCACAAAGTACGACGTCTAATGGCGTGTAAAACAAGTAAACTAAATACGACGTGGTATTTAAATAAAAACGACGGTTTATTTATAAAATCGTCATGGTATGGTTTTAAAACGATGGGTTTATTCATAATAACGACGTCTAATAGTTTTTAAAAAAACAGAGAATTCAAAGTTCACATATGTTACCGTTTCTTCCTGCTGTTCCCCATTTTTGGCAGTATCATCCTCTAAATGTAGGGATCTCACATCAGCCCCAGAACAGCTTGCTTTGTCAGACATTGGATTTTTGGGACTTTGCTCTACACCATGGTTTTGACTGGGGCTAGTTTTCGGTTTAAGCATGCTTGGATCAAAATTGGGGATGAGTTGGGAAAGCTGACTTAGTAAATGTTCCCTCTCAGCCTCTACCAATTGCTTGGTTCTAGCCTCCATCCTTAAAGTCTCTTCCCTTGATCTAGCTTCCATCTTCTTAGTCACTTCTTGAACGACAATTCTTACACTTTCCTTCAATTGATCGGCAAACTTTACCCTCTGTTGTCTAGGTAAATTGAAGAATTGCCTAGGGAAAATCCCAGCACCTACCCCTCTTACTCTCCCTGGATGCTCGGGACCCAAAGCCAAGGTCAACACATCATTACTGCCAGATACACTAAGACTGCCTTCATCCACTTGTTTTTGCAATTCATCCTAAAACAAAGACATATAAAAAAGTCAGCACAAGAAAACACACGACGATTATTTATAAACAAACGACGCATTATATAATTTCACATGACTCAATAACATAGAAATCGACGTTATAATATATTTATAACGACGTTAATTAAATAACGACGTGGTTAGTTGTTTCAAACGACGCAATAAATAAACCACCGACGTCTTATGCTATAATTACAGAAAACATAGCAGTGATTCCATATTCAGACCTTTAACGACGTTTTTTAAAACATTTGGACGTAGAAATATCATTCACACGACGCAAAAATTAACCACCGACGTCTTATGCTATAATTCAAGAAAACAGAGTTGTGATTCCAGATTTAGATCTTTCACGACGTTTTTTTAAAACATTTCGACGTAGTAATATAATTCACACGACGGAAAATATAACATAAGACGTAATAAGAATTATATACAGTTTAATAAAAATTTAAAACAGAGTGTGTAGGCTTACAATTAATTTTGCTTTCTCTGCCACCTTTGGATCCGGGATGTTACCATGTTTGTCCTGTCTAGCTTTCTTCCATAAGGTAGATCGATCAATTTCTACCCCAGGCATGGTTTCCTCCAATTGATCCTCCAAACCAGCATATCCTTTTCGAGACAATCGATGATTGTACTCAAGTTTCTCCCTAATCTGTGAATGTTGAGAATGCACAGACTCAAATTCTTTGGATAACCTTGAAGCTACAAAGGCATCCCATTCTGCTTTCTCTATGAATTTATATATTTCAGGGGGTTGGCTTAATTTCTCCCTCTCCTTGATGTATGGAAGGATATAATGCCTCGTCAGTGTAGACTTGAAATCCTTCCATTTCTTAGCAGCAGAAGATAACACCGAGGTCTTGCCCCCTTGACCTACCACAAAAGCCATGTCAACGGCTTCCCAAATCTGCTCCCTTATATCCTTGGGGATTTCAGCCCATTTCTTGTCCACAAGTGGGACTCTAGAGCGTGCCAACACACCAATGTAGGACAGCATCTCAGTATGTGCAAGGCCACATCCTTTCCCCCTTTTATTGTACTCAACAACTGGCTTGATTTTCTCTTCACAACACGAGGCATTGTCCTCATACCTCAACCTGACTTTGAATCCTCAGAAATTGTTGTCGTGCTGGTTGGTTCTGTCTCAGCAGATGAAACAAACTTCATCTTCTTCAAGGGCTTGTCTTGAGGAGTTACCATTCCAAGCTCCTTACCTCCATTTTTTTTGGAGCCAGAGTCCTTACTTTGGTCTTGAGAAACCATGGTTACAGAAAAAACAAACCTGCAAGTGAAAATATTTCAGGAAAAAAATAAGAACACAAACGACGGTTATTTATAAAATACGACGTATGATAAGATTTTACACGACGTAATAACATAACATAAGACGTAATAAATGTTTTAAACGAGAGTACTTAAACAACGACGAAACAATATTAAAGAAGACGTAATAAGATCTTATTACGGCGATATTTACACGACGTCGTGATATTCAAATTCACACGACGTAAATATTAATATAACGTCGTTTTATGGATATTCACACGACGTAAATAATAAGATACCGTCGTCTTTATAAGAATCCAAAAACCTTTTTCTTTCTCTGTGAATGTTTGATTGCAGGTTTAATTTCTCTGAAACATGGTTTTTGTTTTTCCTAATTTGATAAAATACAAAGAAAAAGAAAGAAAGGTTTGGCATCTTTTATAGACGACGGTATCTTAGTATAACGTCGTGGTATGAACATTCACACGGCGTCAATAATAAGATACCGTCGTCTATATAAGATACCAAACCCTACTTTCTTTGTCTTTGTATTTTATCAAATTAGGAAAAACGAAAACCATGGTTCAGAGAAATCAAACCTGCAATTAAACAAGCAAATAAAAAATCGACCGTCATTTTAAAAACAACTTAGATCAATTTTAAGACGACGCTAGGACGACTGACGAACCGTCGTGGTCTACATATTTAACCACGTAAATAAGAAGCTACCGTCGTCTTATTTAGTTGAAGTAGTTGTGTTCAAAGTTGGAAACTTTCCCTCTTTGTCTGTGTATTTTATCAAACTTGAAAAGCATAAAAATGATTTTCGCCAGAAAAAGGTAAAAAGATTTTCAAAACAAAAACCGTATGAGCATGCAAAATAGCAACAAAAATAGTGAGAAATGAAAGCTTACCTTTTGCGTGCAATGAAAGCTTTCTCTCGGAGTTTGTTGTTTAAGTTCAAAGACGACGACGAAGACGAGAGGAAGACGATGAGATACTCTGACAGTGCTCTGACAAGGAAAAAAGACGAAAAGTTTTCTCTGGGAGATTGAAATTTTTTTCTCGGGTTTGGAAACAGTGCATGTGTAAGTCAGGTAGACGAAAAGTTGTATGTATATACAAACCGTTTCATAGTTGTTGATGCTCTTTTTGGAGCTTGGCCTTGAGTCAAGCCTTGGGGCCGGGCCATTGTGGCTGGGACTGTGGCACGGTTCAGAGCTGGGCTCTCCGTTGAGGTGCGTAATCTTTATGAGCCTTCCACGTCGGGTCGTGAGCTCCATGAGTTGCTGAGGTGCGGGTGTCTTGATCACTTTCTGACGTGAACGTGGGGCTAAAATTTTGAAGCTGATTCGGGAAGGTGCTGGAGTGTGATAGTTCAGCCGGCCATGCAAAGCCACGCAAGCCATGCAAAGTATAGCCTTTTTTTTGGCATGGCTGTGGGCTTTAATATCTTCAGTAAGGGGGGGTATCACGTGAGGCTTCCTTTAGTTTGAACGCTCCTTGCCGTTCGGCAAGGAGGCCAAGACAATACTCAAGTTATCTCACAGTTTTGGCTTGGGCCCCGTGTGGCTAAAGTGTGGAGCCGGGTTCCATAGCTGGGCTTCGGCAGGTGGAGGTGAGTTTGGGGCTGGGGAGCTTGAGCTTGGAGCTGGGCTGTCGGCAGGAAATAGTTGAGCACTTGGGTCCGGGTACTTGGACAAGAGGTCGGGTTGGTTCTTTCCTTCGAGAGCCCAGCTCTTTGGCGCTAAGTCATTGTGAAGTCTGAAGTTTCACGGAGCTGGGCTCGGGAGGCTAGGTGCCTTGAGAGCTTTCTCATGGTTTGAAGGGCTGGGTTCAAAGGAAGGAGAAGGTGCCAATCGGCAAGAGACATGCGAACGGGATTTTGGTGAGGTCTGCAATGAGGTGTTTGTCTAGGTGCCTGGTGTTCGCGACGAATTGGAGCTGGGTCTGCATCCTTGAGGTGGTTTGAGCAAACATCCAAGGCTTGGTAAGTTGACATGGGTACCCTTGCGAGCTCCAAAAAATATTTTATGGGCCTTGCCGTTCGGCAAGGCCAGCTTGAGCAGTCAGTGTGATTTGATGTTTGTTTATTCTTTGACAGGTGGCAAGGAGTTGTGAAACTCTCGACAGGTTTTGCTGGTTGGGAGGTTGCGGGCTCGTAGCTGGGGCAATCTGTGCTAGCTCAGCGGAGTGGGTTATCGTGGAGCCGGGCCATTGGAGCTGGGCCGTCATCGTGTGACAAGGTGCCTAGAAGGTAAGTCCCCTCAAAACTTCTTTCATGGTGCCTGTCGTTCGGCAAGGTCATACCGAACCCAATTTTGATGTTGACTTTGTTTTTGTGGCTGTTTTAGACCTTGAACTGGAGCTGAAATTTGGAGCTAGGTCACTGAATGTTCCGTTTCAGTTTTAGTGAGTTGTCTTGTGAGCTCCATGTTGCTTCTCCATGGGCCTTGCCGTTCGGCAAGGCCTGTGTGAATAAGCTGAGTTGGTTGTTGTTAATCTTCTGCATGGTCTGAGCTCTGTGAAATTTGGCAAGGCTTTGTGACTGCATCGTAGGTGGCCGGGTACCCGAGCCTTGAAGAAGGGTGCTTTGGAGCTGGGTATTTCGGCAAGTGTTTAGGTAAGTTCTTTTTGAAGACATTTTTTTGATTTGCTCAACCCTTGCCGAATGGCAAGGGTTGTTTAAGAGTAATTTTGTAATTATCCTCATTTTGGCTACCTTCGGCAGGTACTTGGCTGTGGCAAACTTTAGGGACCGTGATCCTTTTCGGCCAGACTATAATGAGGGGTAAGTTATAAGGGGTTCACTTTATAGTCATTGGATCAATCCAAGGGCTGGGGAGAATTGGGATAAAGTTGTGCAATCGGGTAGGTGAGGAACCCAAACCCGAATTTAATATCCAGCAATGAAGTTGGTCCCAACAAAAAAAAAAAAAAAAAAGAAAGTTTGAAGTTTGAACAGAAAAAACTCATTGATCTCAAACTCATAGCTGAGAGAAACCCCTAAGCTCTGAGAAACGGTTGAAGGCAACGGGCAACGACGGTTCAAGGCAAAGGTTAACGACGGTTGAACGCAACTCCACTATCTAAACCGTGAAAAAGTATTTATTTTGAGTGGAAGGAGCAAAGGTGTGGATTCTGAAACAGTGAAAAGACGAAGCAGTGGAAGGGGAAGGAGAGAAGCCGTATTCGTTGGAAGTGATAGGTTCCATTTGTGGAGCAAAGCCGCACAAAGACCCAACACAGACACCTTGCGATTGTTCAATAACCAGCATTTGGTGAGTAATTTATGGAATTTGAGTTTAGGGTTAGAGTAACCGTTTTCCCCAATTTGTACCATGAATGTTGTTAGATTTGGCATCTCTTCTTTGTGCTTCACTTGCATGTTAATTTTTGCTTGGGTATATGTTAAAAAACGAATGAATATAAAGTCAATAACATGTCAATAATGATATGAATAAGGTAATGGTGTTGAATTGGAGGAGGCCCTCAAAACCTTCCACATTTGAAGCAGTGCAGAGTGCAGATTATCTCTCTGGAGCTAGAATATATATAATTTTTGAAATAAATATTATTTCCGTTGTTACTAAATTTGCCTGTTAAAAATGAGAACAGATAATAATAAACTCATGAATAAAAGTGCAAAGCATTTGAAAAAAGGTTGATCTATGACGATTATGGTTGACTGAAGAAAAAGCTAGAAAGAAAGAAGGATGTGGCAATGGCTTAGCGAGCAGATAGCAGAGCAGATGCTTTGCTTTGCTTCCTTCCACCATCTTTCTTATTTATTTATTTATTTTGTGTTGTGTATGAAATGACAATAATTGTCATGTGTGTGAAGTGCAGAACTTGCCTAGATTGCACTCACACTCACTCATGCATCAACCATTGATTGGAGTTTGGATCCATAAATAAAAAACATGCTATTGCTTGTAATTCACAGAATCATTGCATTAACAGGTATTTGCACAAAATATGTCATATTGCTTTGATGATGTTAAAGCCTGTGATCAGTAATCCCTATGCGCATGTACTTTGTAAAATTTGTAATGTGCTGGTTGACTAGTTGTGTAAATACCAATGTGATTGTGCAAATACGTGGTAGTATATGTGTTCACGTTATTTCATCTTGTATTTCAGGAAATGGGATCCAACGTTGAGCTGGTATGGCCAGAGTCAGAGGCATATTCCTCACGGGTGAACAACTGCTCACATGCAAATTCATCCCTAGCTGTAATTCGAGCGAAGTTGAGTGCCGAACAATTAGAACAATTCAAGACATCATGCTTTGGCCATCTTCTGAATATAGATAAGATTCAGTTTAGCGGGCAGATTGTGCATGGGGTTGTGTTGCGTAGAGTAGCGGGGCAGGGTGTGAAAGACTTGGATGGACTGAGTTTCTTAATAGGGTGCGACGTTGCTCAGTTCACTCGTCAGGATTTCTGTTTGATCTCAGGGCTTCGTTTTGGGGAAGTGCCTGAAGTTTCCAGTGGAGAAAGTGATGAAATTAGACTTCAGAAAAGATATTTTATAGACGAAGGAATTACATGTAATGCTTTAGAAGAAGCATTTGTGAGGTGCACAGAGGAAGATGACGTCTACAAGCTAGCTCTTGTTTACTTTGCTGAGTTAGTGGTTTTGGGAAGGGACAAACATTTGAACATCAATCTAAATTACCTGACCCTTGTAGAGGACTTGGATGCGTTCAACAGGTTTCCATGGGGTTCGGTGTCGTTTGACAAAACCCAAGACAGTCTGTTTTCTGCACCAACAAAGTATGTGAAAAGCTTTGAAAATGAAGAGGGAAGAGGGAAGGGGAAATGTAAGGTAACCGGAACAAGCCGGAGAAATGAGAAGGGCAAGAAGGATAACCATGGTGAAGTGCAAAGGGGTGGCTGGAGTTTTAAAGGTTTCACGTATGCTTTCCAGGTACATGGTAATAATGTTCATGTCGTTATGTTTTGTTGACTTTAAAACTTAAATAATAACTTGTGTCCTGTGAAATGTGTAGATTTGGGTATATGAATTAATTCCTAGAATGGCGGACCTGAATTACTGCAAGGTTGTTGATCCGACAGCTCTCCCGCGTATTTTGCGATGGAGAACTACTACGTCTGTTCCCGAGATGAGAAAGTTGAACAATTATTTTTTCCAGAGCAAAGAGGTTTGGTTTGCAGCCCTTGGAACTATTTATAAGATTCAATGAAATTATGAAGTAGAATGATTGCATATGACTCTTGTCTGTTTTCTGAAACAGTCAGTTCAGTTGCGGGCGCTATGTCCAAGTGAAGAGGAAATGAGACAACCATATTGGAGTTGGCCACAGGGTCGCCCTGTTGTTGTCTCGGCAGAGTCAATTCCTTCATGTGCTGACCTTGATGAGTTGAACAAGGCGGTAAGCTTGTTGAGGTCCGAGTTGTTTCAAGTAAAGCGGGAAAAGGACGTCCTTGAGTTAAAGGTCATACGGATGGAAAAAAATTTGGGCCACTGTTTAGGTCCTCATTTTGAGCAGGAAGTGAGAAGGGACATAGCTTTACTGAAAGAGAGGACGAATCGTTGTGTCGTGTCACATCTATTTAAGGGATATGAGGAAGTGGATGGCATGCAATGGGATGAAGGGCCAAGTAATAGAAATGAAGGAGAGGAAAATGAAGAGGAGGACATTGAAGGGGGTGAAGGGCCAAATAACAGAAATGAGGGAGAGGACAAGGAAGAGGAGGGGATTGAAAGGGGTGAAGGGGCAAGTAAGACAAATGAGGGAGAGGAAAAGGAAGAGGAGGGGATTGAAGGGGGTGAAGTGCCAAGTAAGAGAAATGAGGGAGAGGAAAAGGAAGAGGAGGGGATTGAAGGAGGTGAAGTGCAAAGAAAACCAAGGGAGGTAGAGGAAGCTCAAAGGAAAAGAAGTGAGGGAGAGCAAGTGAAAATAAAAAGCAGCAAAGGAGAGGAAGCGCAAAGAAAGAGCATTGAGGGAGAGGAAGAACTGAAAAGAAAAAGCAGTGAGGGAGAGGATCCAAAAAAAAAAAAAAAAAAGGGAAAGGAAGTGAAAAGACAGAGAAGTGAGGAAAAGGAAGTGCAAAGAAACCAATGTGAGGAAGAGGATGATGAAGTTATGTTGGTTGGCGATGACATTGGCGAGAGCACGGAGGGGACAAAGGTTGAGGTTACTCTCGGGGACATTGATTTGGATCAACCTACAGCTGTGTTATCTCAGTTGAACGTTTGGTTGAATGATGAAGGTCAAGGTGTGGAACGAGGGGTCCAATTACGGAAGAGGAAGAGGATTATTCCTATGTGGAAGATCGTTGAAGCTAGTGAAGTGGTTCAAAAAAATTTGCCAAAGACAACCGGACTTCGGACGTTAGACCCAATGAAGGCGATTCCGCATGATGATATGGTGAAATTGCTGAAACTTTGTTCGGAATGGCGCCATAACCCAAAGTAAGTCCTTTGTTTTTTGAGATAGAAGGCATGAGTGTATATATTTTTTAATTGTTGTGTTCTAAAACTTTTTTATATTCATAGTTTGGTGATGCAATTTGGCAACGTGGAAGCTGAGATTGAATTCTTCGCTTCCCTCGTCAAAGCTGACGGTTGGCTGAAAGGAGATGTAAGTTTAATTGATTATGCATTTGTTTGAATGTGCATAGATTATGAGATTGACAAGGAAAACATGTGCAGCACATTGATTTGGGCTTGTATCTCATCCGGAAGCGACAACAACAGTTGGAGGAAGTAGAAATATCGGATTGGACAACGACCGATGTATTTTTTATGGTATGTGATGCAGGATGCATAGGACCTAAATTGTTTAGTTTCCTAATTGATTTGTTAGTTTCCTATATTCTTTAGTTTTCCAAATCCTAGTAGGATTTCTAAGTTAGTTTTCCAAATCCTATTAGGATTTCTAAGTTTCCTATTTTATTAGGAATAGGATTTCTGTTTTACCTGGGGATTTTAATTCTATTGTCTCTAGGTTTTAGTTTGCTATAAATACCCCTATGTAGTTCTTTACAATTCAGATTTGAATATTGATTAAACATTCCTTTAAACTCTCTGATTTCTGCCTGCCTTCTACCTTTTCTTCCCTTCAGCTTTTCTTATCTGTTATGTCTTATTGCTCTAAGTGTTTAAACTAACACACCCAGGGCTGTGCTACATCAGTATGGCATAGGCCTTGACCAAGTGCAGTTAATAATTACAAATTATCCATACTTGCTTTGTGGAGGTGTTTAACCATTGATTGTTTTCTATTTCACAGAATCACATCCATACTTGCTTTGCGGATAATAAAAGGAAAAAAGAGCAAGTTGGGTGGAAAATTAGAAACCAGTTTAGTGAACGTTGTAAATGGCAAGGTTCCGGCTTGTGGATTGGATTGGCAGAACACGTATAAGGTGTATGTACCTTGTATGTTGCAAAATATAAGCATTGGGTGGCTCTAGAGATTGATCTGATTCAGTGTGAAATCAAAGTCAACAATTCAATGGTTTCACTCATTCCAGATCAGAGCTTAAAGGAAGAACTCGGCCCCCTGTCAATTACGATTCCAAATCTTCTGCACACCCTCGACTTTTATGAAGAAGGTGTTTATGCGAACGAGTGCACCCGAGATTGGTGGTGTCCATGGCCAATACATCGTGTGGATGTTCCACAACAGGCTAATCAGTGAGCACAACTTTTATTTAATTTTATTACTTTAATTTGTCAATTACGTTAGAATGTCATTAGTTGAATTGATCGAGTTCTTGTTTTGCTTCAGAGGCGATTGTGGTATGTTCGTGTTGAAGTACATTGAGTTGTTGAGTGCTGAGATTTCCTTAGCTACTTGCACCTCGCAGAACATGCCATTTTTTCGGTTGAAGTTGGCTGCAGAAAATGCACGGGGAGATGCTTACATGCCATGATATCGGTTGAACTTGGTTTAGGCACATGATGATGAAATAGGTTTTGGGAATGTCAAATTTCAAAGTCATGTAAATACACAATAGAGACCCATGGGTCCTTTTCGAATTCCACCTCTGCTCCTGAATTCTTCTTCGTCTTTCTCAATCTTAGTGTATTTGTGTACAGAAATTTAGATTTAAGTTACTGGACAATAACAATTAGAACCAAAATAGTGGCAAATATTATAGCGGATGCATGCTTTCATTTTGATTAGTGTGATATTACGCTATGTTTATTCTCATATTGTGCGAAATGTATATGAAGACTCTGAAATGGAGATGCTGAGGGTTGGTGAGGAGAAAAGTAAATGGATCTGTAAATCTATTGCACGTGGGCAATCTAAATGGATATGCAGATGCGTTTTTGAAGTTAGACACATGCCATTCCCATACATAGAATGTGCATATGGAGTGTAAAGTTTTTTTGATGTAATGAAACAAACATCGGTGTAATATTGGCCTAACTCCTTCACGACATTTACCTAACCTCAACCAAATTGCATTGAATTGGGATTTGAAGACTGCATATGTGAATTGGGATTTGAAGAATGCATATTCACATAGGGACTGATGGCTTTTTAAGTGTATTACATCATTGCAAAGTGATATGTCATCATTTATCCAAGCCACCATTCCAAATATCATATCCCAATCTTTAAGCCGTTCAACATGCCTTGACTTAATCGCAATGGGTTGCATCTTAATAAGGTAATTCTGTAAGGGAATAGGCTGCTATGGCCTCGCCTCCAATATTTTATTCAACCATGCCCTCCTTATAGAAACACATGAAAAAATGTCCCCAGGTGCAATGCTCTAAAAACTCCCTATTGGTTCCGCACTGCCCCTCGGGTTTGAATCCCTCTCTCCTTTATAATCGGTTAATAAATTGGTTGATTTTCTTTATTTTATTGGTTTTGGGCAGCTGAGTAACATAACAGTAATGTATATTGGTGCGTCTATATTGCATGTCTGTTGGGTCTATATTGCTTGTCTATTGCGTGCATATCTTACATTTATTGCGTCTGTATTGATTTGTATTGCTTACGAAGGAAATAAATAACAATACACAGGCAACAGACAAGCAATATACACGCAATAGATATGAAATATACACGCAATAGACATGCAATATACATCAGTCCCCAATTACATCAACCATAAGGAAGTCGTATTGAATAGGAAATTCTACTTAACAGTTGTTCTTCCTACTAAAACAAAGAATAAGGACCGTTTCCCCCCTTAAATCTAACTGGAGTCCTACTTTTGCCCCCAATAAACATGCAATATTGGAGCAATAACATGCGATATACATGCAGTAAACAATCAATCAACTTTCAATAAACCTTCAATATCGGTTCAATAACATGCGAAATACATGCAGTTAACAATCATGAAACCTTCACGAAACATGTAAACAATCAATAAACACTCAATATCAGTAATAACATGTGAAATACATGCAGTTAATAAACCTTCAATAAACAGTCAATATCATGCGATTTACATGCAGTAAACAATCAATAAACAATCTATATACACTGAATAATTATGCAATCTTCAAAAAAAAGGTATTGTCTTATTATTGCATCGTATTGGCCCTGTATTGTCATTTTATCGTCTTCGTATGACTTTATTTTTGTAAAGTAAGTCTAGGAAAGTTTTTACTGGGTTTCTGACAAATAAATGCTTTTGTTTCAAACAATAATTTAAAATCAATGCTAATCCACCTATTTGAATAACAAAAATTACAAATTGGGTTTGAAAAGTCATTGGTGGTGCGTGCAACATGTGTTTTTGGGGAGAACTTTTACAATCCTTGAAACCGTGCACTTAATTGGTCATTAAAAGAACAAATAATATGACAATTGATACAACTAATAAAACTAATACCAAGTCCTTAATGGACTTCAGCATATTAAGCACTGTAGCATCATACGTGTCAGCTTGCTGATCTGCTTCAGCAGAGATTACATCAACCCCATTCGAATCCATTGCAACTGGTGGCTCCCTAATTGCAGGCATCATATATGCAAAATAATTCTGTCAGAGTTAGACCTAGGATTTTTTTTTCACACACATACATATTCTGGAAATGAGAACTTACATAGGAGGTTAGACACTTCCAAAATGGCTTCCCTCGATTTTTATCTGATTTTGAAACCCGAAGCACCATTGCAGCTCCACAATACTGACACCTCTTTGTTTGAGCGAGAGATGAAGACGAAGACATGTTGAATCTTATCACTTGTACCTCTTCTCACTCAGATCTTCTCACTAAAAACCTCTTCGGACTCATACCTTCTCAGTTATACCCCTTCACTCATAAGTCATAACCCTAAACTTCTCACTCAGCTCTCTCTCATCTCTGCCCAAATCGAATTATATCCTTCTTTTCTGTGTGTGGGTGGGTTGGTCACGATCTGGACACCTGTACCGTCAGAATTGTGACACATTTTACTCCGATAAGCGATATACTATTTCACTACCAATTAATCTTACAATTGAGGGGACACTGCTTTAAATATATTATTTTCTTTATATTTCATTAAGGCAACTAGTTGGATAAGAATCCGTCATTTAATAGGGGTAGTGTGGTGTGGGAAAATGAAAAAGTATCTGATGGGACCTTCTGTCACTAGTCAGTAATCCATCACATTTGTATCAATGAATTTAATGGCGGGAAAAGCCTAACAATGGCTATGGAAATAGGTTATTAATTGACTTTTGGGACGGTCTGACTCCCTTTGCATTTTTATGACGTTTTCCCTTCGCCTGTCTTATGTTTTGGGTGTTGAGTTCAGTTTCTTTAAAAAGGGTCAACTTGGAAAAACCCCAAGGAAACACCTTTTCAAAACAGTGCAAACAGAGGCTAAAACAAACCCAAAACCCCGTATATTCTCATTTCTCCCCTCTTGCAGTCCTCAAATCGTTCCATTCCAAAAATATTTCAATGAATTCGAAACATTACACTACAGTCGGAGGAAAGAGAAGGAAGCATCTCCATCTGGATGTGCCTCAAGCCTCTCCATCTGAATTAGCTTGGTTTAAAGTGATGTTATACGTGGCAACCCAATCCTCGGAAGATCTCTTTCGTATGGCATGTGTGTGCCCATTGTTCAATACGTTGGCAAACACTCCACAAGTGTGGAACACAATTTCAATGGAAAAGTACCAAGACCATCCTAACTGGTACTATGCCTCAACGCAGGTCCGGCATTTTGTGGACCAATGCAGGGCTTGCCAGAACCCTGAGGCGATATTTAGAGAAGCGTTCGACATGTTTTTCAGGCAGGGTAATGTGGAAGCATTGTCTGGGATGCGCGTTGCAGCCACGGCAGGCCATATGGAAGCGTCATATCTAGTTTGGACTACTTGGCATGTCCGGAATTGGTCAGTCAAAAGAGGATGCATTAGAATTCTTGTGTTCTTTGAATCAACATAACAACATTGATATGAAAGGAACCAGGGATGCTTTGAGACGACGATTAAGCGGAATTTTCTCTGTTGGAAGACATATCGTAGATATGTTTCACTATGGGAAGATTAAGTTCAATCAATGCAGCGCTTGTAACAACAACGACTGGTGTTTTGTTATTCCAAGCTGGCCTAGTGAAGAAAAGATCAATCCTGCCTTCTGGACTTGTTGCAATCGATGCAAATGGCACCGTGAGAGTGTTTTTTGGTTCAAGGTGATGCGTGTCTATGTTGTGTCAGGGAATCCATACCCTTATAATTAGTTTGGAGTATGTTTCTACGGTTTTTATGCGTGTCTATGTTCTACAAATGTTGTTTTCTATTTCATGTTTTAATCTATTTTGTCTGGTGTTTGTGCTGTCCTAACCCGTTTTATATATAAATGTATATATTTGTTATATAGTGGAATTATTACTGACATAATTGACGGCTAAGAATGACATTTTACTGACACAGATATTTTGCACAACTGCAATCTTAATATTTGGTAAACGAAAACGCATGCATGAAGTGAGTATGTGTCTTTTCACCGGTTCTTGGGAATGACATTTTCCCACTTAGCATATCCCAAATGATTGGGTTACACGTTTCTTAAGCAAAACTTGAACAGTGAAAGACTTTGAATAATTATTTCCTGATGTTGTAGAATGGATGGCTTGTATATTTCCATTTTATGTTTGAAAACATCCCTTAAACCTAAAAAAGAAAAAACATTAACAAATTGAAGAAGAGAGAAACTGATTAGCACCAGAAATGGTCTATTCACACGGAAAATAAAATAAAATTAAAAATTTGGAGTAAATATAATTAACAAATGTACAAGCTAACAAGTAATATAACAATAATAATAAAAATAATTTTGGATAAATAATAATAAAATACTAATGTAGCGTAACCATGAAACAGGGAATTCAGGAGGAAGATGAAGTCTCAATGAGGTCGTAGCAATTTTCGGAACATTATTGTGATTTTTGTGTATTTAGTTATGAATTTTCTAAGAAAAAGTCATAAAATAATAATTTAGGGTAAAAGGTAAGGATGTGGCCATGTTGACTGACGCACACTTGTCAAGGGGTGAAAGGTGAGGGGCTGAGATCGCGCCAGGTGTCCATTTGGCAATTATTTTGGCTTTTTTAGTGCAAAAATCTTTGAAAAAATGCAATAAATAGTAGAAAAATCCTAAAAATGCCCCGAAAATACTCCGGCCTCCGTGTGACGTTATAAAACGAGGGGAACCCATAAATCATCCATTTCGCAAATAAAATTCAAAATGATTTACATAACTCACTTTCCTCTTAACCCTAAGTATATATGTTGTTAACTTTAACTTCAATAACCTACTTCAACAAGCATCTCCTGTTAATGTTCGGAATTGTTTTTTAAAATGCGTAACCACTAATCGGGGAATTCAGCAAGGGAGATGGAGTCTCAATGAGGTCGTAGCAATTTTCGGAACATTATTGTGATTTTTGTGTATTTAGTTATGAATTTTCTAAGAAAAAGTCATAAAATAATAATTTAGGGTAAAAGGTAAGGATGTGGCCATGTTGACTGACGCACACTTTGTCAAGGGGTGAAAGGTGAGGGGCTGAGATCGCGCCAGGTGTCCATTTGGCAATTATTTTGGCTTTTTTAGTGCAAAAATCTTTGAAAAAATGCAATAAATAGTAGAAAAATCCTAAAAATGCCCCGACAAATACTCCGGCCTCCGTGTGACGTTATAAAACGAGGGGAACCCATAATCATCCATTTCGCAATTAAAAATTCAAAAATGATTTACATAACTCACTTTCCTCTTAACCCTAAGTATATATGTTGTTAACTTTAACTTCAATAACCTACTTCAACAAGCATATCCCGTTAATGTTCGGAATTGTTTTTTAAAATGCGTAACCACTAATCGGGGAATTCAGCAAGGGAGATGGAGTCTCAATGAGGTCGTAGCAATTTTCGGAACATTATTGTGATTTTTTGTGTATTTAGTTATGAATTTTCTAAGAAAAAGTCATAAAATAATAATTTAGGGTAAAAGGTAAGGATGTGGCCATGTTGACTGACGCACACTTGTCAAGGGGTGAAAGGTGAGGGGCTGAGATCGCGCCAGGTGTCCATTTGGCAATTATTTTGGCTTTTTTAGTGCAAAAATCTTTGAAAAAATGCAATAAATAGTAGAAAAATCCTAAAATGCCCCGAAAAATACTCCGGCCTCCGTGTGACGTTATAAAACGAGGGGAACCCATAAATCATCCATTTCGCAATTAAAAATTCAAAAATGATTTACATAACTCACTTTCCTCTTAACCCTAAGTATATATGTTGTCACTTTAACAAGTATATTTTCCTTAATATTCGTTATATAATTTGTACTAATACAAGAATTATTTTCCTTTCATATAAGGATGTAAAATTATCTGTTTTTGGTTATAATAATGTACATATATAATAAATGCACCACTACTTCGAAGCCATCATTGGAACTGCGCATGCGCCTAGAGCTTTGAAGACGTCAGAGATAGTCAATAAGTTGTCCATATGCACCTGCACCTAGAGTTTTCAACACGTCGGCGGTATTCAATAAGTTGTCCTTATGACGCCGCATTGGGAATCAGTAATATATTTTCTATCATGTCCAATCGCATAAACATATAATATAAAGAAATAAAGCAATAGTAGGAGATGAACCAGTACAAAAAACATATATAACTGGTACAAAATAATGCCATAACCTTGTCACAAAACCACTCACACATGCTTTTCCATAAACCTTACCCTAACATATAATACATAAAGGCAACATTGCATATGATGCAACCATGTCCAAATCTGATACGTGATCACAAAAAATGGACATGGCAGCAACATATGACTGAAGTAGATGGGCACTTTGCATCGTGTTATCGTAATTAAAGACATGAAAATATTAAGGTTGAAATCTTCTATAGTAGTAAGCATCAAAATAGGTTTGAAGCAGAGTTTTAACGAAAATTCCAGTTCCTCTGATTTGCCTCTACTCAAACACGATAACCAAAATGGGTTACTTCCCTTGCTGAGTATATTTGTTAACGTCGGAAACGGTAATAGATGACCAATCAAACCCGGGTACGACGAGTTTTTGCATAGGACCGGAAGTAGTCGAATCCAGCTTGCATCACACGCTTCTTTGACTCCTTTGCATTAGATGAGTTCTTGTATTTTTGAACAGCTACACTCCGAAGTCGTTTGTGTCTACGCTTCATGCGCTGCAACTTCGCCCTATCCAGATTGGCCTGCCTTTGTCATCTTCAATTTGGCCTTCAACAAATTCCAAACGTACCCTTGCCCTTTGGATTTCATCACCAAGTTGAAGATGCCTCTCCTTCCAGAAAGCAAGAACTCTTTCAGACTCAAAACTTCCAACAAAATGGTCATTCTGTCTAGGAAAGTGACATTGCTTGTCTGGTGACTCACTTGCGTTTCGAAGGCGGTCTTTGTTTGGAGGGGTGTTTATTATGCTCACATCAAACTTGGTTAGTAAATCCATTCAATGGGGGGAGAGAGTTTCTGTGGAGGAGAGAGTTTCAGTAGATGGAGACAGATTCGGTGGAGGAGTGAGTTTTTTGTGGAGGGAGAATTTTTTGAAGGGGGTGATAGTAATACCAATAAAAAAGGGTTCCCGCCAAAAAAACATTTGGTTGACAATGTATAAATGAAAAAAGGTCTCATACAATCTAAGTTTAATCCTAACTAGTTTGTTTAGTTTGGTTGGGTTCACTAACTAGATGTCACTTCCATTGAGTTTCTTTCAACCACTAACAGTGGTGTAAGGAGAGTGTGAGGTTGACATGCTTGAAAAGCAAAACCTGACACCTCTTTTTTTAAAATTGAAATAAAGTAGATATGTTGACTACACGCAAGCTTTGGTATGTTGGTCTATAAAGCTATGTTCCATTTCTCAAACGAAATTGCATCTGCAATCCTCATCCTCTAAAACAAATAGGATTATTCAAGTATGTCAACCTCTTCAGGCGCCAACAACACAATCGAAGATGAAAAATTGGAGTCGCAGGTTCCGTTTCCACGTTGTACTCGCCGACCCCTTCCATTTTCAACATCATTTGGGAGTGAGGGGGACTCCGATGATCCATTAGAGGCAATAGATGCAGTCAGTACCAAGCTGGATTATAATTCCAGACTGATCAATTCATGGCACGAGAAATGTGTTGAAGACGAGGCCATTTTGGCTGATCTTAACATTAGAGTGAACAAAGCGTTCTCCCAAAAGAACAAGTACTTGAAGCTGAGTCATAAAAGGAAGCTGAAAGCTGAGGAGTTGGATGCAGTAATGAATGATGAAATTAAAGGTTGTTTGATGAACCATATGCGATGCGAAGAGCACCACAGTGAACTGGAGTTGGCATTCAACGAAGGATTCGAAAAATTCCGAGCATTCGCGGCAACTACTCATACAAGTTATAATTGGGACTATGTGTCCCCTGATGCTGTGAGAGAGATACTAGACGATGGTGGTGACATGAATGAGCATAAGCACGTCAAAGCTGCTCGGAAGAAGCCGACCGATACGACTAAGTGATTGCGGCTACAGCTGTTCTGTTGGTTGGGGGTGATCGTGGTATTGCACAAATTAGAACTATATTCCCTTAATGTCATTATCTAATATAAAATAATACAAATATCAGTTTCATTTGCTTCATATATAATTATTGGGACTATGTCTTGCAAGTCATCATGTGTTCCTTCTGTCTAACATTATATTTTGCAAATATGGAAATATTATTCAATAAGCAGTCAATATCACAGCACGTTGGGAATCAGTAAAGCCCCATTATCATGACACGTGAGTCATAAGTAAAATACCATGTGCTATACATTGTGTAGTGAATGGTTTATGGTTTATGTATATATAATAAAATTCCAAATATTGCTGAATATTTATTTTGTCTAAATCACTGGGGACATGAGTGACCATAAGCACGTGAGACCTGCTAAGAAGAAGCTGACCAATACGACCTAGTGATTGTGGCTACCGTTGTTCAGTTTATTGGGGAGATCGTGGTATTGCTAAGAGGGAGCACATAAAATGCTTTGCAATCAAATTTTCTTTTGTGTGTGGAATTATGAGTAGTTCAAATGTTAGTGTACCCTTTAATATTACCCCAACCATTCGAAATGTGATTAGCTGCAATGTACTTTTTTACACGTTGCTTTCTAATCTTTCTGTTCCAACAAAGTGCTTCAAGTATCCTTCAGCTACGAATGTTTGCAA